GCATTTACAATATTTATTGGAGAACTATTGGGAAAACCTCAGTTTCCACACAAATTCCCTCCCAACTGGTAACAATGGCACATGTGCATGGATGCCTCTTGTCGTATTGCTTGATTTTAAAGGGCCTCTAAAAATGTTCTCACTTTTGCCTAGTTCCTTGCCACTAAGCACAGGTTAGGAAGAACTTTTGAAATACCACCAAAGTCTGCACATGTGCCAAATCTCATTTTACATTCTAAAATGTAAAACGCCAGATCCATTATAAATCCAAGCATTGCAAGCGGAACAATTTTTTCTTCTGAACCAGATAGTTACAAACTTTGGCTGCATCACAATTACAAAAACAAAAACCTGTGGATATTCCCATCAATGCAGGCATTTCCATTTGAGCAGCAGGACTTTTGCCCCCTTCTGCCTCCTGTGCATACCCTGTGTCCTCCCCAAATCTGGCTTCAGAGAGTTGGAGGGATCTGCCGAACAGATTTCTGGGGCATGCACTGAGAGGTGGGTGACATTCCATTGCACAAGCAGAAATCCTTGTGCTGCAGAACATTCACAGAGTGCTATGTTGGATGTAACCCTAAGGGTTCAAATACTGAAACATTTATTGATTCAACTGTCTGTCTAATTATTTAATACTTAAAAGTAAATACTATTTGCTTCCAGGAACCTTTTTATCTTGATTAGTCACCTTCCCCCTACCATTTTCTAATTATTAACTTAATTTTAGCACTAGGAATACACCTCCAAGATTATGAGCCATTTTGATCTTGGAATGAGATCTAATTGAGAAGACAGTGCAATTAGCAAAGTATGAACAAAAAAATATGGTGGGTGTCCTAAAGTAACTGCTAAACAACAGAAAATAATCCAAGTCAGTTACATGTGCACTATTACAGCTTTGGTAACATAAACAATATATTGCCAAATAATTAAAATGCAAACATTAAAATAATTCTGCTCTCAATGATGTGCCAATTAATAAAATTGCAAAGACAGCTAGGTAGTGCAGAGACTTAATGGGTTTAAGGCATTACTCCAAAATGCTTCCACAGACATCTGAGGAGCAACCATGGGACAAGCTGAAATATGTCTACATTTGACCATAGACCGCAATCAGTAATGGAATCCTTCCCATTAAGGAAACATTGTAAGTATCCATTATGCCTTATATCTGTTTTTTGATACTTCCATGAAAGGAGCTGATAGGGATGATTTATCTGCCGCTTTCCATTCAATGAAGAGTGTTCTTATTTATGCTGCTCATGGAGGCATAAAGCAGCTATTAACCTAGAGAATGGGCAAACAAAAACATGGATAATGTACCTCTGTTTCACAAATGCTCACCCTTCCCTGAAAAATACCCAGAAATACAATAACTTCTCATTTAAAGGTGAAAAAAGGTTAGGGAATGCCAAGCACTGATGTTGATCAGTTAAAATAAAAGCCTAATTAATGCCTTCCATGATGTTGATCAGTTAAAATAAAAGCCTAATTAATGCCTTCCATGATTAACATATGTGACTAAACTTGTATGATCTTGATTAAGATGGGAGTATACTCTTGAAAAGGAAATAAGTATCAGTGGAATTAGCATTAATAATTCTGGTAATGCCACATAAACAAAATAATGCTCTTATAAATATTGACTGCTATAGTAAAACCTGTGTATTTAAGATTGATTTTTACACAAGAGGACAATTCTCCAAACAAAGACTTAAAGCTTAGAATTCTACTTTCCTACAGCTCACTCTACCCCTGAAACACAAGAATTTTGCTGTGTTAGAAAACCCCAATGACAGTCTACAAAGTCCAGACCTCACCCAGATAATAAAACTGTGTGTCACGAAAAGGGCAACAGATAAGAATACCTAGTCATGTGTTAATGTGTGCTCCACTGCTGTAGAGACCTAGTAGCAAGCCATTATAGGTCAATGAAAATTCAGCACTGGATCTGAAGAACGATTCACAAACGAAACACCAGTACACCTTGGTCACTTTCCATGTCATCCAGAGTATCATGGCTGCTGCAAGCTCTGCAGTTGTTTCCATGTCATTCCTGGAGTTTATCCGTTGCTTTTGTAGGTTGGATGAACTTAATACACACCACAAACACTCTAGCACCTGGGCAGAAGATATAAATGCTCCCAGGTTGGTGTAGGACACTCTTCCCCAAGCCTTTCAGAAATTATGGACTGTAGTTTCCATTATCCCCAATAATGACCATGGTCACCATTGGCCATGCTCGTTGGGGCTGATGGGAGTTGGGAGTTCAACAACATCTGGAGGCACCAGTCTGGGGGAAGCTGGTGTAGGAGCAGCCATGAAGGCTATAGTAACCATGCTATTGTGGAGAGGTAGCTGTCTGCTATAGCAGAAACAGAGCCTTCTGGCATATTAAAGATGAACAAATATATTATGGATTAATTTTACACATTTACAATGATTTCTATAAAGTGAGAACAAAGAGTGTCTAGATCTGAACAGCTGACCTCAAGCTCCATTGCTTGGCTATGTCACAAAGAAACCATACACAGCCTATTCAGCTACAGCTTACTTCCAGGCAAACATATTTATGATAAGGATACAAATTACTGGTAATTTTGCCAAGTGCCACACAAAACTTGACTAAACAAGGTTATCAATGAAGTTATCAGGATGAGAATGTTTCCTGCGCACACATGGCTTCTCAGACACAAGCTCTATTGAGGTCAATTAGATTTATTTCCAAGTAAGCCTATATATGATTACACTTGAAGACTGCAATTCTATACACAATTAACTGAGAGTAATCATGCACTCCAAAACCCAGGTGCAATCCTACCCCCACCCCTACTGGGAGCGGTTGGGATGTGGTGAATCTTAAGTAAATTATTTATCTAGGAGTTATCCACTCCAACTGAGGAAAGGCCTGCTTACTGCCGGTGCAAGTTAAGACAGCCCAGGTTACACTAAGAAAAAGGGTGTGTGTCAAGAGTAGGGAATGGGTGGAGTAAGGGAGAAACAGATACATTGCATATTTACCAGCTCCATCCACAGCTACCTTACACTACCAAAACTGCAGATGTTAGTATAGTTACAACTAGGTAGTCGTGTTGGTCTGCCGTAGTCGAAACTAAATAGTGTGCATGCGCACGAAAGCGCATACCAATAACAAACTTAGTTGGTCTCTAAGGTGCTACTGGAAGGGTGTTAGTATACTCACCCCAAAAGGAATGAATATAAGGGCAGACAGTGAAGGTTTACACTGCTTCCTGACCCCACCCAGACCAGAGAGTTAGGATGCAGCCATGGGTGTAGCCAGGATTTTGGGGGAGGAGCAGACCTTTCTGTTAGGGGGGGGCAGAACCTCAGATAGTTATGCATTTTTTATTGATTTAGGGGGGGTAGCTGCCCCTCTCTGCCCCCCACCTTGGCTACGCCCATGGATACAGATTAACTTTCACAGGAAATACACTGGTGTATCTGCCTAGTAAGAATTGTTCTACAAGCCCCATTAAATACAATGGAATTTAATTCTGAGCAGATATTCATAGGATTCCGTTATGGTTAAGAAGCATCATGCACCAGCACAAAAATTCCAATTGCCTGTTTCCACAGATGCATGCACACAAACGAATTAAACCATTTTAAAACACAGTACCAATGCCTGCAAACCATTCAGACATGAGCTCCCCACAGTTTTATAATTTTAAACAAAGCTGACTTTGTTTTCCTTAATTGGGGTCATGGCATAAAATAAAATATGCCTTTGTTTTCTGAATCATCAAGGGGTAGCTAGGGTCAACTTTTTTGTTCACCACAGCAAAAGCTGAAAGAAAGTTTACTAAAAGACTATCTTCCTAGGACTATTTGTTTATAAAGTGGGAGCTCTAGGCCTGAAGCCATATAGATTGCTTCTCCACAATGTTAGTAACTGAATCAATTTAAAACCACAAGACGACACAGAGTATCAGAAATGCACTCAACAAGTTATGGGTTATTATGAGTTCTATTTAACTTGAAAGCTTGCCATATGTTCATTCAACACAATAAAAGTCACCTGACCTGTCTGTGTACCTCACACAATGGCCAACTACACCTAGCAGAGTTTCTAGGTGTAGAAAAGTACAAGCATTAAAAAGATGATGACACCTCCTTTCCCCATTAAACCAGTAAGTGTCCTTTGGAGGGGGGGGGATTAAGTTTTCTGCTGAATATCTTTCTCTTTTGGGTACCACCTTGTGGTTCTAACAAAGACACCCACCCACCCAAAAAAGGAGGATGGGTGGGGGAGAGAGGGGGAAAAATGAAGATGAATCATTTCCTTGAGTATCTGCAGGCACAAAATAAGGAGGATAGAGTCCAACCATACCAAGCAGGAAACTGGAGCTTTTTAATTTCCTCCCAGTAGTTAGAATCACGAGAAAACAAAGACAGACTTCACAGGACACTACCGGAAAAGCAGTTACAATCTCAAAAAATAAAGAGCACCAGATCATGCACTTTTCTCAGGGTACAGACCTCAAGACGAGTATTTCGGAATGGAAAGCTCTCCAAAGGGACTCCGTTGTTGCGTGAAGGGGGGGGGCGCCAAAAACTGATGAGGGGCTTGGGAGAAACCGGGGGGGGGGCTCAAGTAGAGCTATAGAAACTTCCCAGTAAGGGCTCTTCTCCCACTCCAGCTAAGGGGGGAAGGGACATGACACAAAAGACAAGCGGGGTGGGGGCTGTGAACAAGGACAGCTCGACTTCCAGCCTAGAGGAAGTTTCCCAGAAGACGACCCCCAACCAAGCCTTTAAATGGAAGCAGAGAATGAGTGGAGGCGAGAGGGGGCAAAGGGAGTTTCCTTGCATTGTCTGTATCCAGCCACGTCTGGCTGAGTAGCCCCGATGTGTCTGCTGGGTGTGTGTGTTTCCCCCCTTGTCTTTCCTGCACCTTGACCGGTCGCAGCTGGCTTCGCCGGATGAAGAGAAACTTCTCCGCAACTTTCCTCCGCTCATCCCGTCGAGAAACTCACCGGCTGAACTCATGGTGCCTCCTTCCCACGCGCCTCTCTGCCGCTGCTGCCTGCCCCTTAACCCGGCGTCCTTCTTTTTTAAGCCATAGCAGCTCCTCTGGAGCCTGCTGAGAGGAAAACAGGCCTCTGCTCTGTCTCGGCGGCTGCCGAAAAATGCGGCTCGTTCCCCCGGCTCCCGCGGAACATCCCCGTCGAGGAGAAGCGAGAGCGACTCGCACCGAAACGAGCCCCGACAGCCACCAACTCTCCGTATAGGCTTCTCCCACAGCTACAACACGAAAGCCCCCTAGAGGCCGAGAGCCGCCAGTGCAGGCTTAAAAAGCAGAACCAAAAAAAAAATCTCTGTTCCAAGATAAGCTTCCAATCAGCGGAGCGCTACCTGGCCTGCCTTTCTCAACCCCGCCCTCTCCGTCCTTCGCGGTGGCTGCTGGGAGTCGTAGTTTTCTTACGCCGGTGGTTGGGCCGTACGGGGAGATTATATACTGCCCGGGCTCGGCGGACTCGGTTTCCCGTCGTGCCTGGAGGGTAGAAGCACGGATGGCGGAGAAGAATGACACCGGAGTTCGACGACGAAGTGGTGTTTGAGGTAGCGAAAGCGCGGCCTGTCTGGGGGTGTTTCTGAGGAGGCCGCAGGCGGAGGAGCCGGCGCCCCGGGTCCTTCACAGCCTCAGGCGGCGGGGCGGGGGGCGGCCCCGTGCGTGGACGTTGGGGGTGGGTGGGGGTACCTCGCGGGGCCTTCTGCTGGGAGCGGGGGCTGCCACACAGGGGCCAGGAGGTTCTGAGGTGGTGCTGGTCTTTGAAACCGCCCCCCTGAGAGGGAGGGAGGGTCGCCTTTAAGCCCCAGTCACGGCACTTGGAGGGCAGCAGCTCAGACAAAAGGGGCTGGCCATCTCGCCACAATCCCATCCGTGCCTGCCAGCCTGGAACCAGTTCCAGTAGAGTTTAATAATAATAATAATAATAATAATAATAATAATAATAATAATAATAATAATAATTTATTTATACCCCGCCCATCTGGCTGGGTTTCACCAGCCACTCAATGGCACTTGCTCCCAGGTGAGGGTGCCTAAGATCGAAGCCTGCTTTTGTGGGAGGATGAAGGCACCGTCTGCCCCCAGACCGTGGTTCTCTTTGCCATTTCAGCTCAATAGCCTTTTTGTCCAAGGAGCACCCATCAGTCAGAGTTGTCACCACAACAGGGTGCTGGTTGCCCCCATAGATCCCCCCCAATTCAAATAGCCTGGTTAGTTTTGGTAACAGCCCCCCCCCCGCCCCGTTTGTAAATGCTGCTGCTCAATGGCAAGCTAGGGAATGGTTCAAATGACAGCTATCCTAGATGCACATGTTGACCTGGATTTTATTGCAGAGAACTGGCTGGATGAAGCTGGGAGTGGGGTTAATCTGTTTCAACTTTGCCCCACCGGGTTTCTCTGTACAGCCAATGTTAGTAACTCAGATATATAACGTAATGGCCAACTGGCACCTTAAACCTGTGTACAGTAGCAGGCAAGATCTAGGGGTCTGTCCTGATTGCATCTCCCTGACCAGATGTCCTCTCCAGCAGCCCACTGGGTTCAAGTGTGCATATCTGAAGTTAGGTGGCTGGGGCAGAATAGGGATTCTACTGATGTACCACCCACCCTGATGCTCAACAGTCTCCCTTCCTGAACTAGCAGGGAAGGTCTTAGGGTTGGCATTCATGCTGAGGCTTCGCTGTCAGGAGTGGATCAGGATTTCATGTCTGCCATGCCAACCTTGAGTCTGTACCAAGTAACTTCTGACTCCTATCCATGCTGCAGGACACACTCTGGACTTGGTTTTTTGCATTGTATTGGATGGTGGTGGTCTTAGAGTGGAGGAACTTCCTTTAGTTCTCTTGTCATAGTCATATCACCACCTTGTGGGGCTTAACCTTGCTGGATCTCAAAACCTCTGCAGCAATGGGGGACCAATTAATATGGCATGCCAAAGAGCACCAGTAATATTTGAGATTATAATTCAGGGTGGTGGTCCCCTCTACCAGTCAAAGGAATAGAGGATCCTTCTAATAAAGGCAAGAACTATCAGTGAGGGAAAGGGCATAGCAGAGTGAATTCTGACCCTCCATTTGTTAACACAAACTCCTAGTGGAGATGTACTCTTTCTGATTAAAGACAATGTGTTAGTATTAAAGTATAAGGGCTTTTTTGGAAGAAAGAAACACCCCATCCAAAGGTCATAGATCTCACTTTCTGTAAAGCATCTTTGTTTCCCCCACCACTGCCAACTTATTTATAGATTTACATTCCTTCTAGTAGGATCTAATTCCCCTTTTTGTGGCAGACCTGGCACAATGCAAATGCTGTTGTCTATTTCAATAATATTGGTTAGATTAGTAAACTGTAATAATAATTAAAAAATGAATCCAGCTTCTTGAAATGTATAAAAGAAAGCACTTTTGTACGCTTTCATTAGCATCATAGGCATATAGTGTAGCATGTGTTTTTCGTGTATGAGGTTTCTAACATTAGAAATCCTTGTGGTTTAATTGTAATGGATAAATAGTATTTACCTCTTGAAGCTGCACTGAACAAGAAGTTTTTGGAGTATGCTTTGAAATGGACATCTTCCTTATAAGGAGAGACCACTAAAAGTGTGTGTGTGTGTGTAATTTTGTGCTATTTGGGTTTTTCGGCTATATTTTAGTTGGCCCAATAAAGGTATTGCTTAATATGAACTTTGGAAACTGTTTACTTAGAAACATACATGGTGAGCTTGGGGATCAGCCAAACGCCCAGTCACCCAGTGGTCTTGAGGTTTTCCTCTTCCTTGTTAGCTAGCTACAAAATCTCTTCACTATTTTGTCATTAACTGTGTTCCAACCTATCAAACTGCTTCCTTGACCCCCTTCCCAAACAAATAGCAGATGTCCAGGAGCTAGTTGTCCCTGCAAAATCCTGAACAGAAGTTCTTTTACATGTTCAAAGAGACTGCTAACAGGCCTATTAAGCTCATTATAATAAGCCATGTTAATTTCTTCTCTTTCAGTTGGTTCATTTTTTGCAGTCATAATTAAATTAAAGTGTTTTCTAAGTGTAATCATTTTCAGAAGCGATATTAGATGAGGTTAATGGAAGGGGGGAAACTTCAGTTGGAAAACCAGTTAGTTAAGTATTTCTATTGTTTTACTTGATGGTGGGGGGCAGCTGCCTCCCCTGACCCTCTTGGCTATGCCCATGTATCCATGCAAGCTAGTTGTTATTCTATGCTGTCGTTTCTCAGTACATGATCCTTTTGTATTGGTAGTGTGTTTGATATATCTAAGTGCAAAAGAATAGTTCATATCCTATCTTTGCTAGAGTATTATTTTATTTATTTATTTGCCCCTTATGTATTATACCTATTCCCTCTATTATTTTGGGATTCATTCATACATTGCACAATTAAGTTGCACGATCTGATGCAGAGAGTTGACTTGTATGCTGTACTAGTGCAGTACAAGCAGTACTAGACTGCTATGTCGCTTTCTAAGTTCAGACATTGGTTGATAGTGGTTTGTGGGAAAGACCTAATGTACTGTACATAACACTGAAGTAAAAAAAAAGCCTTTAGTGTACTTCAATGAGGTGCATGCTTGTTTTCAAAAGTTTTAAAAACACTCTTTAAATTGAGAGTATCATCCAAAAGTAATATATATATAGCTGATCCATTAATTTGCAAGTCTCGCTGACTTTCATAAGGCTTCCTTCCAGATAAATTGGTGTAGCTTCAGATTTTCTGGAAAGTTACATGTGTATCTATTTAATTTAGAAACAAACTTTGATTAGGTTTAACTGTGGCAGTTTCAAGATGTGTGGTTTGTTGCACTAATAAATCATTGCTACTGGTGGAATTGCTGTTGACGTTCTACCCTATCTGGGCTTTTTTCTGGATGCTCATTCCTCTGTTTCATCTACACCAGTGGGCATAACATAACTGGCTGTGGTGGAAAAGCAGAAAGTCCAGTGAGTGTCAAGTTGGAAAACTGAATCCAAACAATCCTTTTAAAAAATAAATACATAAGAATCAATTAATTACCATGAAGCACCTATTCATTTAAGCACAGTTGCCCAATGCTAGTTATGCAATGCCCAAAAAAAAAGGTTTTAATTTTTTTTAAGATTGGAAATATTAATTGGGGGTGATGGCAGATGCTAAAATAGCAGAGACTAGAAAGGGATTTTTCCTAGATTTTAAAATTAGTTTTATTTTGTAATTTCACCATAAAAATCTTTCATTTCAGCACTATTTTCTAATATTTTAAAAAGATATAGCTGGAGAAACATTTTAGTTCGAATTAAAAGATCAATTAAAAATTAAATGTTTAGAAAATGGTATCAACTGCAAAGGTTAGTAAATGTGTGTGATGTATTCAGCTCTGATATGTCACTGCCAAAAACATGACTCTTAAATGTACAGAAGTGTAATGCTACACCTGTGGAGATTATTACATTCCACACACACACCACACTTTATCTTCGCCAAAAAGCCAAGAAGCAATATACTTTTCCAACTATCTCAAAAAAGTCAGACGTTCTGTGTAAGAAAAATGGAGAATTGTAAAAAAAAACACCACATGATGATAATATGTGGACCTCTTCACTTTCCTCCCAGTAGAATGTGAATGAACAAGAGGGTGATTCCGCACTAAATTCCTAGTGTAGAAGCAACCCATAGTTACCAGGAAGTGGAGAATGAAATTGGCATGTATGAGGAAAGAAGATGCATATGCTTGCAGCATGTTCCTAGTTTCTAGCCCACGGAGATCAGCTGTAATGTCCGAATTGAGCCCTTGGTATAAGATCCTAAATTCTGGCCCCCAACTATTGATGAGATGCAAGTGCAAACTGCTCTTGCAGTTATTGAAAAGAATTACAAACTGTGAAGTGAATTCAATATCTAATAATTTTCTATTTTAAATGTGACTTATTCCCATATATTCAGTTGACTTCATGCTGTTTCATGCTTTTCAAGTTTGCAATACATATCCATTGCAATAGCAAACTGGCAAGTGGAATAAAAAAAAATGGCAGTCTTAATGACCTGGTGCAATTCTTTTATGAAAGGTTCTCATTAGCTTTAAAGGGTTTCCTTACTGTAACCACATCTTTTTTGTAATTTATTCATGAAGCCTGTGCTGTTACTAGAAGCACTGTTTATGAACACTCAGTTGTACTGTATTTTCCTTCATGTTATTCATTGTATATGAAGCACTCAGTATGGAACTGAGACGCTTGAGGCACCAGAATGAAACATGGTTGGCAAAACACTTTACATTATCCTTATACTTCTTTTGTGTGAACTTTGATACCTAATAATTTTCCTGTGTGTGTGTTTTGTTGTTGTTGTTCATATTAATGACATAATTTTGAATGCCTTCTCATTTACTTAGTAACTGTTTGCTTCCATTAAGAAAAGGCTAATATTCAAGTTACTCTGAAATACTAAAGCTTGATATAAAAGTTAGAGGACAAGGCCTTTCAAATAACTTAACTGTAACTTTTCCTTATGCTGCTATGACATCTATTTTAGTAACTTTTAATGAAAGCCTCTTGCATTCTCCTTAGTTTGATTTTGAAGGAATTGGACATGTCCGTCCCCCCTTCATATATTTTCTACTGCCTGTAAGAATTTTTATTCTGGTCTAATGGCATTTAATTGAAGTTTTAGATATTTGATATTTTACTGTGTTTGATGCTTTAATTTGTTGGAAGCTGCCCAGAGTGGCTGGGACAACTCAGTCAGATGGGCAGCGTATAAATTAGTAGTAGTAGTGGTAGTAGTAGTCATCAAAATTGGAATGAACTGGTTAGTCCAGAATTTCTGAGAAGAAGAGAAGAAGAATTTGGATTTGATATCCTGCTTTATCACTACCCGAAGGATTCTCAAAGCGGGTAACATTCTCCTTGCCCTTCCTCCCCCACAACAAACACTCTGTGAGGTGAGTGGGGCTGAGAGACTTCAAAGAGAGACTTCACCCAGCAGCTGCATGTGGAGGAGCGGAGACACGAACCCGGTTCCCCAGATTACGAGACTACTGCTCTTAACCACTACACCACACTGGCTCTCAAAGAAGCTGAGTAGCTTGGCAGTTGTTTTTTTAATACAGGGAAATTTTTGACAGACTTAATTTTTATAATCCTTAATTATTTGACATATTAAGGTGGCTAGCAAATTTCTGAATGACATACAATAAGATGAACACTTTTCTGTCTTAACTGAATCAATGAAACATTTTTATGATAAACTAATTGTTGTAAAGTTAAAAATAGCCATTTTTATAGATCCACAGGATGAAAATTGTGTTATACACTCTTGTGCTGCATCAAACCATATGCAACTGAAATAGTATAGGACAAGGGAAAGATTAATGCTATTAAGGTGTGAAACATAATCCTATCAGTGCTCAGAAATCTTTTTAGTAGGCTAAATAGGCTTAACCAAAAAGAAGCATACTGTATACATTTTTTCTATTTATTTTACAAGTTGCCCTTTTCTTTGCAAATACTTGTTCTAGTTTGATGTCAGCCTTCTGAATGTCAGTAACCAAAACTTAAACCAGTGTGTACAATTAGACATGAAAATGCAAATATAAAGGTTAAAGCAGAAATATTAGAATGACTATTCTATTGGAATACTAAAGGAATCATGTACTGTACTGTTCGTCATCATATATGGAGTAAAATCAAGAAAGAAATTGGAATCCATCAAATTAAATGGTCTTAAAGCCTTGTCTTTAATTTGATAGCATTGAGTCTGGCTGTGAGGCAATTTTGGAAGACAGAAGGTTTTCATTTGAAAAATGTGAGAATCTGAAGGGAGCAGGAGCACAACCTTTACATAGGGGGAAATAGTTTTTATATTTATAAATAATGTACCTTTCTAGAATCCCTGTCTTGTTCTCATTCAAGATGCAATTTATGAGTAATTGGCTAGATGATAAGCAGGCCAAGATGATTATGAGCCAAGGGACTATGACTAAGACATTTAAATTCAGTAGCTTGGCAAGTCTTTGCAAAGGATTCTATATAATATTGATGTGCATTATTTCTTTTAAGCAGTAGCTTCCTAAAAGCCTTTTAAAATCCATCAACTGATTGTCGGTTCCTCCTATCATACAGTAACAGAAGAAATTGCAGAGTCTTAGTGAGTTGCTGCTGGCTGCTTCTGATGATGCTAGGAAAATGCGCCTGTGTGAGAGCACAGGTGCAGTTTTTCTGACCGATGCTCCTCATTTTCTGCTCCAGTCATCCTGGAGAGGCAAGTAGAAAGAAATGGGGAGGTGGAGAATATTCTCTCAGATGCACTGGAAGTGTATCTGAGAAAGAGGTGGAATCATATTTTCCAGGAGACAAGGAATGCACTGCCTGTAAGTCTTCTATTCTTCTAATCACTGCACCTCAGAATAAACCTGGCTGACTTTTGTTTTAGGCATTAGCAGAGTTTGTACTTTAGTAGTTGAGAGGGATAAAATTCGAGAGAGAAAGAAGTTTCAAGATGTTGTTGGGAGTGTCATCTGTTGTTTATATTCTAGTTCATTATACACTAGAATTGCTGTGGTTTAAAGCAAGAATATTATTGTCTGCTAATCTAAAGGAGGTTTTTAAGTTCCACTGTTAATGTGGTTAAGAGTTAATAAAAGATTAGATCCAGAGGAGATATCATAGGGTGGGAGAGGGAGGAAACCAGAGAGATACTAATGGAGAAAGTCTTAGTCATTTCCTTTATAATGCATCAGCAGAAATTACAGAGGTGTGGCTTTGATTTTAGAAATACTGTAATGAATTGGATGATTACTCAAATTTGTGTCTTAGTTTCAATTTCACTCATTAAAACAGGTAAACAATGGTAGCTATGCATAGTATGACAAGGGAATTGATGAAAGATAAGTTAAATCTTTCTAAATTTTGGTGTTTCTTTCAGAAACTTCTCTGTTTGCTATTTGTTGTCTTGAATTTTTTTTAATCTTTGTGGTATGTAGTTCAGTAAAAATACATTAGATCTTTTCAGTAAAATTAGCCAACTAGTTGCTAAGGGTCTGGGGCATGTATTATTAATTAGATTCTTTACAGCATTCACCCTGATACACTGTGTTTATTAATACTTCACTTACCACTACACTATACATGTACAGGCAGGTTCAGCAGAAAGATAGGGACTAGTTCCAGGGTTCTTTAGACATATATGCTAGGTATGTACCTGAAAGCTGTAGAGATAAAAGTTTCAAGTTGCACATATTGAGCAGTTGGTGCTTTCTGAGAGAAACCCCCCTCCTTCCAATCGGGACACAGCCTTGAAGGGAGAAGAATATTTCATTTTGAGGAGACTGTAGTAGTGTTTCATCTTACCAGATTGCCATTGCTTGAGTTCAAAAGCACTTAGCATCACTGGGTGTGTGGAGGAACTGTGGCTGAGAAGAAACTTCTTAGCCTAGGAGTGGGGAACGTGTGTCCCTCCAGATGATGTTGACTCCAGCTCCCTTCAGCCTGAATCAGCACAGCCAATGTTAAGGGATAATGGGCTTGTAGATCAACCACATTAAGGCCACCAATTTCCCACTGCTGTATATGACTCTTTCCATTCTTGTAGGGTATGGCTAGAGGAGTTGACCTTTCAGCTGTTGGAGCTTTGAACTATAGCTTCAGCAGGGAGGAGACTGGGTTCAGTTGATTCCTCCTAGCTGTTGCTCCTAATGTTGTACTTATATGTAAAGGAGTTGGGCCCTTTGCTGTTCCCTTAAGACCTTAAGCTACTTGCTTACTACAGTAACCATAGCAAAGTGAAAGCTTACTAATACAAAGCAGCATTTGTCTGATTCATTTTAGTAGTTGGAAACACAACTATTTGGTGCTAATATAAACATTGTTTTAATTTCTAACTAGAACATTGTCGCCAAATAATTGGCTATTTAGTTCAAATTCTTATGTTAAATTCAGCTCTCGTCTTGTTCTCTAAACCTAACAATCCTTTGTCTCCTAGATCTGATTACCAACGGTGTTCACATCTCCTTTGCTTATCTGTTTCTTACTTCACATAACCTATGAAATCTTCTGTCCTGAAGCCATATGTGTAGTTTTGCTCCCTCCCATTCCTGTCCCCCTAAGTTGCCTCCTAAAGCGCTCTATGCCTTCACCACCTACTGTATTTTTCCCTTGGGTTTTTCAGCCTATTGTTTGCTCTCACTTCCTTCACCTCTCATGATTCTTGGCTAGGTTCCCAGCCTGCTCATCTCTCCTGTTTCTTCTTCCTGCCTAAAAAGCATCCAGCCACTTTAAAGTTTTAATGCTCTATCTTATTGTCTTGTATTTTCCTTGGGCATCTGTTTTTACCAGCTACTGTTGCTAAAGTTTCTGTTCCTCAGGTTATTTCCCCCTTTTTTTCAACAACCTCCTTCTCTGCTGTCAGACTTACCTGATTCTGAGCTGTCCAGTTTTCCAGGATTTCTTCCTATTCGCCTTTTTTGTTATGAGACTGCCTCCCATAACTCTTCTTTAGTAGCCCTTGTGTGACACTTTTCTCTTTCCTTGCAGAAACTCGACTACCAGTATTCTGTTGACAACTTCATTCCTTGAGTAGTTTAAACGTTTGTGAACATTCCATGATACCACATTTGCTCAGCTAGAAGCTTAGCAGTAAATCCCCTAACACACTATAATGTAGAACGGACTGTTTATAATTGGTCCAGAACAGGTTAATTAAGTTTTTTCATGTCGTGAGGAAGTTTGGTTGGACTTTGGCTGGAGGAAAACAAGAATACTAGTCTTATTTCAGTATAATTTGTAGTTACCTTGATTGTTTAAATTGTGGTATTTTTAACATCTGCCCTGAGACTATTCAGTGAAGGGTGGGCTATAAATAAAAATAATGAATGCATCTTGAACTCAGAATACTTCATATAAACAAATCAATTAATTATACCTTTAATTTTTTATTTTAGAATTCGCCACTTTATCAGTACTTACAGGACGTAGGACATACTGATTTTGAAGTATGCTCACCATTGGTACAAAAGCCGGAAGAATGTACATTCGAAGAGGGGCAAAAAGACATGGCTACAGTTGCAATTCAGAACGTAAGTACTCAATTTGGTAATTCAACTGCTACATAATCTATCAAATGAAAATCCCAGCCTCTATTTAAAAATGGACTCCCTTCATAATGTGTATCCTTTGTCTGCATTTCAGTGGTATTGAATACCGTGCATTATTGTGCACTGTTTATTATTAACAGTTTATTATTGTGCAGAGCTAGTCCTGCCTTTGCATCCCTTGTGCAAGTTGTCCAGATGTTGTTTTTAAGAGGCAGCTGGAGTCAGGTGATGGTCAGGGTTTTCTCCCCACCACCCCCTTACATACATCAGTAAGATCCTACACTCGCTCTCCCCACTCTGTAGTCATGGTATCACTTTATTTTAGTCCTAATTACTGTACTTATTTAATGTTGTAATACAAATAGTTTGAGTTCCCTAAAAGCAGTCCAGATTCATCCACTGTGTTCTGTTGTCAATCCCCCCCCAACCCACTGCTATTTTACATCATGCAGCCTAGAGGAGAGGGGGGTGATATAATGCATATGGATTATAGTTAATAGTTTAATGTCTGTTGCATATTGAAGATTTTAAAAAAGCAAGATGAACTTGCTTTAACCCAGCATGGTAAATCATTATTTTAACCTTTTCCTTTAGTTTGCATTAGATTTCATATAATAAGGGTACCACTCAAATTTCGCAGGTTTTTAATTGAATAAATCTCCTAAATACCGTTTAATTTGTTCAGTATTACTTTCCCCCTCCAGAAACATGTCTCATTCTGATCTGGCTCAGAATCCAATTATAATAATGAAAGCTGAACACTGACCAGTTTCACTATAGCAGAGGAAGAAGCATCTTTTTTCCTGATTAACTGGGGGATTAAGGAACATGCTAGGACTCATTTGCCAGTGATCAGTCACTTGTACAGTAGCATGTAGAGTATGCATATGGTCATGCATGCTTTTGTTCAGAAGAAAACACAGCAATCTTAACATGGTATATCAAAGCCTGGAATCCACCCTAGACTGCTCAGAAGTGAGTGTTTTAATGAAGATTGAGTGTCTAAAAAAATCATAGGTTTCAGAGAATCTTAAGTTTCCTGACTCCCATACAATGCAACCCTATGTATATCTGCTCAGAAGTAAGTTTGAGTCCAATGGGACTTAATTCTAAGTATGTGTGTGTGGAATTGCACCCTTAGTTAAGAATGCTAAAGTTAAATAAAATATCGGCAGAACTTCTAAAACTAGTAATCAGTAGCTTGCGTGACATTGTAAGGAAAAGGAAAAATGTGTGGGTGGTGGTGAAGTTCAGGTCCTTTTCCCATGTCAGCTGGGGCCTCATTTGTAGGGGCTTGGGGTGCAGGAAGAGAGGAACTGCATTTTGCAATTCATCCATATCATCTGCTGAGCTCTCACTGTGTCTCATTGCCCCTCCATATTGGCAATTTGGACAAAGATGGAGCAGGCAGGTGCTGCCTCATCCAGAGCATTCAGGTACCTTCTTAGTGCAAGGTTCTTCCTATGCAATCAGTGTTCATTTTTCAGGCAGTTTCTCCTGCACTTTTGACAGTAAACCCCGCTAGGTGCTGCTCATTTTGTTTCAAATGCGCAGTGTAATGAATTGTTTGCTAGCAATGTATGCTAAGCACTGTGAACTTGTATAAGGTTAGCACTGGTCACATGCTGGAAACTCATCCATTTTTATGTCATCTCTTCATCTTTAGCACCTAGCTGGAGCATGCTTGGCCCAGTTATTTCTTCCTGTCTGTTCTTGATAACAGCAAGTTCTTTTAATGGCCATTATTCATCTATATGCTAAACGAAATCATGGAGGAAGGGACTTTTCTGCAGACTTCCTTGGCTATGACTCTGCAGGCCAGAGGCCTTTCTACTGTCCCAAAGGGGAAGGAAATGAAAAACCAGTTGGCAAAATTTGATGATCATATTCTGAAAAACATGGTGTATTACTCAGCTATGGTCATGGCATGATGCAAATAGAACTGTTAATAGCCAATGGACTCGTTCACGTCACAGTAAACCATAATTAAAATTGTTAAAAATAGTTCAATGGGATTGAGCAGCATGAAATTGCAGGTGCTTTGCTCTTCCCATGCTGCTGCTCGTGCTATGTAGAAAACAAGCCATAGTTTGCCTTGCCATTATGTCCAAAGCCAGTCTGGTGGTTTGTTTTCCCCAAACAGTAAATCGTAGCAAACTCCTAGGTGTAGCTGCAGCAGGACTAAGGGTGAAGCACTTGCAATTTCAGCAGCATGCACCAACATGCAGCTCATTCACACTAAGCCAGGGATAGGGAACCTGTGGCCCTCCAGGTGTTGTTGGACTCCCATCAGCCCCAGCCAGCAAACTTAGTGGTCAGAGATGGTGGAAGTGGTCCAGCAAGATCTGGAGGGCTGCATTAATCCATCATTTATTTTAACTATGGTTTAACATGTCTTGCAAACCAGGTCAATGAGTCCAACATAATGAGTCCACAATGAGACCAAAAATAAAAGTTGTTCTTAGTGTCTATTTTTGTTCTTTTACTTCTGCTTCTGAGATTTTTCTACCACTCTGCAGTAAATCTGCTGAAGAACACTGATTCATTGTCAGCATTGTACTAACAGCAGAACTATACATTATGTTCCCTATCCCATGTTTCCTTCAGTATGCTAATGCCTAAGTCCTTGGTGGGCTGTTCAACTCTTCATCCAGATCTAATTTTACCCTACAAATGCATAATGGCCAGTTTTTCAACTGTTTCCCCACCCCTCCCCAGCTGGGCTCAGAGACTAGAAGTCTTGTTTGTCTCTGCGAAGGTGAGGAGGAGGTGACCTGGGAGAGGCATGTGGAGGGAGAATTGGCAGTCAGAAGGTTGTATACTGTTTCTTCTGTCAGTCCTCACCTGCAGATACCTGAAACTTGCAGGCATGTATTTCGGAAACTTGTGTCTTGCTTATATAAATACCTAGTGCTTGCATAAAGTGAACACCATTGTAATTGGGGACCTCTGCTGGAATTGAGGAACTTGGAGTCTTTATTTTCTGCCCTCATTTGCATGTGATTGTGGAAAATGGCTTGGTTTAAACTTCACTATTCAATATAACCACTTCTGTTGTTGTTGTTGTTGTTGTTGTTGTTGTTGTTGTTGTTACCCTTCATCTATAGATCTCAGGGCAATTCACAGCATAAAAATTCAAGATAAAACCGCAAAATACATAATAAAACAAGGGGGGGAACCCATCACACCCACCCACAATTATCTATAGATGATAATTGCAGTTCTGGCACCATTTTTTGGCAGAATTGTAGCTTGTGGTTTTAAATCTGAGAGAAACCTTTCAAATAGAGGAGGGCAACCAAGATGACCAAGATGAAACTAAGCCTTACAAGGAGCGCTTGAAGGAGCTGGGTGTGTTTAGCCTGAGAGGAGATATGATAGCCATAGTCAAATATCTTAAGGGTTGTCACATGGAAGAGGGAGCATGCTTGTTTTCTCCTGCTCTGGAGGGTAGGACAATGCCTTCAAGTTACAAGAAAGGAGATTCCAACTAAATATTCGGAAAAACTTTCTGACAGTAAGAGCTGTTTGGCAGTGGAACAGACTTCCACAAGAGGTAGTAGACTCTCCTTCCTTGAGGTTTTTAAGTAGCGGTTGGATGACTACTCTGTCATGGATGCTTTAGCTGAGATTCCTGAATTGCCGGGGGTTGGACTAGATGACCCTTGGGTCCCTCCCAACTCTAAGATTCTATGATTCTATATTTCCTACCCCCTTCATGGATCACTGCCTTGCCGTGGCGAAGGGGCTTGAAGAACTCAGAGAAGCTATGAACTATGCCGAGCAGGGCACACAAGATGAACAGGTCATAGTGGAGAGTTTTGACCAAACGTGATCCACCTGGAGGAGGAACCGGCAAGCCACTCCAGTATCCTTGCCAAGAAAACTCCATGGACAAAGACAACAGGCATATAAAAGTTATGACGCTGGAAGATGAGCCCCTCAGGTCGGAAGGCGTCCAACATGCTACTGGGGAAGAGCGGAGGGCAAGTACAAGTAGATCCAGAGCTGATGAAGCGGCTGGGCCAAAGCCGAAAGGACGCTCAGTTGCGGATATGCCTGGAAGCGAAAGGAAAGTCCAATGCTGTAAAGAAAAATATTGCATAGGAACCTGGAATGTAAGAACCATGAACCTGGGTAAGTTGGAGGTGGTCAAAAATGAGATGGCAAGAATAAATATTGACATCCTGGGCATCAGTGAACTAAAATGGACGGGAATGGGTGAATTCAGTTCGGATGACCATCACATCTACTACTGTGGGCAAGAAACCCGTAAAAGAAATGGAGTGGCCCTCATAGTCAACAAAAGAGTGGCGAAAGCTGTACTGGGATGCAATCTCAAAAATGATAGAATGATCTCGATACGAATCCAAGGCAGACCTTTTAACATCACAGTAATCCAAGTTTATGCCCCAACTACTGGTGCTGAATAAACTGAAATTGACCAGTTCTATGAAGACTTACAACACCTTATAGAAGTGACACCAAAGAAGGATGTTCTTCTCATTATAGGGGACTGGAATGCTAAAGTAGGGAATCAAGAGATAAAAGGAACAACTGGCAAGTTTGGCCTTGGAGATCAAAACGAAGCAGGGCAAAGGCTAATAGAGTTCTGTCAAGAGAACAAGCTGGTCATCACAAACACGCTTTTCCAACAACACAGGAGACGACTCTACACATGGACATCACCAGATGGGCAGCATCGAAATCAGATTGATTATATTCTCTGCAGCCAAAGATGGAGAAGCTCTATACAGTCAGCAAAAACAAGACCTGGAGCTGACTGTGGCTCAGATCATCAGCTTCTTATAGCAAAATTCAAGCTTAAACTGAAGAAAGTAGGAAAAACCACTGGGCCGGTAAGATACAATCCAAGTCAAATCCCTTATGAATACACAGTGGAAGTGACGAACAGGTTTAAGGATTTAGATTTGGTGGACAGAGTGCCTGAAGAACTATGGATGGAGGCTCGTAACATTGTACAGGAGGCAGCAACGAAAACCATCCCAATGAAAAGGAAATGCAAGAAAGCAAAGTGGCTGTCCAACGAGGCCTTACAAATAGCAGAGGAGAGAAGGCAAGCAAAATGTGAGGGAGATAGTGAAAGATACAGGAAATTGAATGCAGATTTCCAAAGAACAGCAAGGAGAGACAAGAAGGCCTTCTTAAATGAGCAATGCAAACAAATAGAGGAAAACAACAGAATGGGAAGAACCAGAGATCTGTTCAAGAAAATTGGAGATATGAAAGGAACATTTCGTACAAAGATTACCATAATAAAAGACAAAAGTGGTAAGGACCTAACAGAAGCAGAAGACATCAAGAAGAGGTGGCAAGAATACACAGAGGAACTATACCAGAAAGAAATGGATGCCTCGTACACCCCAGGTAGTGTGGTTGCTGACCTTGAGCCAGACATCCTGGAAAGTGAAGTCAAATGGGCCTTAGAAAGCACTGCAAATAACAAGGCCAGTGGAAGTGATGGTATTCCAGCTGAACTATTTAAAATTTTAAAAGATGATGCTGTTAAGGTGCTACACTCAATATGCCAGCAAATTTGGAAAACTCAGCAGTGGCCAGAAGATTGGAGAAGATCAGTCTACATCCCAATCCCAAAGAAGGGCAGTGCCAAAGAATGCTCCAACTACCGCACAATTGCACTCATTTCACACGCTAGCAAGGTTATGCTTAAAATTCTACAAGGAAGGCTCAAGCAGTATGTGGATCGAGAACTCCCAGAAGTGCAAGCTGGATTTAGAAGAGGCAGAGGAACCAGAGACCAAATTGCAAACATGCGCTGGATTATGGAGAAAGCTAGAGAGTTCCAGAAAGACATCTACTTCTGCTTCATTGACTATGCAAAAGCCTTTGACTGTGTCGACCACAGCAAACTATGGCAAGTTCTTAAAGAAATGGGAGTGCCTGATCACCTCATCTGTCTCCTGAGAAATCTCTATGTGGGACAAGAAGCTACAGTTAGAACTGGATATGGAACAACTGATTGGTTCAAAATTGGGAAAGGAGTACGACAAGGCTGTATTTTGTCTCCCTGCTTATTTAATTTATATGCAGAATACATCATGCGAAAGGCTTGGCTGGATGAATCCCAAGCTGGAATTAAGATTGCCGGAAGAAATATCAACAACCTCAGATATGCAGATGACACAACCTTGATGGCAGAAAGTGAGGAGGAATTAAAGAACCTTTTAATGAGGGTGAAAGAGGAGAGCGCAAAATATGGTCTGAAGGTCAATATCAAAAAAACGAAGATCATGGCCACTGGTCCCATCACCTCCTGACAAATAGAAGGGGAAGAAATGGAGGCAGTGAGAGATTTTACTTTCTTGGGCTCCATGATCACTGCAGATGGTGACAGCAGCCACGAAATTAAAAGACGCCTGCTTCTTGGGAGAAGGGCAATGACAGGCCTAGACAGCATCTTGAGAAGTAGAGATGTCACCTTGCCAACAAAGGTCCGTATAGTTAAAGCCATGGTCTTCCCAGTAGTGATGTATGGAAGTGAGAGCTGGACCATAAAGAAGGCTGATCGCCGAAGAATTGATGCTTTTGAATTATGGTGCTGGAGAAGACTCTTGAGAGTCCCATGGACGGCAAGAAGATCAAATGCATCCATTCTTAAGGAAATTAGACCTGAGTGCTCACTGGAAGGACAGATCATGAAGCTGAGGCTCCAGTACTTTGGCCACCTCATGAGAAGAGAAGACTCCCTGGAGAAGACACTGATGCTGGGAAAGATGGAGGGCACAAGGAGAAGGGGGCGACAGAGGACGAGATGGTTGGATAGTGTTTTCGAGGTTACCAGCATGAGTTTGACCAAACTGCGGGAGGTAGTGGAGGACAGAGGTTCCTGGTGTGCTCTGGTCCATGGGGTCACGAAGAGTCGGACACGACTAAACGACTAAACAACAACAACAACATATTTCCTACATTTTTGCAATTCAAAATCATCATTTTAAACCTTCCTTTTGTAATGGGTAGAAATGAAATATATATTTAGCATACTCTAAATATATATTTAGCTGTGAATTAGAGGCCCAGAAACACTAAAATTAGAAGTGAACAGTAGTTCCTATATTTACCAGGAAACTCAGCAGGCTACTTCCTTTTCATCCTCTAGTATTGCTTATGACTACTCTACATATACTAAAAATAGCTTATTACAAAAAAATCATATTTTGTAATAATCATTTTCATCTCAAGTGTTGCTGATTAAAATGATTCCATGTTGAGTAATGAACAGTGTGATACTCAATGAAAACAAAAATCCTCTTTAATGAAAATTCACTTGGCCAAAAAACAAAGTGAATATTCCAATCTTTCCTTCCCAAAGTAACTAACCATATATACAAATACCTATATAATAGAACCTTAATAGGCCATTTCATTAGGCAACTGTTGAAAACTTGTGTATCAAAACATCTTTTGTTCTTTCTTGAAATAAATTGTACAGGATTTTTGTTGTAATGAATATTGTGATGATGTTTGCAGGAAAGCTGGAGATTCTCAATACGCATCTAACAAAGCATGCATTTATAGCTTGCCTCTTGCTAAGGAGCAATTGTGTTCAAATAATTTATGCATTTTTTTAAAAAAATAGTTTTTGCTGACCTCAGTACATTTGTGTACACAGTCATTTCAACATGAAACAGTTCCCCATCATATTCTCTATTCCTTGTCCTTTTTCGGTGCCTTAATTGTGATGTTGGTCAGATCATTATAAACATTGGTGTGCTGGTGTATTTGACTCTTGGTACAATGACCTGTGTTATTTGTAGGCTTAAGCTACTTAACAGACATCATCTTCACATATGACTAGACCAGTGGAATAAATGAAGGCAGTTTTTATGATAATTATTATATTTATTACTACTGTATTGATTTTTTTTAACAGAAGGACGTCCTATCAAACTTAGCTGAGAAATTTAAAAGCTGGCTTTCTTTTTTACCATATAAGAAAAAAGATGAACTACTTCACCAGTTGGTAAGCTGCAACTCTGCAATTTTCCCTCAACAAGCTTTATTTAATTCCCAGATAAATAAATTTCTTCTACCTTTTTTTTTAGCTAAGCCAATAGCTTGTTCTCTACATGACATAACAAAGTATGGCAAAGTGTTAAATGTTCAAATCTGCGTAAAAGAGGAGGGGACCAAAGCTCTAGCTTTGCATATGTTCTGATGTTTTATGAATTATTGCTTAATCATTTCTGTAGCCTGGTAGAAGCACACACCTCTTTCTTCCCAAACCTGGTTAAAATTACCTACACCGTCAAAATCTTGTTTCGTGATTTTGTTCACAGACTCTGTAATTTAAAAATGCTGTTTTCAGCTTTAGAGTGCTTTAACGAAGAATTCTAGATATCCTTTAATTTGAGAATTGCTTTTGAAAGATTCTGTCTCTGTTAGTGGCTTCTGACTTGTATTCTTGTTCACCTGCATGGCCAAGTTTAATTTACAAATTCATCTAACTTCAGGGCTTAATGTTGACTGAAGTTACCTTATTACTATGTGCTTTGTATTTCACAGCATCTCAATTTATGGTTGTGTGTGTTCATTTCAGCAAACTATTCATATAGCAGAAGTGATCTTAGCAGTAATAAGTAGTCACATGACCATTATCGAGACTTTCCATAGAACTAAGAAGTCTTTGGCATGATCCTCCTAGTTCCCATACCCTAATGGGCAGGGTACAAATGCTGTTGTTGTTGTTGATCTGACACAACCTGAAACTAAGCCAAAGCATGTGGAACTGAAACAACCATATATTGCTTTCCCATTAACCTTGCCTCCACTTCTCTCTTCTGTCATTTCCCATGTTGAATGTTAAGATCTTTGCGGCAGGGATCTGTCTTTTGTTCAGTAAAGAACTATGCAGACTTATGGTGCTATATTAGCAATAACAACAGCAACCACAGAATGCATTACATCCGCATTGGCGGCCCCCTTTTTGTCCTGAGGGCCACATTCCTCTTGGCACATCTTCCAGGGGCTGCAAGCCAATGATGGATATGGCCATCTCATAGACACGTTCTATCACAGGCACAAATTCCCTTCTCCTCAACGGATGCATGCACATAAGCTGAGGAGGGAAAGTTATCATCCCGTCCAACCAAATGATCAATTGGATGACTGCAGAGGGGTGGCTTGCTTCCTTATCAGGGGCACTGGGCTCTACCCACCTCAGCTCTGTGTCTAGTTGAATCCTGTCCCCTGCCTGCCTTTTGCCTCACTCTGCAACCAAAACCAGTGGGGTCTTAGGGGAGGCAGAAACATTTGCCTGGGTGGTGGTTCAGACTCCTAAAGTAGGAATTGGCCATCCTTGTTTTATATATTGCATAGTGATAGGGGGAAAAATATTTTATTTGACAAATGCTTGTGTATGTGAAAATGCTGTTTTTTTCTCTAAGGATGTTGGTTTTCGCTCGGAGGCTCTCTGCACCATACTGCAACAGGAAGTTCTGCTGCAGGAGGATGTTGAACTGATTGAGCTACTTGACCCCAGTATCCTGTCTGCAGGGCAGCCCAAGCAACAGGAACATGGACATCTTCCAACACTACGCTCCCTAGCAACTCCTAATATTTGGTATTGCCTTGGGCTATCTGCATAGATTACAAGCTCTGTTGGAGGAAGTATCTTGCTCTTCACATAGATAACCTCTTAGAGAACAGGAATTGTTTTTCTTTCTCTTTCTTTCTGGTTCTTATTATTCAACCTTCTATCCCATGGATTTAGAATTGACTTCCCCTTTGTGTATTCTTTGCTTTGCATTAATTTGTGCAGTGTACAGCAGGAGCATATTTTCTTAGGTGTGAAATTTTGAAGATGGTTAGCCACAAGTGTGCATGTGATATTCCCTTCTTAACAGTTTATTACCCTATCTCTTGCATTGATTTTTACTGCTCTGGTATTTGATAAGCCCATTGTTCTTAGTGAGCTTTCTATTTTGTAGGCCTGTGTTCTGGGCTACTTTAACATACTCTCCCCCACCCACCTCCCCGTTATGTTTATTTGAGGCTAATGGAAAGAGTGTGCTGTTTCACACAAATTCAGGTTTCTTTGGATTTTGCATCATTTGATTAAAATCTTTTTTCCTCGTCTTGGGAGAGGCTCACTATACGAGCCTGGATGTGCAATATCTATAAATATTATGTCTCTGGTTCATTTTAGGCAATTCTGTTGGTTCTTCTGGTCCATTCTTTAGATTATATGGGCTGCACACATAATAATGTTGTAACGACCAATGTTTCAAGAAGTAGCATTTGATAAGCGAATGCAAATTTGTCACAGTTTATAACATGCAAGAAGGGAACTAGACTTATTCATGTTGAATGTTTTAGTGTCCCTGCAGAGACTTGTATTTTGCAACAATTTTGTAACAATTCTGCAAATGTGACAAAAACAAGTGAGAGAAGCTTTGCTGTTGAGTGTATATGGTTTTAAGAAAAATAATGAGCAAGCCATTTGAAATGATGCCACGAAAAGGTCTTCCATATTCTGCTTTAAAGGAAACCAAGCGTGCACTTTTGGACTGTAATGGTCAGATTAAATGAATCAGAAACTTGAAAAACGAAACTGTCAGTAGATCAGCATTTGGTTCCCTGGAGAAATATGTCCCCCTTCTGCTGTCCTACTATATTGGTATTAGCAGGGTAATTTTTGAAAAAAGGTTTTAAAAGAAATCAAGGACATACATTTCACACAAAATAATACCTAAATTAGAAATAACATGAATTCCTGCTGTTACTGCTACCATTTGTTTTTAAGGCAGAGAGAGCTACTGTTACCCTGTCACAGCTATACTAAGATAATGGGCTTCTTGATTAACTTATATTGACAGCTTTTACTTATGTTTCAGGGGAGCAAAAATACTTTCTTAATGACACTTTAAAACATAAAGATACATCTCCAGAAAATTGAATTAGGACTCTGTATAGTACCATACCTATTGATATCATGGTTTCCTTCATATGACAATCATACTTTTCATTGCTGTTCTTCATTTTTAATGAAAGCTGGGCAACAGCTGACATGCCCAGAATCTGGGCAAGCTGCAAAAAAGCAAGATGTGGCTTATACTGGCTATTTTGTTTTGCAGGGATATCTCATTACTATTTGCCTTCATCAGCACACTGATTATTCTTCCTTCTTCATGGAATGGATCTCTTGGATTGGTGGGGGGAGTAGGCTTGTTGATTTACATGTGTTTACGAGGTTTGGACACACTGAACACAGCCAAGCTGCAAATGTCTCTAAGAAAATGCCAACTCCAGCTAGAAGATATGGTGACTAATTGTCGAGCCTTCACTAACCTTGTGAGAAAATCTCTACGGCTCATTCAAGAAACTGAAGTCATTTCCAGAGGATTTACTCTGTGAGTCTGATTTTTAGGTTATTTTATTAATTGGTTCAGTCATCCCTGTTTAACCAGGAGTGAATAAACTTTTCCTTTAAAATGTCTAAATCTAAGATGTTTCACTTATGCACACAACATATTTGTCATGAAGCTTGAGTCACTGGTACCCAAATCAAGCTGATTTGTGGAAAGGAGATAACAAGGGCATGGATGGGAATGAAGTGGGTTTTGATATGTTGGCACAATTTTTCAGCAACCTCCACGTTAAGCGTTTCAGTAAAAAATACCTGCAAAAGACACATGTATTGAAGAGCTTCACAGCTGGTTGGTTGTGTTCTTTCTGGTAGTCATAAAAAGAAAAAGGTCAATTAACTCATAATAAAAAAATTTTCGTACTTGGGAGCTGAGGGAAGCCAAATCTACATGCAAAACAAACATTAGATGTGTGTCTCACCTAAAAAAAACCCCAATCCTGATGAGGCAGCTTTTAACTTTTTCCAAGTGCCTGCTACAAACTTTCCTCAAGAGATTCATTCCTAAATTTTCATATGCTTTGGTTGCAAATATACCAAATTCAAAAAGTGCACACTTCTTTTTTGGGACCAATTTTCACTTCACAAATATTAAAATGTTTCGTATTTAAGATTCATTTGTATTAAGATTTCATTTGGATTTTGCATTATTCAAACCATATTTTCTTACAATTTATTTTTCTCCTGAATGAAATGTAATTTGCTTCAGAATAGTTTTAGAGAGATGTTTTAAACATGTAGAACATTATACAGGTTATGGAAAGCCCTCTTCCACCCCCATAACACTTCGGAACCTTTAAATGCAACAAAATTTAACATCATGTGTTTAGGGGATTATTTGTTTCCAATTCTGCTTTTAGAATGAATGGCTACACTGAGTTATAAGAGTCAAAATTCTTCTAGATGTATATTGGCTTCAAAGATTACTTCTAACATACTTCATAAAGAACAAGAAACAGCAATACTATCCAGAGTTTGTTGCTTAAACATTCTCATGTGTACATAATATTTTAATCTCTATTTACAGAGCATGTGCTTCTAATACTAGATCTGCTGTGTAGTTTGCAAATGCAAGCAGCTACATGTATAACTAAAAGTGTAGCCATCTTACAGTAAGCGAAGTTCCCAAACGCAGAGAATTAGTCTGAACTGAGCTTTACTGACAAAAAAAGAGATTGTCTTGTGGAATGTTTAGGCATGTGGTAAGACAATCCAACCTTATTGTTGGCAAGGTAGCATACAATTAAGAATAGTTAATATTATAGTTAAAACGGTACTTCAAAAGAGCTAAGTGTTAGCTGCAGTCTGATCAAACCCTGAGGCAAAATACTTATATTTTATTTTTGCAAATGGACCGTGTGAAGAAAGTAGTCTAGTTCTCCAGCTTTAAAAAAATAAAAAGTTAGTGGCTAGGATCCAGCTCAGAGAGAGCATTAGCAAAAGGCACTTCCATTTCTTAATCTCTCGTTTCATCAATTGCCTCATGATCTGCAGGAGCAGTTTTTCAGGGTATGGAGCAAGGAAGCCTCTTAATGATATGGTGTGCCAGACGCAGCTGCAATGGGTAGCTGTCACATGCTCACTATTATGTGGAAGACCACATAAACCTGTGGCTCATGCCATTTGTCACTTAGCTTCTTCAGTCTGAAAGCCTGGCAGAAGTATATTTCCTTATAAAAACATGAAATTGGTGCCTGCAGATCATATAGGATTCTGAAGACTGGGAAAGACAGATAGGAATTTTTGCATATAAAGACAGAAGCAACCCTAAAGGTCATGATATTTGTTTATGTAAATGTGTTGTCTTTCTCTTCACTTTTAAAGCGGGATTAAAGTTTGAATGACTTTATACATCGCTACTAGCTACGTGTGGGCTTCTTTAATTTGTATAATAATGAAATAATCGTTCAATTTTTTGATATGCATGAAGGTATATTACATAAAATGAAAACATGTAAGATGATAATACGGATTTATTTTGTATTTTTATCATTACTTAGGACATCTGTACAGTTGTATCACATTTTACTTTTCAAGTTTGCTTGACAGGGTCAGTGCTGCCTGCCCATATAATAAAGCCGGACAGCATCCTTGTCAGCATCTCATTGGTCTTCGGAAAGCAGTTTATCGGTCAGTACGAGCCAACTTCAGAGCGTCAAGGCTTGCTACCTTGTATATGCTGAAACAATATCCTTTTTTTGAAATAGGACAAACTGGAAAAGGCTAAATAGATGTAATGCAGAATTAATGATTGCTGGACCTCTTTTTATGTTTATGTTCATTTTGTCTCAAGAACTTAACGCAACTTTGTGTTTCTTGTCCATGGCCTTAATATCCTACATATTCACTAACTCCATTGTTTGGTTTTCTTCATAACAGTTTTTTCAACCTACCATGCAGCACATGCGTCCCTTTATGCTTGCAAGAACCCTGTCCGACAGGCTAAGTTAAGGACTGGCCCACTTCATGGCTGAGTGGAGATTTGAATCTAGTTTCCTTGGTGTAAGTCCAGCACACTAACCCTGGGATGGGGACCCTCAGGCCCAGCAGCCAAAGGCAATCTTCCAGGACTCCCTGTCTGGCTTTCATGACTTTCACCAGGCCACATTCCTCACTTGTGCTACTTTGCACTCTCCTTGAATGTTTTTGCCTGGCTTGAACATTCTGATAATGCTTCTTCCTTTCCTGGATAAAGAATAGAGAGGAGTGTGTGTGTGTGTGTGTGTGTGTGTGTGAACTAGCCTACTGTACAGAGATAAAATTTTATGTACATGGCTCAACTGCAATTCCTCCTCCTGTCTTTGGAGTAGAGGTCACAGAATTGCAGCGTTGGAAGGGACCACAAGGATAATCTAGTCCAGCCCCATGTAATGCAGGAATCTTTTACCCAACATGGAGTGCAAACCCACAGCCCTGGGATTAAGAGTCTCATGCTCCACCGACTGCACTATTTAGCCATATGTTGAAGTGTGGGGCAATGGATTGCCCCTCTTTGAATATTGTATGTGGTATTGATTAGTGTTCTTTTTAATGTAGATAAATTTTGGCATTCAATAAAGATGGATTAACACTTGAGATGAATCCTGTCAGTTTCAATTTTGTTAACAGTTTTTTGTTCATGATTGTTTGCTAGATAGAAACCCCCCCCCCCAAATCAAATCACTTGTGGGGTTTTTTGGGAACGAAAATGTCTTTATTCTGAAACTTGTTAGAACTACCTCATGTTTGCCCAAGTTGCGTCTCATACAAAAGCTTCTTTAACTGCCTTAACACTAACTAAACTTACCCATTGAATTCTGAGAGCGACAATGTGACAAACTACATCTGTGTGGTGCCTTTCAAAGAACTGGGCCTTGGACTCAGTGAAGAGCAGGTGTCTGAGGAAGAAGCACACAATCTCACAGATGGCTTCAGCCTGCCAGCACTAAAGGTAATCCAGCCTTCAGGTTTAACATTGGCCTATTTTGTAACTACTTTCCACTTGTAGCAATTAAACAAGAAAACCTGACTGAGCCTGTTAACTAACTTTAAAAAACCCACCCAGGCCAAGGCTCAAGTCAGCTGCCTGGAATATATTAAGTTAACTTACATCTTTGGGCTGGACTCGTTTGTTACCTTTTGTAAGCTTTAGTTGTGGACTCTTGAAGGGATATTTAATTATCAGAATAAATTGCTATAGCATAGAAAATCCCTGATTTACATCTTTTTTTCTACTTTTTAATATAATTGTTTAAAAAGAGGGCACTGGATGAGTTCCAGCAGTTATGGGCCATTGAGGTGGATCAAAAGAGTCAGACAACCAATCTCTCTCTGTCTCTGTCTCTCTGTTAGAGGTTTTAATAGAAATACAGTAGTTCCTTGGAAGTCGAACAGAATCCGTTCCAGAAGTCCGTTCAACTTCCAAAACGTTCGAAAACCAAACTGCACCTTTTGATTGGCTGCAGGAAGCTCCTGCAGCCAATCAGAAGCCGCAGAAGCACCGTTGGACGTTCGGGTTCCAAAGAACATTTGCAAACCACTTCCAGGTTTGCGGCGTTCGGAAGCCAAAATGTCTGAGTTCCAGGGCATTCAGGATCCAAGGTACGACTGTAGCTCTTACATAACCGAATGTCATTCATTTAAAACATTTCTGCTCTGCCTGACTACACCCCAAGGTGGTCTCTGTGGCAGCGCTCGCTTTGTGGAATGTCCTCCCCTTACAGGTGCCAACTTGGTCTTTTAGCAGCTAGTTAAAGCCTACTTGTTGGCTAAAGGTTTTAAGTGACTGTGTGTCCTACCCAGTCGATTTTAGCTACCTTAAATTCTATTTGTAGTCTTTATGTTGTTTTAGTTTTGTTGCTGTTTATGTGCAATGTATATTTTCTTGTACGCTGCCCTGATATTGATATTCATGTATGGTGCATTGTAAACCTTTAAAAAAAAAGTTTTAGTGGTTTGGTAATCATATTATTGTTGAATTGCTTACAATGTATGGAAAAGCAGGAGAAACAAAATGTTATTGTTTTCTGTAACAATTAGGGTTATAATAAGTTTTCTGTATTTGTAGGTTTTATTTCAACTTTGGGTTGGACAAAGTTCTGAATTCTTCAGGCGGCTAATTCTTCTGCTGTCCCCCTCCAATGCATCTATCAAGACGCTGATTAGGCCAGAACATTTGCCACTTTCGACCTTTACTGATGTGACTCAGGGTCTTCGTCATGCACATGCTGCCTGTTTAGAAGAGCTTAAACGGAGCTATGAATTTTATCGGTACTTTGAAACACACCATCAATCTGGTTTGGAACGTTCAGTCAAAACCGAACAAAAGTCAAGAGAACTAAATCGTCTCCACACAGCAGTGCGCAGCCTACAACTCCATCTGAAGGCCTTGCTTAATGAGTAAGCTGTTCTCTGGGAGTGATTTGTTACTACACACAGGTCTGCTGTCAGAATGCTTATTATCTGAAATCTCAGTTATCTGAACACAAAGAAGTATACCCAAACCTTGCTACACAAACGGCTGATTTAGATATCAGAACAGCCAGAGTTTGCACACTTCCTTGCTTGTTTCTGTTTGCTGATTAGCTGAAGCCATTTGGGGCAGAAACCATGGAGGGAGACAGATCAGGGAACAAGGGAGATCGGGCAAATCAGTTTTTCCTTTGTTTGGCTTTTGCTGATTGGCCGCAGCAGTTTTGGGCAGAAAGCATGGAGAGAGAACCCATGGATTAGAAATGGGTGTGTGTTCTTAAACAATACTACCGTTGCTGATATGTGTACATCTATTCATATTAATCCTTCAGACATGCTTTGAAGCAGAAATGTTTACTAGTTCCCTAATAATCTCTTCATTCACTTGCCAAAGGTTTACAATGTAAACTTATGCATAGGTAAAGGTAAAGGGACCCCTGACCATTAGGTCCAGTCGTGGCCGACTCTGGGGTTGTGGCGCTCATCTCACTTTATTGGCCGAGGGAGCCGGCGTACAGCTTCAGGGTCATGTGGCCAGCATGACTAAGCCCCTTCTGGCAAACCAGAGCAGCGCACGGAAATGCCGTTTACCTTCCCGCCGGAGCGGTACCTATTTATCTACTTGCACTTTGACGTGCTTTTGAACTGTTAGGTTGGCAGGAGCAGGGACCAAGCAACAGGAGCTCACCCCATTGCAGGGATTTGAACCGCCGACCTTTTGGTCGGCAAGTCCTAGGCTCTGTGGTTTAACCCACAGCGCCACCTGTGTCCCTATGCATGTCTACATAGAACTAATTCTCACTGAGTTTAGTGGGACTTACTCCAGGATTCAGGATCTTTCTGAATGTCTTTTTAGATGGAGATGCAGGGAATTGAACGCAGGACTTTCTATATGAAAAGTGTATGTCTTTTCACTGTTTTATAACGTCTTTCCACAAGTGAAGTTGTTCTTATGAATTTATGGATTTCTCTCTAGCCTTCATTAGAACAGCTGCTAGACACTGTGCAATGATTGTGGTCTTTTACTGCTATTTCAAAGGCTTGGATTACTTGTCTAAAACTAAGTTCACCCTTTAAGCCCTGACCAGTTGCTTCTGGCACTTTGATATCATACATATGGGCTCTGCCCACATAGGTAAAACTGATAGTCCATTAGAATAAAAAAGGAGGATATAAAATCTGGAAACTTATAACTGCAGTCACATCAACTCACTGCCCACAGCAGGTCCATAAAATATTTGATTTGTGTACTAATTAAATGGTTTGTTGTTGTTGTTTGTCCAGAGTAATAATTCTTGAGGATGAACTTGAGAAGTTTATTAGTTCCAAGGAAAGCCAAGAACTAACTTTGGAGGCCTACCAAGTTGTAGAAACAAAACTAAGACTTGTTCAACCTCACATGCAAGCAAGCAACAGCTGCTGGGAAGAGGCAATTTCTCAGGTGGAAAAAATGGTTCGAAGAAATCCAGAGAAAAAAGGTAAATTGTCTTCACAAAAGCATTTAGAAATTCCAGTCATGGTAAAATAAAATCTACAGTAGGTAGTCATATATGCGGTAAATAGTAACTCCAGTATTGCAATAGCAAAATGCCTGGGTTTGTAAGTAGGTTTTTAAAATGCATCAAAAAGGTAATGTGGATTGTACATATCTTTCTGATTTACATAAGTGAAGGGCTACATGAACTCAGACTTTGGACGTAAATCTGGAAGGAGATACTATCTTGATTGTTCATAGCAGTAGATCTGAGCTTGCTATAAATTCATGGGATCCACTGTGTACTTTCAGCGGTGATTCATGACTCCTAAAAATATCAACTGATGTCCTTAAGTTGTTGTTTATTATGTTTATTTTTAAAATAAAAAGTAATTAAAACTTAGGACAGTGTCTACCTGCTAATGGATTCTTCTAGCCCTTTGGGGCAGATTTAGGTAGGGAAGGGGAAATTGGCTGACAAGAGTCCAATGGGTTGACATTCAAAAAAAAAACAAAACCCAATTCTGCTGACTCCTACTTTCTCTGCTGCTTCTCTACTAACTCCAGGCACTCCTGAACCATCATGTGAGAACAAGCATTGCACCATGGTACCTTTGCTGCAACCATCTGTGCATATAGAGGATAAAGACCCAATCCCTGAAGAACAGGTACAAATATTATAGTCTGCAAAATTCACAAAATGTGTCAATATGTGTATGTTTATTTGATGATTGAGGGAAGTATAATAGTGTTCTGCAGTTGTATCAGGATACTTTATTCAACAGATTAAGTAAATACATAAGCAGAGGACTTTTTCTGGAAAAACCTAATAAAAATATACATTTAAAATGTACCAAAAATTCACTTCTCATAGAGTGGAAGCTTGAACTTGATGAAAATGGTTGTCAGTTGCATCTTGTCACTTGCTATCTTTATTTGTTGTAATGTTTGTGCTGGCAAAGAAAATTGCTGCTGTTATATAGGATAAGAGTCTAGTGCTAGGTATATAGCAGGAATGAAAAACATATAGCCTTTGCATCAACCTGTATCAGCATGACCAGTGAACAGGAATGATGGGAGTTGTAGTCCAATAACTAATGGCAGGCCACTGATTTCTCCAACCTTGGCATTTTCTTAACATGTGACACCTTGGATATAAGGCTATGATACTAGTGGTGAAGCATCATTTTAAATATACAAAGTGTTTAAGAAAGTGGGTTACTATTGTCAACTAAACATTTCAGCCACCCTAGAGAATCTGTTGACAGCCTTTGTGTGTCTGAACTATATAAACCTTAAATACCATAAGTGACCTTAATTAACATTCTTTTAAATATTGGTAGAGTTATTTCAGAATTCCCTTTGGTCTATAAACCATACTTGGGATCCAAATCTTGTAGTTTAAATAAATGGTTAGGAACCATCACTGTCTTGTAGTATTTTGAGTAATTTTTAGATGCAACAAGATGTTTGTTAACTTTTTCCTCAGGAACTTGAAGCATATGTTGATGATGCAGATATAGACAGCGAGTATAAAAGAGATGACTTTTATTACTTTTCCCTGGAAGACAGAGAGAGGCAAAAACGTGAAAGAGAGGAATCCAAGAGAGTGCTGCAGGAATTAAAATCTGTGCTGGGATTTAAAGCTTCAGAGGCAGAAAGACAAAAGTGGAAGCAACTCCTGTTTAGTGATCATGGTAAGTGTTACTTTTGTTGTTAATTTAAGGAAATCTGTATGCAACTCTCTTTTCTGAATTAGTTTAGCTTTTGATGATCAGGAGTACAGTGGATGCTCGGGTTGCAAACGTGATCCGTGCGGGATGCACGTTCGCAACCTGCAGCGTTCGCAACCTGCGTCTGCACACGCGCGGGTTGCAATTCAGTGCTTCTGCGCATGCACGACTGCCGAAACCCGGAAGTAACCCGTTCCAGTACTTCCGGGTTTCGGCAGTCCGCAATCCGAAAAAACGCAACCTGAAGCGGCTGTAACCCGAGGTTTGACTGTAATACCTTACAGCTCCCAAGGTCCTAAAGTACTATACATTACAACCACAACTTATACGTATTTAACCTGAGCTATTTCAACCTTGTGCGGTTGAAGGCTGCTCATTGAAATTGCACAAATGCATGCAAGGCAGAGACCTTAAATGCTCTATTTGCATTAGGTTTTCTTGGTATGGAAAGAGCCTCTAAGCTCTCTGACTTGATTACTGAGTAAAGCCCATTCAGTGTGTGGGCTCTGGGATGCTGTTTCTCAAGATCTTGTGGGGCCATCCAAGGATAGGCTTGATGCATTGGGTGAGAGTTTCTTTAGACTCACAGAATTGTCAAGAGTATTCATAATTTGTTCTCTTGAAGGATCCTTACAGATTTTCCTTCTAGATCAGAGGTGGGGAATTTATCAGTGTGAGGGCCACATTCCCTTCTGAAGGCATCCGGAAGCAAACATGGGTAGAGCATGTTTTGCATTTATTCAGTAGCAACCAGTGGGAAGCAATGTAACAGCTCCAGTGTAAGGGTGGTGAAATTACTAGGTTTTTTTTAAAAAAAAATCCATTTTGTTTTATAGTTATTCTATCCCTCTTAATGTTTGAGAGGGCATATACCTGTTACCTTATGTGTTCAGCATCCTCTGTAGTAAATGAGAGCCGTGCATCCTTTAAAACTTAAAGTGAAGTTTTTTTGAATACTCATTCCATATTTCCCCCTCTTTCAAGCTGCGATGAAACCCTTGCCTGGTACAGAGCAAGAGGAACCCATAAATGTTTTGGGATTGCCGAAAAATTCAGAATCAGGCAAGCAGGTGTGCAGCAGAGATGACAGCTTGGAAGAAGCAGTCTCTGACTTCAAAACACAAGCTACTGACAGTGAGAAAGATAGGGTGGAGTACCTCTCTGATGAATCTGGTAAGAACAAAAACGACATTGCTGCAAATGGTGGCTCACCAGAAGTTGAAAAAAGAACATGTTACCAATGCAATGGAGAAGGTGAAGAAGAATCTGATTCAGCTGGTGTGGACAGAGCTGATGTGTCGCAGCCACCTGAGAGAGATGCGTTACAGAACTCCATCAAACAAAGACTGGCTGAGCTTCATATATCAGCAGATTTGAATTTCACATCAGGACTCGCAGCACAGGTTGCTGCCAGGTCACTGACATTTACAACCATGCAAGAGCAAACATTTGGCGATGAAGAGGAGGAGGAGGAGGAGGAGATACAGGAAAAGGAAGACTTTTTTGAAAAACACAAAGGTGAAGTAAATGACTGCAAAAATGAAGAATCATAGAGCCCACCTAAAATTTGCCTTTCCTATTTGGACACAATGGAAGGCCAGTGGGATTAACAACAACAGCACATGCAAAGATTCAGCATTGATAATATTGGATGTTGAAGAGAAGATAACCATTAAAAATCATGACTTCAATTGGACTTTACTAGTCTTTTGAAATATATCCATGTGCAAATATCAACTAGACTCCAAGTGTATAGTATGGTTCTTACAGGTACCACGAATGACTGGCATTTCTTTTAATATTTTATCTTTATTTATTTATATTATTAGACATTTTTTCCAAAAATGTAAAAGCAAATGGTCTAATTGTCATTTCCTTATTGCTTATTATAATGTTGACATTAATTATGCAACTACTTGAAATGGTTCTTTAACAAGAACCTAACACCATGTGGGTTTTTCTGCCCACTTTGCGTCCTCTCCTTTCTGCATTAGATCACCTAATGGCCTGCATATTTGTTGAGCTGTTGGTTCATCAGGGCCACAGCCTAAGATGTGGACTGTTTTGTTTAATGAAAGCCATAGCTTGTGTATCCTGGGATGCTAACCTAAAATAATAATAAGTTATTAGCAAAGGGTTACAAAGCAAAACAAAAACCCAGCACAATCTTCTGTATTTTAACTTCTGGACTATGGAGAATAAGTTGACTGTTTCATGTTTTTGCAGTGATTTTTCCGTATTGCAAACACTCCCAAGTTGTCACATGTGACACCCCCCCCCTTTTGCAGATAAGGGAAATTAAACAGATTCTGATCAGGTCTTCTCCCCTGTTTCTTTCCATCTGTTACCTTGTGTAGATAAAAACAACTTTACTTCTGCAGCAGAGACTAACTGAGACTTGGTGTCCTTTGATTGTAGTTTCTACTTTGTTTTCCATTGAGTCACATTCTCTGAAAATGCTCCATCCAAAGGTAACTCAGATTCTTGTTCTCTTGGTTTCATGTTCAGTCTGATCTACAAGTGTTTTCATGTATTTCACTTCAGCACTTCCACCACCATTAGAGTAACTGCTACAGCTGATTTTCCCTACTGTGGAAGGTGGTAGCGGCAGCTGTTGACTTCCACACAAGGAATACAGCCGCAATAACTGTATTATTATTATTATTTATTGAATTTATATACCGCCCTATACCCTGGAGGTCTCAGATCGGTTCACAGAACAATGTGAAATGATGGAGGGTATGCCTTGCTATTACGTTGTAGCAGCAATATGGTTGGCAGATTCCCAGATTGGATCAAAACCCTAAGAATGCTCTGTGTTCTGCAAGTTTTACAAGTATGTTTGCAACATCAAGTATAAAGCAAGGAATTCAACATCACGGTATTATGGTCACTTCGTTAGCGCAAGCAATTCTGCTTGCCTCATGGAACAATCTACCCTCTCCTCCCCCTAATGCGCTGTTCCAGAGGCAGTTTCCTGATCGCCCAGAACTATTGGGGGACACAGGATGAGAGTGGAGGAAGCCGTATTGTGCTAGCATGACTTCTGCTGGCTACCACCAGCACAACACTTTAGTGGAATCCGGGCCAAAGTGCATTGCTTTGTTCAGTAGTGGAGTCAAATAAATGTAACAATTCTGTTATCACAAATATGATTTCTTTCTAGTCTGGGGACTAGAAAAGTTACAGCAGCCTGAATTTACTATTAACATTTTAATGTAATTATTTTTTTAAAAAATATTTCACTCATCACCCCAAAAGACAGAAATATATTCAGTTTCCTCCCAAAAGTCCCATTTTTCATTTCAGACTTTAAGAAAAAAGCAAAAAAAAACCCATCCATCTCTAATATTTTTTTCCAAGGTTCTTCTTCTCCTACTTCATGTCCATACTTGGGCTTTTTCTTCTTCTCCTGTACAATAATCTTCTGCAGCTCATGGTGAGTTTGCAGGGGAAAATTATAATTTGAGTTTGGATCTGGCTTCATCCGTTGAGTTGTTCCTGAGTGCAGGTGGCTCCTTTGTATAAGCTGAATAGCACACAATCATGGGGACTTGCTCTCCTGGTATATTTCAAAATAAAGTATCAAGCAAAATTTGTAAATATTCAACAACAATCTATATAAAAGTTAAAACACAGTCTGTGACCCAGATGGGCATGCGTATGCACACTGGAATTAAAGAAATGGCCCTGAAGGCCCCAAACACTAGGAACTCTATCCTTGGCTTGAGATTTTCTTTCTAGTGGGGGCAAAGCAACAGCCTTTAAAAAAGATACTGGCCATTATTTAAGATTCTCATGTAAGACATTCCTTTACAAATCATTAGCTTGGACTCTTCCATAATTCCTGTGATTTGTGTTACCTCAAAAAGACAAAACATCCAAACCCCAAGGTGCTCATGGTGGACATGAACTGAAACCGATAATTTTCTGCTCAGAGCATGTGGAATTTAAGACAAAATAATTATTTTTCCATACCTGTCATGGCATAGCAAATGCAACTAGAAATATTGTGTGAAATCCTTGCTTGAGTATGTTCAGGGTAACTCTGCAGGCTGTTTTCAAGAGAACTGGAATACAAAAAACAAATTAAAGTACTGGAGTTATAAGAGAAATCAGGGTACACTTCAGTATACTTTGATTACTATGTATTTTATAATTTTAGGTTATCAGAACACAGTGGACACTTTTTTTCCTAGACTCAATCACAAGCTTAGTCCAAAGTTTCCATTGCTTACTCATTCTTCACTTAAAGCCTAGTCATATAATAAAAAAACCTAGTTGTATAAGTTAAACCCATAGGTGAGTACATCAGATCACCTATTTTTAATTTGAATTCCTAACAGGTAACATGTCTCCCTCTCTGTTCTCATTAAGGACTCTCACAATTCTTTCAAGGTTTTTTAAGCATACATTTTAAATCCTTCACACTGAAATCTTACACGCTCTTACCTAGGTGTCACCCTCAGAGTGTAGGACTTATTTCTGAGTTAACAGTGCAATCCCGTATGTGCATGTTGCTCAGTTCACTAAGGTCTTCCTAGTACTTTCTGGTTTCCCTTTTAACAGCAGTCCTGAATTCGATGACTGTGTGTGTGTGTGTGTGTGTGTGTGTGTAGGTTTGCTTTTGGGCCCTGGGCATTAATTTATTTTCATTTTAGCTTCTCTCATATTTTAGTCTTGTCCACCGACAGACATACTTTGAATTAATGGAAATAAAAAAGGTGTTCAAAGTACTTAATGTATGTGAAGTGCTCTGAGCACTTAGTTATCTCAGAAATCTTTATAACAGCACTGAAGAGGAGGCTTGTGTGATGTCACAGTCTGGCTGGATGCAGAGGAGTGGTGGGAGGCACCAGCTAGGTAATTCCCAGGGGAAGAAGACTCAGAGCCAGGGGACTGGTGGTGGGATGACAATGAGTGGTAAGAGGGAGAAGAGGGAGCAGACTGGGAGGAGTAGGTGTCAGATGCAGAAGAGGCAACAACAGGGTGAGCAGGAAGAGGCTTTGACAGAGAGCAGTTCAGACTCTGAGGCTGGAGAGGAGGTTGGCCAAGAGGCAGAGTTGAGACAGGTTGCTGAAGAACCTAGGAGGTCTCCCCATCCTGCTGTGACCAGCTCCTCCCCCCTCCCCCCGGTCTCCTAGAAAACTCAGAGAAATGAAAAGAGCAGAGCAGAGATTGGTTGTATGCAGATGCAGTTTGTATCTGTTTGGGAAAGATCCTGGAGAGGAGGAGCTTTAGAGAGCGGTGGGAAGGCAGGGACCTTCAGTCCTTGCAGCTGCCTCAATGGGGGCAAGACCTACTGGGAAGAGGTTTCTTTGAATAAAGAGTTAACTTCACTAACATTGTTGTTTTTATTGCCTGACTCTGGCTCCTGACATGTGATTATACTTGCATTATAGATTGGGGCTGGGATGGGGGGTAAACCACACGTGGAGGTGACATTTTGTTTTACTTTTAAACTTGTGCAAACCACTTTATAAGTGCTTAGGTTTTGCTTTAAAGTTTACTATAACCAAAATAAGTATTAGAACATTGAGTGAAATTAAACATCCTATTACAAATATTCCATCTGTGCAAGCACTGCAGTTTTCCAGATGGAACAATAGCTCCTCCCCCCCATGTGCTGTTTTGAGGGTATTCCCACCTCACCCCAGAGCCAGTTATGGGGGGGGCATGCAGGGGGAAAGGATGTGGTAGGTGAATCTCGCCCTTTGTTTCTGATACCAAATTAGTTGAATTACATTCACACTTTCACTGAATCATTTGCAATATTCAGTGTGGCTGTGAAGCCCAGAAAGGGTATTTTAAGATAAGCAGTCCAAAGGTTTTCACTTTCTCTTGAATGTTGTTCCATATCGTTGGTGTCTTTTACTCCTCTTAAACAACCATTACTTGACATATCATGGTTCATACTTAGATTTGTTCCTTCTTCTCTAGAATTCAAAACTCATTGTCTGTGTTTTAAAAAAACCCTACTCTTCATCATGCAAATACATAGTTCTCCGGTTTGCAGTAAAATAGAAGGTGAGAGGGGCAAATATCTGCTTCATCAGCACTGCAGTTTTTGTCTATTTATATAAATGGTTGTTTATAACTTGACTTTCTACTGAAGATGAATTTCTTGCTAAATGATCTTGGCAACAGCTAGTTATGCAATGCACAGTGCTGGCTCACTGTTCAGGCACTTCACTAATGAATGTGGGTCGGTCCTGTCTTTATACCTGCTGACTGAAGTAAGGCACAGTATGTATTATTTTTCCTCATGCAGTAGCTCTGTGGGAAACCCTTAATGATTCGGATAAGATCTTAATGACTCTGCAGCAGTCCAACACAACCTCTGCAGAGAGAGCTTCTTGTCACACCAAATGAAAAAGTTGCTAGCCAGAGACCATATGAGATTAATCAGTAGAGAGCAGCAGGCAGCACTTGAGGAGGCTGAAAGAGAATACTGGACACAAAAAGGAGGGCTTCATTCTGGATAAATCCCAGTCGCCCTTTGCATGCCTTTAAAACAGGGATAGTTGAAGTGTGGCCTCAGATATTGCTGACCATTGGCGAGAATGGGAGTTGTAGTCCAACAACATTTGGAGGGCCACAGGTTAGTGCAGAGGAGAGGCCAAGTTGGTAGCTTTTCTCCTAAGCTCTGTATTGCAGGCTATGTACACTTCTGCAGATTAATGGCGGCTTTAAAATGCCATTAAGTTTCTGAAAAGTTGTCTGTATGTAGCCTCAGACTCTGTCCTTGCCATGGTGGCAGCCTGTGATCACGGTGGGAAAGTCAATTCCCTCTGCGACTTTACCTTAAGGTTAAGCCTGTACATTCAGCTGAGAGATTTCTCATCAATATATGAGGAGATGTCCCATCTCTACCTCACTGCTGCTGCTTTGGAATGGAATTCATTTATACAGAGAGGGAACTTGGTTTTTCAGCCAGAAAGCAGAAAAGAGATGCTGCAACTGAGGCAAACTGTTTTCAGGAAGTGAATTTATATTGTGCTGAGATTTGACAGTTGCTTAGTTATGTGATATGAGTTTCCTAGAACTAAAGGTCTGTTTTTTTCAAGTTCTTCTAATCATTTATATTAGCTTAATTTGATGCTGATAAGCTTGTTTGCTAAAGAAGCCCTTTCCAGATTTCTGCTGCCTTTGTTTTGAATATTTGTTTGATACTCTATCAAAGTGTATACAGACAAATGTAAGTATTTCATGAGAAAGAGCAACACTACCAGCTGGATTGTCATTCTTTCCCGTGTAAGGAATCATACCTGTTTCCTAAACTAACAAGAATGTACATAGGAGATTGTAACTTTTGAATAAGTACTTTATGTAATAAAACATTATTTCCTGTTTCTGAACTTCTCTATTAATTCTTCTGATGCTTGACTTATATAAACTGTACTTTTATATAACTTTCTGAATTTCTCCTTTCTCTCATTAAAAGCTATACTGCCCTCCTCACCCACTCTCTCTGCTGTGTTGCTTTGTCACAACAATTCTTCAAATAAATTGCTGGTTTAGCCCCATAGACAAGGTTAGATGGGAACATGGCTTCAGGCAATGGCCATCCACACCGTGTAAGCAGGGTGCAAGGTCGTATAAGAAACAGTTGAATAAATACAGGGCTAAGACGCAGGGCTAAGTTTTACCCATTTGTTTGGCAATGATTTTGGGGGTTAGCTTACCTGACTAGGAGCATCTCACCTGACAGCACATGGAAGATCTCAAGAATATTACATAGCACATTAAAACTAAAGTAGCCTTTAAAACCGTGTGCCCTTAAATTTTAATTGGTGTGCTGTATTTTAGCTCCACACACACACCAATTAAACAACTACTGTGGATTTTTAACCTATTAATTAAAACTTTGAATCCTAACACCAGAAAGAAACTGAAACAACTTCAAACTTCCACCGCTCTGTGAAAATGTCATAATATGATCTACCAAATTATTATGATGGGCTTCAACAAACCACATTTAAAGCCATGTATCACAGGTATGTCTACACAGAGTAAAATACCTCAGTCTATAATCAGGGGGTAAGTAGTAGCCCCTGTTGTAATTGTTCCTTGTCAGGGCAATCTGCTTTTGAAGATCTTTCACTGATTTGCTGTATCCATTGAAAATATAGTTGGCAAAGAGCAGCTTTCCTCGAATGTACATCTGTCAAAAATACATAAAACATCAGCCTGTGAGTAGAATGCAAAAGCTGCCTTTGAGGAGACATACAGAAGAATGGGACGCGGTTTTGTCTGGAGCCGCATTAGAAGAAGAAGAAGAAGAAGAGTTTGGATTTGATATCCCGCCTTTCACTCCCCTTCAGGAGTCTCAAAGCGGCTAACAATCTCCTTTCCCTTCCTCCCCCACAACAAACACTCTGTGAGGTGAGTGGGGCTGAGAGACTTCAAAGACGTGTGACTGGCCCAAGGTCACCCAGCAGCTGCATGTGGAGGAGCGGAGACGCGAACCCGGTTACCCAGATTCCGTGACTACCGCTCTTAACCACTACACCACACTGGCTTACCAATTTTTAATTCATTAGCAGGCCATATCACACCATCATGAGTCATCCTGCTCACCTGCTGAACTGACTGCCCAGAACTAAGTACAATATCACAGCTTTCCCCAGCACTGGAGAGAGCCAGCACCTTCTAAACCTTGGCTAGGGTGCCTCCATCACTGGCATTCTTCTGTATTGTAGTATGAACTAATGTTTAGTTTGTCACCTGCAAGACATCATTAACCTTTTTAGATCAACTGTTTTCAGCTAGGCGTTTGCCATCTTGCTCCTGGGGTAGTTCATTTTGTTTAGTGGCAGGCCAGTAATCCAGCTCATTAAGATTTGCTATTTTTAGCCAATTATAGGTTTCATGCTCCAGGCTAGGCAAGTTTCTCAGCCAGCTTGCAGAAAGAGACACCTTCTGCTTCAGGTCTGTAACCCATTTGTCTGAGTACAGGTGATGGGGCTTGCTTCTGAGTAGATATGCACAGGATTGTCAAATGTGGGGCAGCCTGGGCAGATTCAGGTCTGCATTTATGGAAACCCTCTCAAAGAAAGGAGTCCTGAAAGCTTTTGACGTTGCCCTCTAGAGAGTGTTTTAATCGAAATGTAAAAGCTGAGGAAACTGAAACAGGTACCTTGAATAATGTTTGGGTTGATCACTTCTATGGGATAGTTTCAATGATTTCTTTTATCTAATGTAGCACAGTTTGGGGAGAATGTTTCCTTACCTGCATAAAAAGAGGCAGCCAAGCATTCTAGAAGAAGGGTCATAGCTCAATGGCAGAGTGCATATTTTGCAGGCAAAAGCCCAAGGGCCAGTCCCTGGTATCTTCAGTTGGGTTGGGACAGACCCCTGTCTGGAAGCCTGGAGAGCTGCTGCCAGAATACTGAGCCAGGCGCATCAGTGGTCTGACTCTGTAAAGGCAGCTTCCTATATTCTCAACTAACACCAAGGGAAACAATTGGCCTACTTTGACAGTTGATTGGGAAAAAGCAATCAAGTGCAAAAGGTCATTCTTATAGGCCTTTCGTCAGTTAAGGTAATTAATTCAGGTAAGCCAAACTTGAAGAGACTGTGCACAAACCAGAAGACAGATAATACTATATTTCTGCTCTTTCATGACACATTACAGTGGCCTGTAAACCATCGAAGATTATTATAAAATATAACACTTGCTAACCTTGGTATTTGTCAGTTTGTAAAGACTAAGCTATATTCATTATACAAAATTATTTGCTTGCTTACTTGGGAACAAGCTCCAGCAGATAGGCTAGGATTCTATAAATTTAGCTTCGGCTCTGCAGCTTGTGACAATTGTTTTAACGTAATTTTTCTTTTTTTTTAACTCGTGCTCCCCAGTTTGCACAAACATTCATGATAACCCTGGAAAACCATATATTTTATGAGACCTTCTTCCTCACTGGGTTGAAATTGAGGAGTCAACTGTAGTGGTTCAGAAACTGAAGTAATTTGCAAATAGGAAGTAGTGGCAACAGATTAAAATGGAAGGGAAATCTCATTTATAGTTTAGTAAGTCTAGATGTAGGTGGACAGGGGCCCTCTGCTGGACAAACATAGACGTTACAGTTGCTTAGAGGTGACTACAAAGAGATATTTTGCTTGCTTGCTTCTTGGACAGGAATCCAAGATGCTAGCATGTAAAAATACCCTTCAGGTAAGTCCAATTCACTCATTTATTTATTTGCTTCTGGAAGAGCAGGTATACACTCCTTATTGGATACAGGCATACAATACCCAATGGAATAAGTGCTCATTAGTAGCCAGGGAGTGTCATGGAGAAGAGGTCCAGTTGCCCCAGTAAGAATAAACCTTACTCTCAGTCCTGGAAAGTATTTGTCCTGCATTCATTGTAACAGAGTATTTCAAATATGCCCCTTGCATTGGGAAGGGATCATGCTAGCTATTTCGTTCTTGCTTCTGTTAGGCTCCATATTCAGAAAATAAGGTGGAAGAGTCACCTTTCTAGAGTTCATATCATTTGCTGAGAACAAATTATAGGCTGATTCACTATAGTGCTTCCATCTCTCCCCCTTTACCCATCTATCTAAAACAGTGAGAGAATAGAGATATTTTCCTTAGTTCTCAGATCAGAAACTTGAGCAGTTGTTCTTACCAGACCCCTTTGAGGGAGAAACTGGAATTTTATGTCTTTTTCCAGTCAGTGCCATATCTTTCACTATTCTGCAGAACGAAACCAATCATCCTTATGTTCCAATTATTGTGATGGCACTGATCCCAATGGACAAGAGGAAGATGTCAGCATTGTCTTTGTGCTGCATCGCCATTTGCTATGAAATGGGGAATGGACTGTCTTGAACGAAGAACACAAGAAGTAGACTCCAGCCATAGGATCTGGAAGCCATTTGCTTGGTATGAGTTGAAATGACCTGGATGTGCGACAGGAAGGTTATAACCTACCAAAAACATGCCAGGAGCAATATTATGCCTTTTCACCAGTAGTGATCCACAGTGGCCTGTAAACTCATCTGCAGACCCAATATCGTATTTCAGCAGGCGAAAAGAGTCCAGACGACCCTACAAAAACAAAGACAGCATCATTATAAGACTAGGTCAACAATAGCAATAATAAATCTTATTCTACCAGATGTCAGAGCACAATGTTCCCATTGAACAAGTCAGCATTAAAGGAATTGAATTATTCAGCTATTTACTGCTCACATTGGCAAGTGGCCCAAATACATTTAACTTAGTGATGGACATGCCTAATTGTCAGAATGTCCCTCTGATGTACTCCCACCTTACCAAAAAAAAAGGGGGGGCACTACTGTTAATTTAGATCTAGTGTGTAGGGAAACAGCAATAGCATTCATGTTCTGAAAAAGCTCACCCATCTTAGGGCTGTCATATTTTGAAGAGCAAAAAAGAGGACACATTTGCCAACTTTTACTTTTAACCATGGATCGCTATAACGACTCATTTTACATACCCATGAAAAAGAGGACGTGTTCTGGAAAAAGAGGTCATATGACAACCCTAGACTTATACCCCAATCCACAAACGATATAAAAGGACGTTTTGTGGCATTAAACTCCTATGTCAACAACCCAATTTCTCTGTACTGTCAATAAAATTAAGCAATTTTTTCACACCAAGATGTTATTCAAAATCTTCTTGCTGTTACATCAGTCATTGGCCCAGTTCAAATACCACACTAAGTTATACCATGGCTAAGTGTGAACAAGCAAGCATGTGGGTACTCACAGGAAAATATCCCTCCCCATTTCCTGCTAATGCCATGCTACCGGGATCTAAACCATGGTTTCACTTAGCTTTACATCCAAACTTGGGATCATGGTTTGTCTGGGGGAACAAACCAAGAACAAACTTTGGTTACAGCTCATGGTTTGTTTGGAGCAAGACAAACCATAAACCTAGGTTTGGACGTAACACTAAGCCACCCACGGTTTAGCTCTGGCTAGCATGCCAGCAGGACAATGAGGCACCTGCAATTTTTGTGTGTTCATGCTTAGCCATAGCTTGGCTGAGTGTTAACAGGTGAACCAGGTCACTGATGCGATTGAGACAACACCCGAGAGCCCTACCTGTGTACATGGCATACTCCTGTTCTTGTTCTTTCTCTCATAGAGCTGTTCTAGGTGCTTATCTGTTCTGGGGTCGTAATCTGCCGTTCTCAATGAAGTAGTCACACAGACCACAGTGATCTGCTCTGAGGAAGACATCTGGTTGTTAATAATGTGATCATATTCCAGGTCTGTAACATATGGAATCTGATGGTTGCTGCATCTGCATATCCTCACTTCATCTCCCAGCATCGTTCTTCGAAGGACTACAGGGCAGGCACTGTGTGATGCAGTGGATGCCTTTTCACTGTCATGAGAAAGCAGTGGTAAAAGGAGCGTAAGTTGGAGTGTGAATGAACTGAAGTAACAAAACTTTAACCAGCTTACACTTACTTGATCTACCAAACAAAGTCTCTCTGTTTCCCAGGTAATTCAAAAGGCTGCTGCAAAATCATACCTCTGTCTGAAATTGTTTTTATCATCATGATGCTTTTTGTCTACAACTTCTTAATGTGCCTTTTGGGATCAGCTATTTCCTTGAGGGCTATCCAACATTTTGTCACGAACCGTAGCTCTTCTGTTTATTCATTTAATTAACATTGCAAAGGGGCTTACAATATTTTGTTCTTCACCTCAGTCCGTGGCCCACCAGAGATCATCGACCAGTGCAACCAAGGCAGTTTCAGTCCCACAATGAGGCCTAAATCCCAACTGGAAGGGACCTAAATGGTCCGCATCCTCCAAGCGTGCCTGGAGTTGTTCAGTGACCACCCACTCAATCACCTTGCCCACACTTCTTTTCTCCTTGCATTGTTGTACAAATAAACCCAGAGTCCTGACTTTAGCTGAAATCCATGGTTTTCTAAAGGTATAACTATGTCCACAGCACTTTGATGCTCTTTCTGATCCTCCAGAGCAGAAGAACTAGCCAAACTAGTATAATGAAAACTCTAGCAGATGCTCTTTGTGTGGATAAACTGGCTGAACAAGTTCTGAAGACAGCTTCAAACAAAATTCGGGCAAGACGCTGAATAAATAGTGGTAAGGTCCTGAAGTGTGTAAGACACAAATGCTTATTTCTGTGGAAAAACAAGAACAACTTGGTTCCAAGGCTACCAGAACTGAACCTAGCATTGTTACAGTGATAACATTACAAATGTAAGGAAATGCTGGTTGCTTGCTGCAGAGGAAAAGGACTGCTTTCTTTACATTCCTAGTTGCAGATTGCAACTTCAGAAATCCAATCCAAGTACCGTAAATGTAGTAAAATTAAGGCCACTGGATTGTGAGCAGCTCAATTCTAGTCAATTTTACAAAGATGAATTATTGTTGGAGGGTACAGAATCATGTATACTCCCCTTTACTCCTTGCAGGAAAAGTGGAAGATATAAACATAATAAATAGAATAATAAATATATCATATACATAATGCAAAGCTATTCTAAATTGATCTAATTGCCATATTTTCCTTACTTCTCCAAAGCAAAAATACTGTAAAATCACCTGAATATGTCTTTGTGTCATTCTTAAAACATATGCTCCAAATAATATAAATGGCATTTAAAGAATCTTAGTAAGTCTTCGAAGAACATAGTAAATGGTATTTAGTTTTACTTACTTTGCTTTGTGAGAGGTTTGGAGTGTGTCATCATTTATATTAAGGTGAGCCATGGGTGGTTTATTTGTTCTGAAAATGCTGCTCAATAAATGAGGGTCTCTGCAAGAGAAAATAAACACACTTAACAGTTTTTCTGCAATTCCAAGGTATCTATGCTGATATTTACACTGATATGCAATGTAGACCCATTTCTAATGGCTGTTTCATACAATGCAGCATATGTGGGGAACCTCTGTCCCTCCAGAAGTTGTTGGATTCCAAGTCCCATCATCCATCCCCAGCCAACATGGTCAATATTCAAAGATGATGGAAGCTGAAATTCAGCGTACAGGGTGCAACTGATTCTGCACCTCTGCAGTATCATTTTAGTAGGTTCACGCTGCATATTCAGCACGTTAGAATTCCTAAAGCACTTAATCAGAGCAGTATAAGATCCCAGTATAAAGGAAGTTGTTCCCACTCCTCTCTGGTGATTTATCAGTTGAGCTTATGTGTGCTGTGGTTGATTCATGACCCAATATTTAGCTTGCACCTATCTTAATTAAGAGGATTTGGAAACCAAACTCATTGCTACAAAAAAGAATTAATACAGTATTGCAACATTTTACATCTGTCCCTTTGGAATATTTTCTCAATTTATTTTCATTTACCCAGCATAAAGTTTTAAAATTAACTTTAATAAAATAAAGGTAATATTCTGAGCAAATTGGGAAATTTATCCACAATGAGGCTTTTCCTTGGTCCCTGCACGCACCCTGCCAAATTGGCTTGGGTGTGTGTGTGTCAGGAGAACTCCCAGAACAGCTTGCAGGCAGAGGAGAGGGGGGAATTGTTCCATCTGGCAAACTGAAATGCTTGCACTGAAGGAAGGGTCGTCATAGTGCTACATCAAATTCCTCCATATATTCACAGAATGGTGAAGTATTTACTCTCCATTGCAAAGGGAGTTTGTAGGCATTTGACTTCTTGTGCTTTTACCTGTAAGAACCAGGTGACACACCTTGAGTGGGGCCGCAAGACGGAACAGACTGGAAAGGAGGATGGTTGCCTGGTGTAAGGGTCTCTGTCTCCCTGTCATTCTCTTTTCCCTGTGCTGTATGAAAGCCAAGGAAATCATCCACATGTTGTGTTTTGCACCGTCTGCCAGCAATCCGAGGGAAGGCTGAGGTTCTGTGTGTGTGTGGTGAGCTGATTTCTGAAATGCAACAATACACCACCAAGGCAACAAACTTTAAAAAGGCCTTAAGCTCACATATAAGACAGCTGACTTAGATGCATGTGAAATTTGGTTGACAATTGCACATCACAAGAACTGAAAGTGCAAAGCAAAATGTCCCCTTCAAGTGGAGTCCTTCTCATTCAATACAACTTCCAGGAAATACTGCTTTAAGAAGTTAAGAGTATAAAATACCTTTTTATACACTTAAGAAATAATTGCAACCAAATGTTAATTTATATTATTTATAACGCTTAGTGTTTCTGTACTGCGAAGAGGAAGCACTTTGAAAATAGCCTGGAAGATTAACATCACATTTGGATCAAGCAAGATGTTTGCTTCCAATAAAACGTTGGCCAAAGGGAAGATAATGTTCATAGACCACATTGCACTCTGCTTCTATGCTTCCCCTAGGCTCAAGCTTCCACCAGCGCTTCACCTCTTTGGTGTAGAGAAATTGTACCAGTTCTTATCTTCCAGTCTAGTGATGGTGAACTTTTCGCCTTCCAGATGTTGTTGGATCCAATTCCCATTAGCCCTAGGCAGCATGGCCAATGATCAGCTCAAACCCAAGCTAAGAACACAAAGTATTCTTCTGCTATACTGTATATGGTGAGTGCCCTGGAGATGCAGGATCAGGAAATATTCCTGTTTCTCCTGTCATGCAATAGGCTCTGGAACTAAGGGAAATGAAATCACACACAGAATACTGGCTTAGTTCACAAATGTATACATATATCATGTGGGGTTTTTTTTATCAATCACACATGACTTTAAGTGATGTATTTTCATGCATACATAAATGAAAATAATTAGTACCAAAAGTCCGATCTCAAAGCATACCCTGCAAACAAACTAATGAAATGTGGAATCAATTTTTATAGGAAAGTGTACCTTTCAAATAAAAAATGTAAAAAAAGATAATGCAATATATAATTTCATTAAGTGATTTCATACTCCCTTTTTGCAAAGCAGATGCAGCTGTTAGGTTAATATCACATTAACAGATACAAATGCAGATGAACTGTAATGTTTAGTCTATACATACTGATTATAATTTTAAAATATATTTAAATATCCGACACCAAAAATATAAACCATGTCATTACTTATTTCAGTCCTCTGAATTTAGAAGTGTTAGCATCCTCCTCCAATACTTATGCTACTAAATTAAAGACTGACCTAAGGCTATCCGGTAATATTCCATCCAGTCTTCTAGGACATTCTTGATTTTACATCTCAGCGCTTTTAATTCTCTGGTAGGGTTGTAGTCTTTGACACGGCTTAGATCCCCTTCTGAAATTCTAGGTATTCTCTCCTGTGGTAATTTTTTTTATCAGCAATCAGATCAAATTATGAGTAGCACAACAAAGAAAAAACAGTAAAAGTAATAAGGGACCAGATAAAAATAGAATGGCTGGTACAAACATTCCCAGAAGATAAAACTAAATAAAGGTTCCAGCAAAGCAGTCTGAACCTGGCACCTCAAACTGAACAGTGTGCCATAGTGGTTAGAGTGTCAGACCTGGGAGGCCAGGCTTCCAATCTCTACTTAGCCATGAAGCTTGCTGGGAGTCACTGTCTCTCATCCTAACCTACCTTACAGAGGCGTTGCAAGGATAATATGGCGAGGGGGAGAATTATGTACACCGCCTTTATCTCCATGGAGGAAAGGCAGGGTATAAATATGATGTCACATAAATAATACATAACAAAAAGGCAATCCTGTGTGATCCTTTCTGTGGCAGGTATTCTCTTCCTTATTCTCAGCTGCTTTCTTCCACTTTCTGCTCTCTTGGCCTATATGTCTGTTCTATTCTATTGCCTCCACTTGATCCCACCTCAGCTTCTGCTTTCCCATACGTTATCTCCTAATCTGCCTGCTTCATCCTTCCCTTCTCCTTTCAGTTCATCAAAGTACAAACCATCAAATGGGAGGAATATGTACAAAGCCATAGACATGACCAGTAGACCAGTAGGCAACTATTTTGGCCGGCTTCAACTCTTATTTCCTTTGCCTTGGCCCCTGCTTCTTCTGTCTTGTGGTCCCCTTTGCTTCTGCCCTTTCCCCTTCTTTCCATCCTCGGTTATCTCCCCGCCCTCTTATTTATATTTATTCAGTCTTCCTTTCTGCATTTGCAGATATGTGGAATCTTTTTGTGGCACCCAAGCTTCCAGTAAACAGCTGCAAATATTGTACATCTGCCTTTCATTTCTATTGGGTTTGTCAAAACATGTTCCTACGTTATTGTGAAATAAGGAATCAAAGTTTCATTAGCTGAAGGGGTGTTTTGCATACAAGTTTTATGGTGTTAAATCAGCATAACGAAAATAAATTGTAGCAAAATACGCTGCTGTTACAGTATCCTAGTGGATGGGCAAAGAAAGAGGAAATGTTAGAAAAAAGTAAGCTGTAGCAGTGTGAAAATAAAATTACATTTACTTATTTTAATATTGAGTTTCTGACAGGTGCTTACTTCTTTTTTAAGAGATTTTTTTGCGTCTTCCCTCTTGCCATGTGTTTTAGAAAATCCTTTTACTGATGTGGATGGTAGATTAACTTCTGTGAATATCTTGCTCTAGAAAACCAAGAGAGAACAAACAACAGAATTTGCTTTAATCATATGCAGTCCATTGAGTTTCCACCCATTTTTCTTGCAGGAGTCCTATAATTTCCCATAGCTACAGGACAAGTAACGAAGCAGGCGAACCTTTTGTTGGCAACTGCATCTGCTGTTGAATTGCTACCAGCCATGAAGCACATAACCCCATCAGAAAATAGCAGAAGCTAAATTCTGTGTGACTGGTATGAGATTACCTGTAACCAAACAGCAACATATTTCTGTTTGGCTCCTGGCTGTGATGCGGTAGCTGCTTAAAATACTGCTATGTGCACCCCAATCTCCGAGCAGTGAGAGATTTCAGGGGTGCTGTCAGCACATAACTCATGGTTGGTTTCCTTAAACTGTAGGTCACTGGAGACTGTGGTGTCTTTGTTATATTGGGAATTGGTGGGAATTGGGAGTCTCCATCCCTGATGTAGGAGAAAATAATGTAGTGTCTTCTCTGTATTCATTTGTCTCACTATTGCACTTGCCTGGATACACACAATCCACCATGACTCTAACATCTGTGTAGGGCTTCCAATAGTATACCCATGAATTTAAATGTCAAGCTGATCCTGATTTTGAACTGAATGGAAAAGTCCATTTGTATGGAAACAGTATGTATGTGCAAGAGCTGGAAACGGCCCTCTTCTATCTGTTATTCCTTTTGAAACCACTGTGCAACAAATATTTTACTTCTTGCAAATCCTCTCGCAACCAAATTCTCCCACAACCCACCACAGAGGGCTATTATCTCCCTGCAACTTCCCTACAGGCTCCAGCCTGATTGGCATGTTGTGTGGTTTTTTGCATCATAAGCTATTGCACCATACCAGGTTTTCTAACTGTGGACCAGCCACACCTCGTACCGGTGACAAAGACAAACGCACGCTTTCATGTCGCCACTTGTAAAGCAATCCAACAGCAAAGCGTCCTGCAACCTTCACTGTGATGCACTTGTTAACCTAGGGTAAGACATAAGAGATGTGTACTTCACAGTATTGTTCAGCTAGGGAATTTGCCAAAATGAAGATAGGAAGCCACAAGGGAAATCTGACACTAACCAGAGACAGATCTTGTTTATGGTGACACCATCTTGTTTATGGTGGTTCAGTGTGCTGTGCCCCTCTCCAGGATACTCCATCCCACCTCCCTTCCCACCTGATGTTCCATTCCTCCCCCAAAGCAGTTTGGTTCATTTAGCTCACAATTGTCTATTCTGCTTTGACTGGCTTTGGGGTTTCAGACAGGAGAATTCCCAGGCACACCTGAAGGTGCCAGGGATTGAAGCTAGGGCCTTCTGCGTGCAAAGCAGGTGTGCTACAAATAAGCTATGGCGCCTTCCCAGAAATGCTGTTGTGGGAATATGGGAATCTGTCAACTACTGCATCATCAAAACCATTAGTCCATCTACTTCATTACTGTCAACACTGATTGGCAGTAGCTCTCTAGGAGTTCAGACAGGGTTCTCACCCAAGTCTACTTGGAACCTTTCACATGCAGAGCATGTTCTCTACCACACCCCCTTTAAAAAAACTAGTGTCTGCAAGATATAATCGGGCACATATAATTGCAAGATATAATTAGGCTTCTGTACTTCTTGCCAGATGTAGGTTGCCGGGATAGTTGTGGAAAGTACAGAGCATAGCTAGTTGCCAGGATTGGATAGGGTTGGGTTGCCAGATAAAGGGGTGAAATTTAATCTCTACTTCAAATTTTACATCATAGTAAGGAAAGGTTGAGTGCAAGCATGACTTTTCTACTCTTGACAGTTTAAAAAGTGCTGGGTTAAGCATGTTGCCTTAGAGGGAAAGGAAGGGACTGGAGCAAAGCAGTTCAGTTTTAAAGTAATGCAGTTTCCCACTTCTCTTCTGCTTATTTATTATTATTATTATTATTATTATTATTATTATTATTATTATTAGGCTTCTTAAGTCACTTGTTACACAGATGTCTCCAGGCAATTTGCAACACACTTAAAAACATAAATATGTTATAATAACTCATTCATACAAAAGCACATGTAATTTATAAAAATATGGATTTGATATATGAATATGATCCTGTTTTGTACCATGATGGCTCAATCTTCATTGTAGTGTTTGTGCTGCTTCATCTTGGGAACAAGAAAATTAATTCAAAGTATCATTTTCTTCATTAAACTTCGTTCATTAATTTTACTGTGAGCTAGCTTAGGTAGTTAGCTACTTCTGTTAGCTGAAGAATTTACAGCACTGTAAATTACAGCATCCCCCAGAAGGAAAGCTGTATTTGAAAAAAGAATTTTAAAAAAATATATATTACCTGCATAATAACTGGGTCATCAAGCTTCCCTTCTCCAGGCCATTTCCACTGGCGTAGTATTTCTCCATCTTTATTAGTCACCATGCCTCCTTCCTGATTAAATATCATTGCTATGCTGCTGCTGCAGAAACCAAAAGCCAGTTTTTCACGGTGCCATTTAGTAAAACATAATGAGTAACTCAAGCTGTCTACTTTGATCTTGGTGCTTTTAATTAACATAGTAATTTGCATATTTATTGCTTCATCTATATTTTCATATAGCATTCAACACAGGTGTGCACAGTGGCTGTGAATGAACAATCCAGCCTTAAGAGTCACAAAATTATTTCGTAACGTAGCCCTTACTTTTTAACTGCAAAACATGAAGGTGCCTGGATAACCCCATGTTAACACTGGTTCTTATTCTAGGCATACTTTACAGTAATCAATGACATATCATATATATTATTCCCATTGTGGTTTTATCCAAGGCAAAAAACCCACACTTTCATCTGCTAAGGCTATGATCCACAAATCAGCAGAGGCACGCAGCACAGTCTAGGCTGATAGTGTTAAACTAGGTGTGAAAGACTTTGCTCTCCCTTCCCATTCTATTTGATATAAAAAAATTGTGTGTATAGAATGCTTGTAACTCACCATAAGTTGAGAGAAGGATACCTGAACTCTACAAGGCTCTGATTCCACACAGCAAGTTGGTACATGGCCTACCTTGAGCTCTAAACTACCGTGTAAATTAAACAAGATTCTTAAGAAAGGATATAAGAAGTGCTGCAACAGCACAGCACCTTCACTTGTTGTGTCGAGTGTTTTGAGCTAACCAATGCAGGTCACCAGGCCCAACTTGATGGATCAGTGGCTGTCACTGCACCATATACGATACAGCAGCACTGGCTGCTACCTTAAGATGTCTGTGCTGTTCTGGGTGGGGTGAATGGAAGCTTTTGAAGCACACTTTTAGTTTTTAGAGGGAGTGAGTCATGCTTGAAACAATGTGGGAGCCTTTTAATTATGTCCTACATCCAGTATAGCAGGTACCGCCAAAGGACTGTCTCTCAGTGCCTGCTGCGGTTAACATTTGATGTTAGTTAGGAAGCCCTCTGGAACATCACTTCTTACCTGTTAGAGAAGCAAACGCTGCCATGTCCAGAAGGAGTAAATGTTCCAACTAACGCACGATCGGGACAGTCATTAAATATATTGGTGTACAAGCCACCACAAGGAAGATCAGAGTAACTCTGACAGACTGCAACATGTCCAGAGGGGTAGGTAAATAAAGAGTCAAGGAGTTTGTCTGAGATGGATACGACATTTCCAGGTGTCTAATTATAAGGCACTTTAAAATAATAATAATAATAATAATAATTTATACCCCGTCCATCTGTCTGACTTCCAATATATATAAAAACATAATAAAACACTACACATTAAAAAGCTTCCCTATACAGGCTGCTTTCAGGTGTCTTCTAAAAGTTGTATAGTTATATATCTTCTTGACATCTGATGGGAGAAGGTCCTCTACTGGGTTCCCTGTAGCTTCACTTTTCACAGTGAAAGAACCACCAGAAGAGGCTCAGAGCAAGATCTCAGTGTCCAGCTGAACCTGGAGGGAGGAGATGCTCCTTCAGGTATACTGGGCCGAGGCCGTTTAGGGCTCTAAAAGTCAGCACCAACACTTTGAATTGTGCTCAGAAATATACCGGGTGCCATCTTAGCACTAACTATTGCTGTTAAAGTGGAGAAATCTAGCTGTGCAGCAGATCATCAAACTGCCTGGAGAGAGAGATTGAATTGGGCTCAGTGGCCAACAACAATGCCAATACAGATCTCTGAGGACCAGTGAAAAAGGTTCCAAGCTGAAAGCACCATCTAAACTCTGGCTGCTGCATTTCCCACCAATTGCAATCTCTGAGGCATCTTCAAGTGCAAATTACAATAGTCCAAACAGGAGATTACAAGAATATGGATAATCATGGCCATGCTAGCCATGTCCAGGAAAGCTAAACCAAGCATGCTTGGAAAAAGATACTCCATGGAAGTGGAATAGAGGCATACTCCCCCCACCCTCCACCAAGGCAATGGACCTGATCTTTTAGGGAAGTCCAACCACAGTCAGAACAGACCATCTTTCTGTTTCCCAGATCTGGAATCTACCAAACCACAAACACCTCTCCCTTGCCAGGACTCAGCTTCAGTTTATTGTCCTCATTCAAGCCATTACTATTTATGGTATAATGAAGAATCTTTAAAATACTATAAAAATAATTTTAAAATAAAGCTTGCCAAACAGCTATGGGGAGATGGGTATGTATGATGCATAGCACCAGATACACCCAGTGAACTACTAAAAAAGGTGCCTGCAATAACGACATGCAGCCATGACTGAAACAACTCTAATATTAGCACCTGCTTTCTCTCACTCATAATACATGTAGAGCTGAACTAAAAATTGCACCGAGGAGTCAGTATTGGGATGTACAAGCGTGAATGGCTTGTGTGATGCAACTGTCAATTACTCATTCTATTTCTTGTCTACTGTACATTTGACTGCAGCTCAAACTTGCTCAATGCTTATTCAGAGGATTTACCAAGTATCCATCTCAAAACTTCGAAACTATAAGCAGCCACTGTGGTAAGCAGCAGTGACCTATCTGTGCTAAAGTGGATGCTATCATGAATGACTTTCCACATCACCACTGTTGGCAGGTGTTTGTCTGCTCAGATAGATGTATGGATAGATAGCTAGATAGATATAGACATGCAAAGACCTATTTCTATATAAAACTTTAGACAGTTTGAGGTTTAGTAAGTTCAAGTGCTAAGGGGTCCTTTCTGAGTTTTCTCAAATCAGCAGCAGGTAATAATCTAAAAATTTGACATTCAAGTGTGTAGGAACAAAAATGCTTGGGTCATGACTCACGACTTTCCTTCTTTTCAGTTTGGATAAAAGGTTCTAAAGCAAGTCCCCATCCCCCCCAAAAAACCCCTTTTTGATTCCAGACTTAACCTGCATAAAATCGCACACCATTATTTGGAAACAGATTTTTCCAAACGTCTTGCTCCTGCAAAGTGATCTAGAACCTTTTACAGTTCAATCCTTAAAGACGTTTACTCAGAAATCCTAAAGAAATTTGCTTCCTACCTGCCAAGTGAATTAAGCAATTTTAAATCCATGCTTTTTCTTTGTTGTAGGAATGTTTCCTCCCCTTCCTGCTAGATGGAATTCTCTTTTATGTTACACTTTCAAAGGATATTAAATGAAGGATGATCCATCAACCAATCCATAGTGCAGTTTTTTTAAGGCTGGATCAGCTTGTTTGATCACTGGCAACTGTGGTTTTTCATACAGGCTCTCAGACGAGACTTTCTTACTGGGCTGCCCTTTGATGTTTTGGGGAAAGGTTTCCTTCTTGATATCACCATAATGACGAAGAATAATAGGCTTGTCAAATCCTGATTCTTTCAGCTTAGACAGCTGCTCAGTTCTGTTTGGAAGATTTTTTTTTTAATCAATTATTTACTAAGAAATTCTCTTACATAAGGTCTTCAACATAGCTAGCATTTAGGCTGAAAAAGTTCAGCTTTCTATATGATCTGAATAAGCAATGTAGTATAGCATATTCCAGGCACCAGTCTTCTATTCATCCGAGTAAAAAGCAGTTCAATTCACTCCAAACCCTGTAAGAGCTTTGAAAATACATTCTAAACTGTTTTTCTTTCTAAATATAAAATGTAAGTTGCAAGTCTAAACTCACTTGCCTTCTGCTCAGGCAACTTGGTAGAGTCCTAATACTGATTCCGAACACAGACATCCTAATCTATACCACGTTTGATCCCCATTTTACATTTTTGGTTTTATTTTCAAAAGATCTTTACCAATTATTTGCCTGTTATTCTGAATAAGCACATTAATAAAGGAACACCAACCAGTGCCAAGGCTCAACCCCAGTCCAGACTTAGTGGTAAGTACTTCTGAGTCAATAGTTGTCCCATGTCCCTTTTACACAGAAACTTGCACGTCACCTGCAGCTCTTAAGTATCCTAGCAGATACTGAGCTACAGTACCAGTAAAACAGGGAAAATGCAACAGAGCAGCTAGCTTTCTTCACTGTAGGTGCTGAAGGAGAGTGAGGGTTATATTGTTTTGGCTTGCACTTGCATAAGCTACTATGTGTACTTCATTCAAAGAAGAGCTACTGGACTGGACTGTCCTTTCCATTGGTAGGCAACATATTTACTCTACGAGCCTTCAAGCAGCTTTATTTCAATGTCACTATGAATTTTCTCATAGTCTATATATTACACATTGCTGACTTTGAGAGTCAGATATCCAAACCTTTAACTGAAGGCAGGAATTAAGCAGGAAAGCATTCCAGAAGCTTGTAATTCTAAATATTAATTAGAGGAAATCTAAGGAGAACCCTTCACTGGAAGCCAACATTCCTTACACCTTAAACTCTGCAACACGATAGCACTCAGGACACCTTTTTGCTGACCAGGCTAGGAATAAGCATTCAATAACACTAAGTCAAGTGCAATAGCGTTGGCACAGAAACCTGGCAGCAGTCAGCACTGTACCTTCCAAAATGAGGATCAGGATTTCAGCGCCAGGTCTATGTGCCAATAGGGGTGATAAACACTGAAAAAGAAAACATACTCTCCTCCTCTGGGATGGATTGGTTTGCAGAGATTTTGTCTATATAATTAAATCTCAGATGAAAATAAATCTTCCAATAATAATATAAAACATACAAGTGTAAAAACAGTAATAGCTAACAGAAGATCTCAGTTCATCAAGATTAATCGAGTTATTCACTTAGAACTGTACAGGGAAACACAGGGCACAAAAAAGTAAAAGACTTCTGAAAATGATATAGTTATTGTTTTTCAAAAATACTAGCTAGGATTAATTCAGTCTGCACTACATTGGGGGACGTTTTTAAAAATTACCAGACATCATGATTCTGAGGTTGTTATCCCTAAGAAAAAAGTATATTTATTTCCCACTCCTGTCAAATACCAAATGTTCAATTATTTAATCCCCCCCTCCAGAGGAAATGAGTTTCTGTAATGTGGTTTTGCAACATAGTTTTTTTATGTTCCACATCAAGGCTAGCCCAAGACATTTTACTTTCTGAGGGAAAAGACCAGGGGATGCTGCCCCCTAGTCTACGTCCAAAACCTGCCTGGACTGGCAGTAGATTCTTATGTCAAAACTGTGCTGCACCTGAGGAAAGAAGGAAACATAGGGAAGACCACTTGGCGCACAAATTCCCAACACCCCCTCTGCCTGAGGCAAAAGCCCTACTCTGCCTAATGGTATGGCCAGTCCTGCTCCACAGGGTCATACAGGATTGCTCTTGGGCCCAACAGTGATTGCATGAAGGCACCAACTGCATGAAGCAACACTTTCACATGCGGACTTTTCACACTATGTAATTTGTGCAGTCACAGTGGCTAAAAAAGCAGATGCTTTGATTATGAAAAACTGCAACAGCTGTCATATATGGGTCCCAATTGGAAGCACCAATTCAGGCCATTGGTTCATACAGCCAGTGCCTCCATGTTACCCCTTTCCAGTTAGAAAACGCCAGAGGCCCTGCATACTCTCCCATGGACCTCTCTGAGCATCTGTGTTAGCAATTTAACACATCTTAAACTATCTCTGGTTAGTTTAGCCTGTAATAAAATAGATGAATTTTCAGTTTAACAAGAATAGATTTTAAAAGCCATAATAGAAAACCCCATTTTAATATTACATTTCGATCTTTGCCATTCGTAATCTTTCCACTGCCCAGACATACGGTGCTTTCCATTCTAGGTCTTTAGAGTCACAGTCAGAATGTTGAAAAACCCAACCTTTATGAAGAAATGAAAAAACTCATAATTAGTTAACTGAAATGCTGCAAATAAATAAATTTTAAGTGCCTGTTGAATTCAAAGACATCGGGACATTTTTTGATTAATCAAAAAAATACATTTAAAAGTTAAGAAAGCTGATTTGTTAACACAAACACAAGTATCAGTTATTGTTAGAAGTAAAGGCCATCTTTAATATTTTCTTTTTCATTCCCTATTACAGTCATCCACCAGAACCAATTAACCTAAAAATAAAATAAAAATAGTTTCCTCAAGTATCATCTCTTGGTAGTCCTACTAGAAGAAAGGGGAATGGCAGCCTAGGAGAGGGTGAGGGCATCTAGCATAATCTTTGTTGTACACTAAAGATGGACCTCTTTCCCCTGCCCTTTGACAGTTAAGATATTTTGTGTTGTGAGACCCACCTCTTTTGTTTAATCTATATTGTTTTCCCTCTTTTTAAAGCTGTTTTACTTTTGTCATCCCCATCCCACCCTCATAACTGTATCATTATAATGTTGTAACCCACCCTGGGGCCCTATGGTGAAGGGCAGGTAAGATATCTTATACAGTAAATGAATAAGCTTGCTCCCCTCCAACTGTAGCTCATTAATCTAAACATTAACCTGAATGAAGAAAAAGAGAGTGCACACATAATACCTCTTTCCTTGCATAGTTTTGATGACAGTGAGAAACTGATTGCAAAAGGTGAATCATTGCTATATTGCTGAGGGACTGCAGCTAAATAGGAGAGAAAAGAAAAGTATTGATCATGAGTCCTCAGCAGCATAAGCACACATAATCACAGTTCTTTATTAAGAACTGTTTGTTGTTTTATAATTGCAAACTTGCAAAGAGCTAGGTAATGGCCAGAGTAAGTGCTTATGTGCTGTTAACTTTTTTCATTATTGAATGAAGTGCTCTGGGTACAGATTGCCTCTCCTGGCTGAGTACTATGATTACTTTTTCACTCACCTTGAAATGGGAAAGAGAAGCTTCTGTAATAAATGGTTTGAAAAATTGCCTAGTTTATTTTCAGTTCCACCCCCCACCCCCCAAGTGCTTGTCCTCTCTAACTTCAGCTGCAAAGGCCATTTGCTGGTATTCTTCAGCAACTTTCCTCAATTAATCACAAGAGATCTCTTACTTCCACTTGTGATTGTGGCCTGGGACGAAGATAGCAAATTTCAGAGCTGGCATTTTCTCTCTAGCCTAGATGTGTCAAGAATAAATATCATTCTAAACGAGTGCTGGACAACTGGTTTTTTGTGTGGTCATATTTACTGGTATAGAGTATGATTCTTTTTGCTGCCCACAATACTTTTATTTATGTGCACCAGCACCTAATTTTTAACCCTGCAAAAAGCACTGTATAGAAACATGTATTAAGACAAACTATATCTTGGAATTTAATATTCTCCATTGTTGCCTATTCATGCTATTAGGTTAGAGCCTGAAGGTTTACTTTGAAATTAGTCTCAATGAGAGCTACTCCTGTTTATGCTAATCGGGGACCTTTATCTACTGAGTGCTAAATGTATAGTAAAGTAGTCAAAGTAAACCCTGAGTTTTGGTATTAGGATAAAAACCAATCAGTTTGCTCCTATTCTTATATGTAAAAGTTGCCCCAGGCCATCCCACATGTTGGTAGAGTGCATGTAAGCCCTCCCCACCTCCTTCCAGGGCTGAAAACGCGTGTCAGCAGTTGCACACCAAACAAACACTTGCAATATTGTCGCCCCCTGTAGTATAATGGCCAAGCTGAACCGCCCTCTGCTATATGATACTGGAATATTAAGTATTAAGGGAAAACCAGTAAAATTCCTTACTCTTGCTTCCATTGAGTCTGTTTGACAGAGTTCCAGGATTGTCCATTCCTTTTGTCGCACCCATGGGAAAATCAACACTTTTCCTGCTTTTCCTTTTCACATTTTTAGCCGTCTCATAGTCAGTATATTCAAATGCAGGTGGCAATCTGTTGGACTCCTGTGATGCTTGCCTTCTCCTTGATTTAAAGTTTTTGTATGCTAATTCCTGCAAATATTTTTTATTTTGCCAGACACCTTGAATGAGATCTTTCCAACTGGAGCTCAATATATTAAAAACCCCTTGTGGTAAAATAAACTTAAACTTGGTAAAACGCTTCAACATTTCTTCCAGCTCGCATAATATGGTAGCAGCCATGCGTTTATGTTCTTCCAGTGAAGTTGACCGTAGGTCTTCTTCTGTAGGTGGAAATGAAGGTATTTGGGAGAGGTGAGCTAGAGGATTCTCACAAATGTTTATGGATATAGAAGGATCATCTGTTTTAGTAGAAACTGGTTCTTTCTTTGCTAAACTGTCTTTCACAAAAGCGTAATTTCTTTCCCTGTGTTCATCCATGCTTCCAGAGTTCCTGCATGTGGACAGGAAATGTATGTTATGCCTTTAATTCCAGAATTCAGACTTTTCATACCAAGAGGGTCTCAAAAATGTACGGTAGGTCTGCCACTGGGCTGGGGGAGGGGTGTCAAATGTTGCATGTTGGACTACCCAGATATAGACCAAATTCTATAAGTGTGAAGAAGACATAACTATGTACAGAAATCTTTAGACACAGCTATATATATTTTCAGGCTTAAATTCTTACGAAAACAGCAGGACTTAGGTAAGTAGGAAGTACAGAAGACATACTTGCTTCCTGCTGGAACAGTGCGCTTTTACATCCTATTCATCCTTTAAAAAATTAAAATCAGAACAATTTTCAAATTGCAATATGCCCTTAAGTTTTCCCATTTGAACTTTCCAACCAACAAAAACAGGGAAAATACTACATTTTAATATAATATATCAATTCATTAATGCATTCAATCAGTTATTCCAATTTAAGTACATCACCACTATTACCTGTGAATATCATGAGGATCTGGATCTGTGCTGATTAAATTTATATCAACGAAGTGTTCTCCTGGTTCTATTTTCATATTTTGCTTTCGTTTGGTTTTGAGCTAAAATAAAATATAGGATTTTATTAAACCCTTAATAGATTTGGAGAGAGCAATAATAACATATCAAATATGAGATGGGAAGTACCTGGTCAAAGAAATATATGGGTTCTTGTTCCAGGGTTTCAGCCATTTCTCTCAGTAGGATTTTGTGCCTACAGAGATAAAATATGAATATACCAAGAAAAATGGGACACAAGAATACAAATGGTTGCATTTTTTAATGAAATATAACCAAGACAAAAAAAATAATAAATTGTCCAGTAGCACCTTAGAGACCAACTAAGTTTGTTCTGGGTATAAAAACATGAAAGCTTATACCCAGAACAATTTTAGTTGTCTCTAAGTTGCTACTGGACAATTTTTTAATTTTTTTATTTATTTTGACTGTGTCAGATCAACATGGCTACCTACCTGAATCTATAACCAAGACAGATTTGGTGTTCCTAAAGTAGTATCTAACAGAAACTGAAAACGCAGCAGGCCTTCTCAAGTGTACAACTGTGCACATAGAGCTCTCATGGGAGAAGTATTTTGCATTCTGCAGTCTTATCAGTGGGGTGAGACTTGTAGCTAATGAATGACATCTGTAGCCATTTAATTGGTGTAATATGGTATAGTGTGTACACACACACACACAGTTTGGAAATAGTTTGACTTCTTTGCAATGGGGTACTAATTTTATGCAACTCCTTGCAGAAGTGAGATCTAAAACATATTTGAACCAGGTGAAGAAAGGAACAGTTGCGTGTGTAGGTCCCCAGGCCACCCCTCAAATAACTTCACACATAACACGTAATTTTAGTTTTGGTTTTTGGGCACTATTTTGGCCACAACTTTATTAAAATACAAAATCAGTGAGTGGTTGTTTAGACATTGATTATGACTATCTGTCCCCCCGCCTGGGACAGAACTGACATCCCGAGGTCCGATCGGTAGCCAGTAGAAGAGAAAGTCAAACTGGGGGGTCACTTGAGCTAAGCGTCGGACCCACGCCGCTCACCCCAGCAGCTCCCCGAAAGCTTGCCTGCCCGGTCCTATAACAAGGATTCCCATAACAGGGATTGGGCGGCCCTGGTCCCATAACAGGGATTGGACGAAATCGTGGCAAGCCCCAGGATTCCTTTAACGGAATTCCCTTCATCGCAATAGGAGGGGCAGGCCCAGCCTGACCCCTCCACCACCAGCATATTATAACCAATGCCTAACCGCAACCTTACAAGTTGTGACGAATTGCTGAGTAGTAGGCAAAAACCAAATGGCACAGCCAATCACCAAATGGCAAAATTCCTACTAGGCCCCCGCTCCAAAGCAGACGACCCCATGACAGGCAAAGCAAGGTCAACCGGAAAGAGGGCAGGCGGGCGGGTGATCTGATGCACTCTGCAAAGAGAAAGAGAAACCAGAGTGCACCAATATTTAAAGACTATGGTCCCACCCACCCAATTTGCCCCAGCAACCCGGTTACCCAATCATGATGCCAGGCAACAACTATTAACCTGCCTGGCAACAAGAGGCCTGGCCTGGTGGCCCACACCGCAACACGTGCTCTCATTTATTGGAGAACACGCTTTGTGGTAGAACAACTAGTCTTCAAATATGGACATTAAGACAAAACTAATATTGCAAATCCAATGGTTTAAATGAAATACAAAATGATCCGAGGATACAATTGACAAAACTGCCATTTCTAGTGTTATGTCAAGGCCTGCCTGCATTTGAAACCAAAATAAACATTAAATTGTTTCCTAACCTCTGTGAATAAAATTTGTTTATGTATCCAGTGCATTTATTTGCAGCTTGACTAGTTAATACATATTTTCACATTAATTAATTTTGGCTTTGATTCTATAACATTAAAATAATATTAAGGGCATATTATTATACAGACTGATATAAACTTATAATACATACACTTCTGAATTAAGGCTGACAAGCCATCTGTCTCATAGTAGGTCAGGAATATATGTTCACCTTTTACAGCTGTATCATTGCTTTAAAGCTATAATCTTTATTATACCTAATACTGAACAGATCATTTGCTTTAAATGTGACTGTTCTGGAGCCAAGCCAATGGTTTTAAGAATGAGACTAAAATTACTGTATATTGCCATTTCAATAAAGTTGAATTAATTTTTCGACTTTAAATAATTAGCCAATCATTTGGCAATGCAAATAGATTGCAATGGTTACAAACTCAACTCCTTTCACTGACAAACACGTCTTCAAAAATAAAACAAAAAAGTATACAAAGATATTTTAATGAATTAAAAACAATGTAATCTCCATAGTTATGCAACTCCTTTGTGACATTTTGTAGTAGTGAACATGCTGGATATTATGTTATTGAATTTTCCAGGCTGGATATTAAGTTAAAGGCGGGGGCAGGGAGAGAAAGGTGGCTTGATGCTGAAGCCACAAAGTCTCCATTTAGTCACAGTCTTTAAGTTGGGGTGTAAGAGAATATGGCAGATGGCAGGTCCACACCATACATTTAAAGCACATCCAAGGCACATATAAAGCACATATAAAGCACATGACTTCCCCTGAAGAATCCTGGGAACTTCAGTTTGTTAAAGATGTTGTCCATGAGCGGGGCCGGACTTAGGTTTGATGAGGCCCTAAGCTACTGAAGGTAATGGGGCCCTTTATATGTCCAACTGTCCTTTCTCAACAACAAATTGTAGCTGTTTTTTGTGTTGAATATATGCTATATGGTAATTTATGGACCTAATAGATATCTAAAGCCATTTGCACATAACAAAATATGTATTTTACCAAAGTAATTGTTGAACTTATATTTTGGAAATGTACATACAGGTAAATTTTTGGGGGGCCCCCAAAAGAGTGGGGCCCTAAGCTATAGCTTGTTTAGCTTATACATAAATCCAGCACTGTGTATGAGTGAATGCAGCCCATAGGCTGAAAAAAGCTTCTCCATTCCTGATGTATAAGATTGCAGCCTTAACTGAACTAAGCCATACTATGTGCTATGCAGGTTTCAGGTTGCACCTAGGGCTTTGCACCTTGGGACAAGGAAGCAAATGTATTTCATGACATTTTGGCTGATGCAATTGGAGATATTGCCCTTCTGCAGATTTTGGATTTTTTAAACAAAATAAACATTTTATATATTTTAATGCTTTTAGATGTTTTTGAATGTTTATTTTTAATTGCATTGTTTTACCACTTTGGTGTTTACTGCTCTGGGCTCTTTTGGAAGAAAATGTCGGGATCAATTTTTAATAAATAATAATATCAGCAATAATTTATTGATTGCTCTAGTTTACAAAAGCTAGCAATAAAGCCAGACTTAAACTTTCATCTTCAGACACAATGTAAAAAGAATTTAATTAAATTCAAAAAATATCTTTACAGGACATTTTATGCGATCATGTTGGTTATATTTATCAAATATGGTTAATACGGCTTACTCCCTTTTTTCAGATCTCCAGCAGTCTTCCACCAGTATTTAGAAGGTTATCATCAATGCCATAGATTTACAGGTATTTATGGACTGTTCTGATAAACTGAACAAACAAAATAATTCCCTGTTAAAACTCTTCCTTAATACAGATATAGATAATCCCTTGCTATCTGTCTCTGTTGTACTCTCTCTTTTCAAACCTCCCTTGTATGATTCTGTTTGTATATAGTCAATAAATCTTATAACGTACCTTAGAAGTATTCCCACAGAGAGCAGATCTTGCTTGTCAGTAATGTAAAATGTAACAGTTAAAAGCTGTCTCTTTCAAAGTGAACAGAATAAAAGTTACCTCTCTGTGGCCGCAGTCAGTCAACACACTGTTGAAAAGCCCTGTTGCTTAGTTACCACATGGTGTGGATTATACCGAACCATACTTCCTTTCTGCAGCCACTTCTAAGCTTCAAGCAGCAAGCTGGCCACTATTAAAGGTACTCATATGCGCACCAGCATAAGTAAATTGTTATTAGGATGCTTAACTGCTCCAGATGGCGGCTGATATTATTTCACTGAAAACAAAGCTTTTGCTTAGCTTCAGTGCTTTCTCACCATCATTTAGTGCCCTACCCTAAAAAAGAACCATGGAAGCTCAAGTTTGTTAACAGTACTGGGAAACGTAACTCTGTGAGGGTAAGCTAACATTCCCAGGATTCCTTGGGGCTGCTTTAAATGTCTCACTTTTAACAAGCTATAGAGTAAGAACTTATTAAGATCCTGCTACATCAGGCCAAGGCCCATCTAGTCCAGCATCCTGTTCCCTCCACGACCAACCAGATGCCTATGAGAAGTCCGCAAGGACTGGATTGCCACTTGTGATTCCCAGCAACTGGTTGTTGGCATCCGTCTGTCTCAGGAGACAAAGGAGGAATGCACCTTTGAGGGTATTCAGAGAAATACTGCCACTAACAGTGGAGAGAGAGTAGAGCCATCATATAGATATTAATAGTGTTATCCTCCATAAATTTGTCTAATAATCTTTTAAAGTCAACCAAGTTTATTACGTAATCTTCATAAAATGGAAACACTGGGAAACCTTCCATCTCAAATTAAGTGAATGTATTAAGGGCCGAGGGACGCGGGTGGCGCTGTGGGGAAAAGCCTCAGCGCCTAGGGCTTGCCGATCGAAAGGTCGGCGGTTCGAATCCCCGCGGCGGGGTGCGCTCCCGTTGCTCGGTCCCAGCGCCTGCCAACCTAGCAGTTCGAAAGCACCCCCGGGTGCAAGTAGATAAATAGGGACTGCTTTCTAGCGGGAAGGTAAACGGCGTTTCCGTGTGCGGCTCTGGCTCGCCAGAGCAGCGATGTCACGCTGGCCACGTGACCCGGAAGTGTCTGCGGACAGCGCTGGCCCCCGGCCTCTTGAGTGAGATGGGCGCACAACCCCAGAGTCTGGCAAGACTGGCCCGTAGGGGCAGGGGTACCTTTACTTTACTTTATTAAGGGCCGAAGTGGCAGTCAGCTCTAGGACAGACTAGTACCCTGTTCGATTCAATTGTTCAATATTGCTTTTTAAAGAAAAACACATTGCCCCAAAACTGCAATTTTCAATTGAAACTCTGAATCAAGGCAATTAAGTGGAGTAAGGGGGATGCAGCACTTCCATATAGTACCATACAGGGACGGGCTTTTTATTCTGCCCCCTCAGTAATAAACATAGGCGCTATAACTGTCCTTAGTAAATTCTCTTTTCCTGTCTTCCAGTTTGGGGGCCAATACATTTAAATTAACTGGGAAGATTTACAATAAAGGAAAGCCCTGGTTACTTTCCCTGCATTGTTATATACAGTATTGATCAATGAAACAGGCCAGATCTGTCTCTCCCTCATCAACCACAGCAGTTGTTTTGCTCCAGTTGGCCATGGATGCGTTCTGCACCTCCACCTCCCAAAATTATTTTTCTGGCTGGTAACTATGGGCATTAATTTTTTTCTGGAATGAAAACACATTGGTGGGCATATCGCATTTGTTTGGCTTGAGAACAGCTTGATAGGCATTTGGCTGCGATGTTTTAATTTTATTAAAATTAAATTATTTCATAACTTAAGTAGCTCCCCTGATCCAGCTCTAATAGCACACACATCCCCATTCACATCCAACAGATGTTAGTTATCATTCATTAAATGACAATACTCTCAGAATGAGCACTGACGGGTGCAGATGTGCATCTGTGGGTATCCCTTGCTGAATGAGGTAATTACAATTAAAAACAATAGAGAATTGACATACTAAAATGGAAGAAAAAACAATGTGTGGTGAACATCTTGTCAGATAGGTATGCTCCTAGTCTATTTAGCTGGGTGTAGCTTATAGTACTTTTCAGTGTTATTTTTCAGGCGCATTTTGGGCCTATGATCCATCCTATATCGAAATAGAACAGGAGTTAAGTCTCTGAAGCAATTTTTTTTCAAAATCAGCATTTTAGATTAGTGATAGAAGCAGACAAATCCAGTCTTGTCGAATTTATGGTGCCTTGTACACATCTGATGAAATGGGCTCTGGTCCAGGGACAATTTATGCTACAATAAAATGTGTTCGGTTGCAATCCCGCCACAGTTTTAGATAAAAGGAAGACTCACTCGCTGAACTCAACGGGGCTTCCTTTTGAACGGACAGACAAGCAGCCATAGGTTTGCACGGCTAGTCTTTTAAGGTGCCATGAAGCTCTCTACGTTAAGTTTTGCTGCAACCTACTCAGGGAAATTGGTTGCGAGGAGGGGCGGGGAGGGGGGGAAACCCAACAACCACGTGGTGTGAAGAGAGGAGGCCCAGGCGACGACATGAGCTAGGAGCCCGGCCCTAAACTGCACCTCCCACGGACCGCCTCACAGACAACAACTCTCTCGCGCTTCCACAGCGCACGTGCTCGCTGCTCGTCCTCCCCGCCCCCGACGGGATTCTTAGCCCTCCATCTTTCCCGACGTGCCCCAGGGCTGAGCCATAGAGTAGCTGGGGCTGGAGCGGCCTTCCCCCCACTCTCGGTCTCTGGCTCTCGCTCGCTGGCGGCGGCTAGTCGTGGGAGAGGCGGCGACGGCGGCGCTGCAACATGGCGGCCGTGGAGGAAAGGGGCAGCCCCGAGGAGGAGAAGCACCTGAACGGGGAGGTGCTCTTGGATCCCGAGGAGAGAGAAGGCGCGGCGGGGCCTGGCGCTGAAGAAGGAGCGAAGAAGAAGCGCAAGAAGAAGAAGAAGAGCAAAGGAGCCGCCGCGGGTAGGAGCTGGGCCGGGCAAGGCGATGGCGAGGCCGCGTCAGGGGCGAGCCATGGGGACAACTTCGGAGGAGGAGGAGAAGCGCGAGCGAAGCCTCCTTGGCCCCGAGACGTTCGGGGTTGAAGGGAGCAGGGTGGGTCGGTGGGAGGACGAGCCCCTTTTGAGGGAAAGAAAGACGTCCTTCCGTGGCGCCGCTGTGGGGAAATGTTCCCAGAGTCGGAGGGGTTTAGGGGGAAGCGATGGGGAGGGTCTGGATGTTAGGCCGTCAAGCTCATGTTAAGCCTTTCATCATCATAGCCCACCGCGGTATACGAGACTGGAAATCGTTAAACTAGGGCGTGGGTCGTGTATGGCAAGGCGACCTCGCGTGTGAGATCTTCTGTGTCGGGGTGGTGACACGCTGCCGGGGTTTTCTTGGGAAGCAAGAGAGTGCTGGTATGCAGCTGTCAGGGGGCCTGGGGAAGAGGGGAGGGGAGTTAATCAACACTGCAGTCGGAAGATAACTTTTATGGTGGGAGCATGCACGAAATTCACATGTAATTGGAGATGGGGTCTTCGGCATGATGCATTTGCCGTCGGACACTCACTCGTATGGTATAGAAGGAGGACGATTGTAACTGCATGGTTTCCTTACAGGACTGAGGGTGTGTGTTAAGGCTCAGAGACTGTTGCAGTTGCATAAGGCGGAGGTGGGGGGTGGATTTACATGCTTTCATTAGTACATGGTACCTGTCCTAAGGTCTAGGGAGAGAGATTTCAATTTATGGAATTGCTTGGAAGAAATTTATTATTTACCTGCAGTGATAATATAGGAACAGTCTTGTAGAATTTAGAAAGTAGAGACACACAATTTTGAAAGTATATTGTCTTTGTTTAGCTGGGTTTTGCGTTATTGTTTAAACTACCTGCTTATTTGCAAACAGGACAAGAAACCGAGAGAGAATCTGAGTCAACACTTGATGAGGTGACAAAACAATTGGATAAACAAGCACTGGAGGAAAAGGAGAAAGAAGATGATGATGAAGGCAAGTATAATTTACCCTGTCCATGATATGTAAAATATTAATGTAAAAATATTTGGAGTTTGCTTTAGTTAAGGGATTACTGGAGTTGGGAAAGATATTTCATGCTGAAGCAGTTTTATGTAGGTTGTTGAAAGCGCTGCTGTATAAAAAGGCTATTATCAAATGTTTTGTTCATTGATTTTAAAAAGAGATCATATTATACTAAGTAATTATAACCTTGGAAAGAGCAACTCTTATCAGGGTAATTCAAGATGAGAGATAGGATCTATCCCAAGGGATGGTTGAGCACTGACTTTAACCTAGATCTCCTTTGTTCAGGTACAATAGGCTATCCACTGCAACACAGTGACTGTGTTATATATATTGAAACTCCTGTTTGGGAATGGTAATAGAGAATATTGATAGATCTTTGGCTAATTTTATTGGTACATACATACATGCTTGAAAGTCAGATATTGAATTCAATTTATGAAGCAATTTCTGATGAGCTTTTGTTCTAAACAAAATTACAGTCTTTCTGTTCATTAAAAGAGATGAAATAAAATTCAGCTTAATTCTTAAAGTGACAATTTTACCTAGATTATTCTATAAATTATAAGTCATTTAAACTACAGAAAACAGGCTTTATTACTGTTGTCCTTGTATTATATCTACATTTTGAAAAGCCATATGATGGAGAAGATAGGAATGAAATATGAATGACAGCCAGAAGCCCCATTTTACATGCAAAGGGCTTTTTCTGGACCAAGAATAGGGGGCTGTATATAAGACATGGTGGTTAAGCTAACAATGTTTTCAATACACTTTGATGATTTTCTCCTAGAAACTTTGCTGTGAGTTTATTTATCTAAAATAGACAAAACATTTCAGTTCAAGTTCATGTCCACATTAATTGGTTTTGAACAAGAACAATCTTGTTATTCCTGTTGGGTGTTGGAATAGATGTCTGGGGCTCCCCACACCCACCCATTTAATAGCTTAAGTTCTAATTAACTAGATTGCTAGTGACCTGAGCTTCATATAATTCAGAAGAGATCCTAAATGTTAAGAGACTGTTACATGATGATGCTTAACTCTAGGCTTCAAATCCCCATTCATCCATAAGACTCACTGGGTGACCTTGGTCAGCCACACTCCCCTAGTTTAATCTACCTCACATGGTTTTTGTGATGGTAAAATGGAGGGGGGGGCCATGAATGGCACCTTGATTGTCCTGTGGGGAAAGGTGTGTTAGCAATCTAGTAATATAAATAAATAGGCAAAGCTTTTTTAAACCTAATAGCAAAAATATGTTTTGGACCAAATCAAGAACCTTTCAGACAGAATCTTCATTGCTGTCTGGTGTTTTGCATTAGGAATCAATTGTTCATGGTGGAAGCTAAACATGTTACTTGGAATTAAGTTTTCATTCAACTCCTAGGATTATAGCCTTGATTAGAGACAGTGGTTGTGACTCTGACAAAAGGATGGAAATAATGCAGCAGTCTTCAAGGACATGGCAGTCTAAACAGTTTGGCTTGCTGATTGGCAAATCTACCAGCACAGTACCGCAGAAGAAGCCTGTAATAAGTGAACAGCAGCCACTGTAGGACTGAATATTGCCAGAATCTGCAGTGGTTAGCATATGGAACTGGAAAGTATTCCAGATTGGTAGATGAATGAACTGCATGCCAGAACTTTTTTTCTGATGTAGTGTAAATGGATTAAGCATAGTTCAAGGGCAGGAGGAATCTGATGCAGTTTTCATTCAAACGAGTAGCAGTGTTAAAGAGCATTGACTATTTAAAGAACGACTGTGTCTTTGTTTCAGAATGTGCTGTGACAGACTGAAATTATGCTTTAAAATGGGTTCTAGGTTTTTTATATATAAAAAAGTGTTTACAGTCTTTAATGCCCTAACTATATCTTTTTAGTAAAATAAAATTAATGTAAAACTTAAATAATGTGTGTCAGCCAGATCACTACCAAAGTGATAGTTTCTTATTTTAAAACTTAAGAATTTTAAATAAGTGCATAGGTCAGTTACTGGAAACTAGTGGCTACCTGGCCAACTCTGGCTGCCTGAAGGATACTCTCTTTCTCTTTATGCTGCTTCTTACCTTTCCTCTCCACAGAACTACAGAAACAAAGGGTTCTTTCCAGGCAGCGGTCCTATCTTTTCATGTGCTTTATCTCTCTCCTTTTTTGTTGCCAGAAATGTACCTGCCAGCCAGAGGCCTTAGACTTCTCTGGTGGTAGCTGCTGTAAACTGAAGGCTGATGGAAGTGTGTGGCTAGAAGGAATAATCATTGGCAGTGCTGAACAGCATATGATTTGCCCTTGTGAAGCCATGATTTTTATTGATTTCTCATGTGGCATTAATTAGTTCACTTTGAAAGTGGTTTTGTTATGAATGTTGTACCCAACTGTATGTGTGAAGCACTTACACAACATGTTTGAACTATTAATGCTGCTTAGCATCAGCGGGGTTTTTTTTATTTAAAAATATGGTTTTGCTTTTTATCTAATGTTGCCCTCTTATTCTTGATTATTAGCAAATATTTAATTACTTTCAACAACCAGGAATTCCACTCAGGGAAGTGCATGGAATTCTCTCCGGAGAACAAATGGACTGGCTGAGGAGGGACAAATCACTTTACCCATCTTTCACCAACTAGCTTGACTTCAGTATACGCCATGGAGAAAGCGAAGCTCCTTGCTTCTTAGCCAGCGTAGAAAAACAGTAAACTAAACTAAAAATGTGGGGGAGGGGGATCCCAAAACAACCCACTGAGAATTAAGCATGTCTCGTGGGCATGGAATCCTGATTTATTTTTGCGGGGTAATGAAGTAATAGAGGAAATGAAATGGAGGGCATGACTGGTTGAAACACTGACCAGGAGCATGCCACATTGCAGTAGCTTGCTACAGATTCCACCTGTGCATACTAATTTCTATAATGTGTCTTGGTATGCTTCCAAAATTAAGCATACAACATGTAGTGACTAGTGTACATTTTAAACTCCAGATTTCTGGTGTCATAACGGGCATGTTGAAAGCTGCTGATGCCTTATTGATATAGGAAAGAGATCACAGTGAAGATGCTTGTGGTTACAGCCATGATTAAACTTTGTGTCTCAATCTGCACTTAAGGGTCTGGCAGTGTTCTTCTTCTTCTATTTATTATTATTATTATTATTATTATTATTATTATTATTATTATTATTGCTGCTAATACTATTTATTACACAAAGAAATATATTTATTGGGGTGTACTCAGGTCATCACCACTCGTTTCACTGAATGATGTTAGCTATGGTTGTTTGTGCATGTATGTTTTCATAAGGGATAGCTGCTGAGAAACCTTAATTGGTTACCAATTTCCTACTACCAGTTTCAATGTTCTTGTGCTCACAAAGCCATAAACTATTTGGGCCTGAAGTACCACCTGATTCTTTATGCTCCACTTTGATCACTGAAGTCTTGTGATGAGGCACTTGGTGGTCTCATATACCCCTGAGGTTCAGCTGGTCTTTACCAGGCGCTGAGCATTTAGTGTAGCAAGCCCTGCTCTGTGGAACTCTTGCCAATTGAGGTTCAGCAGGAGTTATCCCTGCTTGTTCTTAGAAATCTTCACGTCCTGTGCAGGTGTGAAGTTGCATGCAGTTTGGGCGAGTCTAATCAGGCTGCTCTAATATGTAGCTTTGCTCTAGCTCTTTAGCCAAGCCTCTTAACTCGATTTTTCCCCTCTTGCAACTATAGAATAATAATCTTAGGTAGTAGTGCTATTATCTGTAGTTATTGTTTATAAATTTGTAAATGTTTGTCTTCTGTAGATGGTGAAGGTGAAGGTGATGGTGCAGCAGGGAAGAAAAAGAAGAAGAAGAAAAAGAAGAAAGGACGTAGGTGTTTGTTACTATGGTTGTATCGTGCAAACTTTGTTTCTGCTTGTGTCATGTTTATGGAGCTTACGCATACACTACCTTATACATAGCAAGAACATTTAGCTGTCTTGCTCAGTATCGTCTACTGCAGGGGTAGGTAACCTTTGTCCTGCAGTCGGCACCCAGCTTGGCAAGTTGTAGCAAGTGAGCCTCCACAGTTTTATCTCCCAGTTGCAAAGCTGTGATGTTCAGTGCAGTGAAGGGAAGATAAGGCTCTTTGCCTGCTCTTTATAGGCCAAGTGGGAAATGTGTTATCCCGCCCCAGTGCTGGGGGAAGATTACTTTGTAAGACCCTTCATTTCAGCAGGTACATGGGGGAGGGAAGTGGTTTTGGTATACAGCTATAAGGTATAGTTGAAAAGAAGATTAAATCTCAAAACAACAACCATCCTCATGTATATATTTTATAGAGACCTGGGAGAGGAACTGACACCTGAAACACTTTAGTACCTATGTGCACACTTTTACAGTCTTATATTTTTAATCACTGTAAATGATTTCAGTGATTCACCAAGGACAGGTATGAGAATATAGATGCTGTCTTGGTAAACAGTGGTGTTTGAAGTGTATGCAGATATTTGAATTCTTAAAGAAATTGATTGCTATGCACAACCCAGGTTTTTTTGCTTAAAGTGACTCAGTGCTGCAACTGTAAAAGGCACTCAGAACTGGCAAGGTTATTTAAGGGTATCTTGGCATGTTTTCAGTTTTAGATGTGAGCCCAAGTAAGGCAATGTAAAATTTTTTTTTAAAAAAATGCTTTTGTATTGAAAATGATAGAACTATGCAGTGTATCGTAAGAGATTCAACTTCTGCATTTCACCCAACAGCTAAAGTCCAGACAGATCCTCCGTCTATTCCAATATGTGATTTGTTTACTACTGGAATATTTCCAAAAGGTGAAGAGTGTGAGTATCCACCAACACAAGATGGGTATGTATCTTGTTTAAAAATTTTAACATGCACAGCGTGGTACATTGACAAATTATTTTGTAGGCTCACCTAATTTTGCCTGTTGTTCATAAGTCTCTGCCCCAAGAGCTGGGTTATTATATTCGCTCTACTGTTATCCGTTATGTTGGAGGTGCTAATTGGAAGTAAGTGAATTTTAGAGTGTTCCTACCTGCAGATCTTTGTATATGTTTGTAACTGCATACTGTATTTTGTTGGCAGTTGATCTTGGGATGATGTAGATATGCTTAATGAGTTGGGACTACTTTTATGTATGAATGATAAATGCATGTAGCAGTGACTTTGCCAGCAAACTATATAGTACTTGAACATAGGCATAATCAAGGCCTGTGCTTGTTTATATACTATTAAATGTATATAGTTTTAATTCTCTTGTTTTTTAATTATTATTTTTCTATGTTTTTATTAATTCCTTTTTAAAAATCTGTAAGTTGTCTTGAGTCCTATTAGGGGAAAAGGGGAGGTATTAATAATAGTAATAACTATAATAATGATGCTTGTCATTCAAAAGTGACAATGTACCTGTGTATTTTATACTTCAAAACTATGTTCTGTTTAATTCTGTAGAGAACTCCACTGCAGTCCTTAAAGCCTGCAGTAGGTTAATACTGTGATGGAAAAGCTGGGTTCATTTATTCATTTTTGGTGGGAATACCGCCATGTTAAAAACTTTTGGAATGGAGTATTCTCTATTATATCCACAATTACAGGCCAACCCCTTTCTTCAAATCCTGCCTTAGCCCTACTATCTTTGGACATAGGCTTAGGCTCCACCCTGCACTTCAGAGAACTTGTAGGCTTCTTACTGACTGCAGCATGATTAGCGTTTGAGCATTTCACTAGACACAAGAGGGCAATTAAAGGCATAACAAATAGAGATACCTTCCAAGAAATGCGGACCCCTTTATGTTAATGACCAAAATCAAGACCTTGTTATACCAACCACTCCGTTTTCTCAGTGGAGAGGTTTCGTTAAGTAATATGTTTGAATGTTGAATGTGTAAGTGTTTGTCTAGAGACAATGGATAAATCAAGCACCATTAGATGTGCTGCTGGATAAGTGCTTAGTGGTAATTGTATTAGTGTTTGTTTAAAAAACAGTAAACAATTTTAAAATAAAATAAAATACTGTAATGGAAGGGGGAAGGTTAGGAGAGCCTGCCTACACTCTGCACAGCTGCCTTGCAAAGTAGACCAGCAGTGCCCTCTAAACTATCCAGTAACTGCTGCCACCATCACTCAGTTTTTGCAGTTCTACAGTTGGATTCCAGCCCCCAGTGGGAGGGAATTCTGTGGTGTTCCAGGAAATAATAAAAATCTAGAATTCTGATGCCTTTCAGGACAGTGGGGCTGGCATCTAACTGTCTCTTCCACCATGGAATTCAGCACATTCCCTATGAAATCCATACTTTTGCCCTAGTAGCATATATACGCTCAGTGGTTAAGCATGTAGGAGATTACCCAAATCCTAAAGTTTGGCATAAACACCCTTCAGATCGCAGCAGTCAAATAATATGAAGCTTTATTAAGAATGGAAGAGGAAAAGGCAAATGGACAAATACTGAAAATAAAAGCTCTGTAGATCAAATCTACCTGTGCTGACCTAGTTATTTACAGACTGACTGCTTGGTCTACTTGTGAGTAGCATGGCTTTAGGTGGTCAGTTGCATGGTTTCCTGATGGTCACCGATGGAGGGTAGGTGGTGATTGAATAGAGGAAACAAAGCACTGCATACCCAAGCCCATTGTAAGGACTCTTTTCTGCTCGTTGGTTTGAGTGGCACCTGGTTCTTTCTTGCTAGTTAGAGCACATGTCACATTTTGGCAGGTAACTGGTATGGCACCTGGCCAGGAATTGGGGAGACGATGGCCACTCACAGAGGCAGGCATGAATGGTTATCACTGGTGTAAATCACCACTGGAATTGCTCAGTCTTCCTGCCACAGAACCTTTCCCTTGGTTTGTGGATTCAGGACTGGACCGCATACCTGTTTGCTTGCTTAGACTTAATGGAGGGCAAGTGAACAAGATCCTTCTCCACAAATATCCTCCAGTCTTTCATTTGCCAAACTTGCATATCTTAAGTCATGCAGTTGACAGGCTTCGCACCTTTCAAAAAAAAATGTGATGGCACATGAAGGAATATGCTTTGTTAGTCTATCCAGATGCTTTTCTACCCACAGGCCAGCTTAGGCAAGTGGGCTGGACCACTGTTATATGATGTGAGGTACAGGGCAGGGTGTGGCTTGGCCAAAATGGTCTGGTGGGTCAGAGGTTCTCCATCCCTGAGATAAGACATAAGACCTGGTCTACACATGCAACAATGACTTGGTAGAACAGTGAAGTGGTAGAGTGGCTTGTATAATTTTGGACAGTAAGTGGGGTTGTACCACTTTTGAATGTCCCCATGTAGTTTTATTTATTTATTTTATTTCAGCAATTTGTATATTGCTTAATCACAATCATCTCTAAGTGGTGTAAACAAATCTGTGCAAGTAAAACGGCAAAACAAGGGAAGAAGTTATAGTCCAGTTTGCTCTCTACTGGGCTAGTGTTCTGCATAGCCAAGAGCTTTTCATACGGAGGAATGCGGGTGGCTCTAAACCACTGAGCCTCTTGGGCTTGCTGATCGTAAGGTCGGCATTTTGAATCTGCACGACAGGGTGAGCTCCCATTCCTTTGTTCCAGCTCCTGCCAACCTAGCTGTTTGAAAGCTTACCACTGCGAGTAGGTAAATAGGTACTGCTGTGGTGGAAAGGTCAATGGCATTTCTGTGCGCTCTGGCATTCATCACAGTGTTCCGTGCACCAGAAGTGGTTTAGTCATGCTGGCCACATGACCCGGAAAAGCTGTCTGCAGACAAACCCAGGCTCCCTCAGCCTGAAAGCAGATATGAGCACCGCACCCCATAGTCGAATTCGGCAGGACTTAACTGTTGAGTCATCTACCTTTACTTTTACCTATATGGAGCATTGTTTAAAAACATGATCCTTTCCACCTGCAGTCTAAAGTGGTACAGTCCACTATACCAGCTATTGCATGTGTGCAGGCTACATCTAGAATTCAAAGAACATGTGTAGAGGAGCTTTGGACACCTGCAGTTTTCCTTATCAGCAAGTCACTTGGCTGAACTCCTAAACCTGTTCCTTACATTCTCCCAAGTTGGAGTCAGGCTAGGTACCCAAGGTTTTTCGTGGTAGAAATGGTGCAATAATGATATTTCTTTTACCAAAATCTTCACCTACCAGTTTCTGAAATCAGTGAGGTGTTTTGTGATGGCAGTAGAACTGGCAACAAACATTGATTTTGAGCTACTCTTGAACTTGGTCAGAGTGGGCTAGCTAGAGTTTAATAACTTGAGTGATTGTATATGTAATTTGAAGTATACCTCTGTTAATCTAAAATATGTATATTAAAGTAGTAGTCCTGTTGAGTATAGCTGTGTCATCTAGTTTGGATTACAAGCTAAAACGGCCAATCTGACAATCCTTTTATCCTAATATTAAAGGCGAACTGCTGCTTGGAGAACAACAAGTGATGAAAAGAAAGCGCTAGATCAAGCAAGTGAAGAGATCTGGAATGATTTCAGAGAGGCTGCTGAAGCACACAGACAAGTGAGAAAATACGTTATGAGCTGGATCAAACCTGGAATGACAATGATAGAAATCTGGTGAGAATAAAAGATCATAGGATCAAGGGAGGACTATACAAGGGTTCATCTCCATAAGTTTAATTGAATGTGCTGGACCTAGAGATTAGGTGTGGGGCTTCCGTATATCAGCCTAGTTCTCCATCAGTTCTGGTGACTGTTGGTGATGATTGTATATTTTTGTTTTTGTTTTTTCACAACTTCCATGGACTATGAGGCTGGGAGACAAGCAGCTAACAGAATGTTGCTGCAAAGTTGTTCAACGAGTATGATACAACTGGAGACCTGGCACTTCCTCAGTTCTTATATTCTTGGGACAGCAAATATCTCATATTCTAAGAACATTCCCAGTAATATGCATAGCAAAGGGAAGGAGGGGAATCGTTTGAAATTTTTTTAATGTAGCAACTAAATAAAGCTGCTGGAAAACAAATCCGTTCATGTAATAAAGACCTTTGCTTCCCTAGCGAAAAACTAGAAGACTGTTCACGGAAGTTGATAAAAGAGAATGGCTTAAATGCTGGGCTTGCATTTCCCACGGGATGTTCTCTGAATAACTGTGCAGCCCACTATACCCCTAACGCTGGAGATCCAACTGTATTGCAGTACGATGATATCTGCAAGATAGATTTTGGAACACATGTCAGTGGTGAGTTTTCTCTTGCTTACTCTGCAGTTAGGTCATTTAGTTGAGTTCAGATTCTTTCATCTAATTTGTATCTAATTTCAGGTCGTATCATTGACTGTGCTTTTACTGTCACATTCAATCGAAAATATGACAGGCTGTTACAAGCTGTAAAAGATGCAACTAATACTGGAATAAAGGTATACTCGCAAGGGGAAGTGTAACTTTATCTCTTACCTACATACTTTTGTGAGAGGGAATTTTTATCTTCAATTTCAACCTGTCTTATGTGTGTGTATAGTGCGCTGGAATAGACGTTCGCCTTTGTGATGTTGGTGAGGCTATTCAAGAAGTCATGGAATCTTACGAAGTTGAAATTGATGGCAAAACATATCAAGGTAAATTTCCCCTATCTAGTACATGTGATAGTTTTGATTCAACGCTAAGGGAGAGAGCATGTGTGAATATGAAACAGACAAAGGCATTGCATTTGTATGACTTGATTGCTGTTGTTGCTCACAAGTAAAACATTTTGAGATCCATCAAAATTCTCAAGGGATGCGGGTGGCGCTGTGGGTTAAACCACAGAGCCTAGGACTTGCCGATCAGAAGGTATCATTCCCCAATATGGGGAATGATCACACAGCTGGGGCAGATGAAGACATCTGTTTGTGCTGATGTAGGTTTACCATGGCATTCCTTCTTTCTGCACTCCTCCCAGCAGTCATTGCATGAACCTAACCATGTGCTGTGCTGGGAGAAAAGGGTTTCCTTTCTTGCTGGGCAACACAGAAAAGCTCCCCCCACAGCCTTTATGGAGAGATACTCTTAAGGTTGGGTTAAACCACTGAGCCTAGGGCTTGCCGATCAGAAGGTCAGCGGTTCGAATCCCCACAGCGGGGTGAACTCCTGTTTCTCGGTCCCTGCTCCTGCCAACCTAGCAGTTCGAAACCACGTCAAAGTGCAAGTAGATAAATAGGTACCGCTCCGGCGGGAAGGTAAACGGCGTTTCCGTGCTATGCTCTGGTTCGCCAGAAGCAGCTTAGTCATGCTGGCCACATGACCCAGAAGCTGTACGCCGGCTCCCTTGCCAATAAAGCAAGATGAGCGACGCAACCCCAGAGTTGGCCACAACTGGACCTAATGGTCAGGGGTACCTTTACCTTTACTAAACTTCTCAAAAGTTTTGATTTTTGCATTTAATTGTGTTTTCGGGAATTTCATGTTGTCTTTGGATTCCAAAAATTGAGAATAGTTTTTTTTAAAAAATGAAATTGCTTATTCTAGAAAAGTTAACTGTACTAGTTACCTACGTGCATTGATTTTATAGTGTTTCATATTTTATGTTACAGTGAAACCAATTCGCAATCTGAATGGCCACTCTATTGGACCATATAGGATACATGCAGGCAAAACTGTTCCCATTGTGAAAGGAGGAGAAGCAACAAGAATGGAAGTAAGCAAATAACTCTCATACCCTTACCCTCTGTACACAGAAGTATAGAGCTCAATGGGCCTTTACTCCCACTGAAGAATATGCACAGTATTAGGCTGTTAATATTTGCAGTTTCACCTGGCCCTTGTTTGAAATTCTGTTCCCATCCCCCTCAACTAAGAAGTTTTTTAGTCTGTAGTACTAAATTACCCAGGAAGCATATGGCTACTGCTCACAACAGAATGTTGTAAATGTGTGTAATACTTAACAGTTGGCATTAGTTTTATTAAAATGAAAAATGAATGGTATGCCTAACATTCATTTTGTTCTTGCAAGTAATTCAAAATGCCCTATCCCCACATCTACAATTTGTATTTAGAAGCAAATGAAGGTGTCATTAAAAAAAATAAAATAAAATGGGGAGGTGAACTACCTAATTGGGAAAAGTGGAAAATCTGGCTGTTTAGTTAAGAAGACAAAGGGCAGCACGATTCATGCACTATCTGATAGTTATTACAACTGATCAGAAGATCTTGCAAACTGTTCTTTCTTGTTCTAATACATGCCACTCCAGAAATAGTTCAGAAGTCTTAGAAATTTATTCTGAAAATGCCCCACTTTCCCTATTCTTACCCACCAGGAGTAAGCTAACTGGAATACCATTGTCTCACTTGTTGGTGGCATTCTAAGTACTCTACTTTAGCTCCCAGGCATAACCTACTGCCCCAGAGAATAATTTGAAGGTATATGACTAATTTATGTTGCTGAAGTGAAGAGGGTTTAACATTGTAAGCTGCCTGTATGGGAGGCCACCTTTGAACCAGTCTGAGACTATAAATGAAATACAACACCAGAACAGCTATTCCTAGTACATGGGATTAAGCTGTTCATTAAACCTGATTGGGCAGTGTCTAAGTAAGGAAGTATCACCCTGACAGTATTTGAAAATCTTTGATTTACAGGAAGTGAATAGATTGATTGCATTTCATGGGCATGCTGCCTGTACATCTGCTCTGTGGGGTATTATGTGTTGTCCTACATTTATAGTTCTGAAAATTTCCAGAGTTAGTCTCCTGTAGCAAAATAATATTGTGCCAGAACCCATGTTTTCAAATGCAAAAAAATAGTTCTTTGATTAATTCTCAGCATGGACTCCAGTATGCTTATCTAGTATATGTGTCTGTTTAATTTTAGGAGGGAGAAGTATATGCTATAGAAACCTTTGGCAGCACAGGAAAAGGTGTTGTTCATGATGATATGGAATGTTCTCATTATATGAAGAACTTTGATGTTGGACATGTGCCAATAAGGTTAGTCCTGCTTTTATTACAGTGGGTAAATGTCCCTTTGTCTGTACTATTGAAAGAAATATCGTTGCTAATTCACAACTTGAAAAGAATGGTAAGTAGACTGCTTATATACTATAGGTGCACAAATGAGACAAAAACCAACAATTTTTAGAGCTACTTGTCCTTAAAGTGACTTGATTTACTTGTGTGTGAGTGGACAGTAATTTACCACTGCTGAAACTCTTCCAGATGTTCTTGAACTAACAACTCGTATCAGCCCTAGCCAGCATGGCCAGTAGTCAGGGATAATCAGAGTTTACGAACAGCTGGGGAACACCTGATTTGGGAAGAATGGTTTAGCATGACATCCAAATACAGCCAATATTAGCAGCAGCTTTACATTACTGTGGTTTAATCATAGCGATTTCAAAAAACGCCTAGCATCTTAAATACTTTGAATCCTGTTCTTTGAATCAGCAGTGGTAAATAAAGTGGCCCATGGGCTAGATCCAGCCCATGATGGTGTTTGACGTAGCCTATCAGCCTCCTGACTCAAATTACCTGCAGTGACAGGAATAACAACACTCAACAAGGCAGCTTTCAGTCTTCTTGACTGTATCTGAAAAGTGTGCATGCACACGAAAGCTTATACTAAGAACAAACTTAGTTGGTCTCTAAGGTGCCACTGGACAATTTTTTAAAATATTTTTTTGAATACCGTCATTGATAGCAGGCTGGATCACTCCAGAAACAGGAGTGTTCTGATCTGTTCCAATGGAAGGGCAGCACTAGGCTGGTAGGAGCAAGGGGGTTATTTTCCTTCCCATAGCAGTGCTGGACTTAGTGGAGAGGCTTTTTCCAGTGATGCAATTGGAAGAAAAATCCCTTCTGTTCTTCTTAACCAACAATAAATGCAACCCTCAGGCCCCACCACAGCTTGTATGTTCACTGTTACATGAAAGCAAAGACCACTCTCTCTGGAATGGTCTCCTCACCAGAAAGAAGGTATGCAGCAGCAGTGATGCAATTCTGGTGCATGCTGAATACTTTTTTGTTTACCGTGTCTTGCTGGCTACTAGTGCTATGCATTATGGAATTTTAAAGTATATTTTTACTGCTTCTTTACTGAACACAGCATGACTTACTCATGAGTAAACATGCATGGGATTGCACAGTATCTGTCTGATCAGCATTTCCTCCTGCTCATTCAGTGCACTCTTTCTTCTAGGCTTCCAAGAGCAAAACACTTGCTGAATGTTATCAACGAAAACTTTGGCACTCTTGCCTTCTGCCGCAGATGGCTAGATCGTCTGGGAGAAAGTAAATATCTAATGGCTCTGAAGAACCTGTGTGACTTGGGTATAGTGGATCCATACCCTCCCCTATGTGATATTAAAGGCTCATATACAGCACAGTTTGAGCATACCATATTATTGCGTCCAACATGCAAAGAAGTTGTCAGTAGAGGAGATGACTATTAAAACTTCAAGGCCATTACCTCACCTATGTACTCTGTTGGAACACATTATGCCAGAATAAATTTGCAGTCTGTTTTAACAGTGGACCCCATGTGATAACTTTCCATGTTCGGAAAGAGGAATTTAATCAAAGGCAAGTTCTCTCATGTATCTAACAAAAGGAAAAACAGCTTTTGAGGCCTCTAGAGTATTTCAGGTTACTTCTTAGTTTGGAATGAGTTATACATATTGTTTTAATATTTCTGAGAGAAGGCTTTTGAATATTTATATTACCATATTCCCTACTTGAATGCTTTGAATGACTACACCTGATTTCTGCGCCTAAGTTGTCTCTGGTATTGCCTTTTAACTTCCTGGAATCCATTTTGTAAAAAATAAAGACAGATTTATGGATCTAACACCAAATATGGTTTTTAAAAGTGTTAAAAGTGCTAGGCAGCAGTGCTCTGGGGGGAAAACCTGCCTTATTAAATCCTGTAGATGTATTCTTTCTCTACTTACATTGGATATCAACACAAGGCATGGTCTACTTTTCTGAAGTTTTGTCCTATATAGCATGAGTCTTGCCTTGCTTTACGTCATGAAGTTACGAACTTTCAGGAATGTTATCTGCCCTCAGCTGTGGTACACTGACCTATATTGCATAGCTTGATAGGTTCTTTCTATGAATGGGGAATTGAAGTTGGTCTTATTCTGCTCATTTCCCCCCATTCATTTATGATAAATCCCCTAGCCAGCTTAAACATTATTTGATACTTCAGTTATGACACTTATTTAAATGACAATGCAAATATTCCATTTATCAGAACTCTGGATATTCTTCATTATGTTCAGAAACTGGATTATATTATTTTCCCATTACACTTGTTAAGACTAGTTTCATTTGAAATCTCTGCTAATAAAAGTTTGATACATTAGATGCTATTCTTCTGTACCCATGTAAGTGGCAGTAGGGTTGAGGCTAATCAAAGTATAACAGGACTCCCACATATTTTCTACAGAATTGTTTGACATTCTAGTTTGAGCCTAGAAAAGGTTTTAGCAGGCTGCATATTTCTTCCGTACAAAGCAGCAGAAAAAGTCCAACCATTAAGTAGTGCTAATCCATATGCTAGTACGGAGTTAAGGTATAGAAAACACAGTTCATGCTCAATAAGGTACTATCTGTATAAATTGTTGTTAGATTGACTCTGGGATTTGTCCTGTTTTCAATGCTGTTTATTTTATGACCTAGCATTGCTCAAATGCAATTGAGTTGGACCCCTCTGCCACCAAGTACTATTCACCTTGTCCGTGAGATTACTTAGTTTTTATTAAATTATTGCATAAACGCAAGGTGGTTTTAGAAAATCATTTGTTTTATCCAGAAAGCTACCTAAAGATTTTCATTTTATTTTTAGGTAGCCTCTATGCAATAGTAGCTAGATGAGTATAAAGGAACATTTAATGGATTGAGCTTTATGTTGGGAAAAGCTAATGCACATTGAGGTAGAATAGAAGGGCAAATGTAAGGCTAAAACCATATATTAGATCCAGCCCATCAAGGTGTTTGACATAGCCCACCAGCCCCCTATAGGCAGCAAGCTTCTTGAAGAAAACTAGCAGCAAAGCAGCTTGTAGGAAAAACAAAAAGCCAAAAGGGAAGAAAACCATCTAGTTGTCAGTAACGAGAATAAAGTTCTGAACGATGCTACTGTTGTAGCAGTCAAAGGAGCCAAGCAGAAAATTGGTGCCCATGCTCATTGGAAGATGTGTCCTGAGCGTCTGGACTGACATGTTTCATTGTCTGTCTGAAAGGCTTCAGATTCTGTGTTGCATAGGCACAGACCATGAAGACCTATGTACAATTGTGAACAGGCCAACTCCTTATCGATACTTTTAAAATGCCTTTTGAGAAGCAGAGAGGTCCCTGCATTGCAGAATCAATTATACTAAAGTAGTATAAATATTTAGTATGTATAATTTTTGGCATGGAGTTATTTGAGTGCTTTGGTTGTTCTATAAAGGTGTTTTGCTTAGGTATCGACTGGAAGTTTAAATAAAAAACAAATACTACTTTTCTGATGGGCTGTTTTAAAATGATACATTTTCAAAACTGAATAGGGTAAGGAAGTCCTTTCCCCCCCAGGCCACTTGCAGAGAAGGAAATGCTTCACTTGCTGGATTTCTGTTTATGTAGCTCTTAAAGGCACTGAAACTGCAGCAACAACATTAAAACCCTCTTAACTGAACTACTAGGGACGCGGGTGGCGCTGTGGGTAAAAGCCTCAGCGCCTAGGGCTTGCCGATCGAAAGGTCGGCGGTTCGAATCCCCGCGGCGGGGTGCGCTCCCGTCGTTCGGTCCCAGCGCCTGCCAACCTAGCAGTTCGAAAGCACCCCCGGGTGCAAGTAGATAAATAGGGACCGCTTACAAGCGGGAAGGTAAACGGCGTTTCCGTGTGCGGCTCTGGCTCGCCAGAGCAGCGATGTCACGCTGGCCACGTGACCCGGAAGTGTCTCCGGACAGCGCTGGCCCACGGCCTATAGAGTGAGATGGGCGCACAACCCTAGAGTCTGGCAAGACTAGCCCGTACGGGCAGGGGTACCTTTACCTTTACCTTTAACTGAACTACTATCTCTCAAGGTACAGGCCAAGATAGAGCTAGATCAGACTTGCCACAGCAGGCCATTGAAAATGTAACTGATTTTTATTAAATCTGAAATAGCTTAGAATTGCCATTTTTTTCTTGCTCATCTTTACCCCTTTTCCTCTGCTTTTGGTGGAACCTTACCTGTTTCCCCCTTTAGTTTTGTTCTTGGTCTCTGCTTTTCTTTCTCCACAGATGTTCTCTTGTCCTGTTTCTCTTTGCCCCTCCTGCTTCCTTTGCACAAACATGTTTCATTTACAGATGGGTCTTGTCCTAAAACTGTGGGGTGGGTAACCTTTGTTGGGGTCCAACTCCCATCAACCCCAGCCAGCATGCCCAATAATCAGGGTTGATACACCTGCACCCACAATGACACAATAGGCACCTGACGTGCTCAGAGGATGACTTTTGACAAATTGGTTCAAGCTCTTAGAACTTAACTAGTTGCTATGCTTAATTCTCTTTCATGGTGTTTTTTTTAAGTTGGGACATTGGGTTCTTTTAAGATGGTAGGGGTTTTTTTGTAGCAGGCAGGTTAACTGTTCACTGTACTGGCCAACAAAGAAAATTTAGTACCCTTCTAGCTGAGCAGTAGAAAACAGGCTGCAAATGAAGACATTTTGCTACTTAACATCAAATATTCATAGGAAATGAGTTTTGTGTTTAATAAAATATGCAGTCTTTATCTAGGTATCTCACTTATGTTGGGTGGCTATCAGTTCAAGGACTAGTAAGATTACAGTAATTAAGACAAATGTCTATGCTCAAGTTTCTGCCTTGTGTGCAAATAATCAGGGGACCTGCTGTGTTAAGAGGTCCTGAAAAAAGGGCACTAACCATTATTCTTTGGGTTCTTCATGCAGAGAGAGTGCCTATTAAACTAGAGTATACAAAAGCATTTTTCCTGTCACCCCAGATAACTTTGAGAAGAAAGTGAATTAGGGACTTAATGGTTTTTTTTATGTGAGCGTGAGACATGCATTTTTGTGTGGCATTTGAGAACTTCTGCACAGACAGCTTCGCTGTATTCAGTTCTTCCCTCCCAGCCCTTTCTCTTGGGGTGGTGAAGTGCTTGCATTCCCTCTCTACGGGGAAACTTTATACAGTTCTCTGTGTCCTTCAGAGTTGGAAGGATAGAAGACGAGAAAGGTTTTTGTATAAGCAATAACTTCCCTCCATAATTCACACAGGGCAAGTCACCCAAAACTCCAAAATCCTATTTCCAGAGGGCAGGAGAGCAAGGGTTTGTGTCTCTTGCTCAAAGATACCCCTCAGGAGCTTCACACTAACCAGTTCACTTTCTCAGCACGTTTTTTTGTTGGAGGCAGATGTCCTCCAACAGACATCACAATGTAAGGCTGTCCCTCATGCTGGTTAGGAAGTGCTGAAGAATTCAGGAGGATTCCCCCCGCCCCAAGCAGAGCAGCAGGCAGTTAAAAAAATTAAGCTCTTACCAATTAAAAAAACCTTTTGCTTTGCTTATACAAAACAAATCACAGCCCACTTTCACTTACACAGCTTCACTTCTTACACAGCCTATGGTCCTAAAGGAACAGATAAAAGACAAATAGAGCAACACAAGATTTTGTGAGGGCACTATCAGATTTGGGGTGTTTTATTGATACAGTTGACTCAGAGGGTGGTAATAATTTGCCAGTTATTCTTCCCCTAGCACTGAGCAGTTGCATACACCGAATAAATATCTTGTTGCTTCTCCCCAGGACTTAGTGACCGAGTAGATCATATGGTTTACCAAATGGAGGTAGAAAGCAGAGTTGTATTTTGCTCTCTGCAGGACTTTTCAGTTCAGAGGGGAAAGCAAAGTTCTACATTTTATACCATCTTATTTTTTTTAATTCTGTGGAAGCAAGACATATGCCTGCAATGACTGGTACTTCAGGAAACATGGTATAAAATGCACATTTTTTATAAAAAAAATCCAAAATTACACAAGTTGCTCACGAAAATTCCTTATCTATGTTTTCTACACCAAAATATCAAAATATAAAAATGCTGAGAAACAGCTTGAGGTAAGATTTAACAATTCAAATGGCAAATTTCTTTTAAAAAAATAGCTATACAGATATCCTAATAATTTTGGAAGTTAACTACCATCAATAAAAAGTATTTATACTAAAAAAAATTCCCCAAAACAAGTTTTCAGCTAGTACAAAAGGGTATGAAGATACATTGTACAATACTGCACTTACTCATCTCAACACATGTACAAGTGACAACTCTCAGACTTGTACTGTACATATTAAATTGGCTTTGGATTAGCTGTTACTATCTGCACTGGAACAATTAACCTCAGTATTTGGCTGTTTTCCAGATGGTGAGTCAAGAGCTGAAACATTACAGTGTCCATTTGCCTGAGTAATTCGTTGAGTATAAAACAAGATGTAGGCCTGGGCCTTGCATACTTCTTCCATAGTGCACATGTTGAGCTTGGAATCATTGCAATGAACCCAGAATCCTAGAAGACAAGAGCAATAAAAGTATTGCAGCACTGGTTCTTGTAACAGATCAAAGGATTTTATGTATTGCAATATAAGAATACTACATTTTACACAGAAATAGCTGTACTCCCCCCACCAAAAGGATAGATGCAGAACTGTCCAAATGACAGGTTGGCCTCTCTGTGCAGCATTCATTACAATTTTAGAAGATTCCCCTGCTTAAAAGTATTGAGTTTAGGGAATGAAATATTCAATGAAATACTCGTGCTAGCAAAATGATTAGCACTAGCACAATGGGACTCCTTGCCCCATGCACCACCCAAAAAAGCTACTTTATGGGATTGGGAGAAACCCCAGAAAAGATTTAGAGGGAATACGGTGGGGTGGGGGCGTTACAGTTGCACAAAGAGAAATCCTTGCCCTGATGGAACCTTCTCTTTAACAATATGTCGAATATAACCCTTCTGTTGTGGCAGTGCAAGCCACTGTATCTAAAAGGCAAGCTTAAATTGGATTTCAGATTCAAATTTGTTTGTACCTCCTTCTGAGTTATAGCAATAGGCAGTGTAGTGTCCTGAGCCAAAACCTTTCCCATGATGCATCACAACAGCAGACAGGTCATAGGTAAAGCAATCTGGAACAAGGGACTTGAGAGATTCTCTGCAGCAATAGGGCTCCATGTTGAGCGTCTGATCAAAGCTGACGTGCACACCAATCTTCTCACGATGATTACGTCCTGACCATCTTGGGTGATGAAAAGTATAAAAAGGTTATTTTCTATTTCTTGTTCTGTAGGTACCTTCAACATAACTAGAAGTTAAAAAATCTCTATTTGTGGGCTAAAGCCTGGGAGTATGTGTATCTCTTACAGTGTGGAAGCAGTTACAGAATCATAATTATAGGCACCTTGTAGGCTAAGTCCTACCATCTGCAAAGTGCAGGAAATTCAGTTAGAGAATCCACAATAATAGTCTTTCCTTCACTACTTGAGAACCGCAAGTGAGAGACTCCAACACTCTTACAGATTATTAGTTTCATTGTAGAACACTTTCTGTTGGAGGTTTCTTTTAATCCTGTAACTTATTCCCACTAGATCAAGTCCTCATTTGCAAGACACTCCTTTGTATCTGAAAAATTGCTTTCTTTATGTCCAGTGCAGCAGTTGGTTCCCTCACAACCACAACCACTCCCTGTGACAAATTTGACTGGTTTGTTCAAACCCAATTGATAAAATACAGTCATACCTCGGGTTAAATATGCTTCAGGTTTAGTGTTTTCAGGTTACGGAACGTGTTACCTCTGGGTTTCGCCGCTCGCGCATGCACAGAGGCTCAAAATGACATCATGCACGAAAGCGGCAAATCGTGACACGTGCAGACAGCAGACGTGGGTTGCGTTCACTTCAGGATGCAAATGGGGCTCCGGAACAGATCCCGTTCGCATCCAGAGGTACCACTGTAAAATGTTTTTCTCTAATGCCACTGGTTCCTTAGGGATTTCCAGTCACAGACTCTGAGAGGGCCATTTAAGAGTTTCATAGAAGGGAGAATTTCACCAGCTGTGCCTTCCCCAATCATTCCCTAGAAGTAACAAGAAAATCTGAGGGAATTATTCCCTGCTTTGTAATTTACAAAGCACCTGTCTTTCCTAGAGACTCTATGCTTCCTGGGGTCTCTTCCCACTTAAGATTTGCTTCACAGTGGTGCTTCTTGTCCCTGAGGCATATACAAGGTCTTAATTTAAATCAAACAACTTTGCCTCGCAGAAGGCAGGCTGCTAACATTTGGATACTGACAACTTCATTCCTTGAGCACCTGAAATGTTCAGGAACACCTCAATATTCGCACCAGTTCAAATCACTGTCAGAAGCTTCATCAAATTCCTTTAATGCAAAACAGTATCGATAACAGGCCCTTGGGTTCTGGGTGGAGCACACATTTTTATTGTAATCTCAAGAAGCATTCTTTATAATCTGACTAAATATACAGATCTATTTTTTTTAAAAAAAACGCATTAAGGTTGCCAGCCCATTTTCCTTAATATGATAGCAAAGGTAGTTCCCTACAGTACCTGAACCGCTTAAGGTGTAACCGCAGAACTTGAGGTAGTCGGCATACCATAAGTTGCTTCTGTGCTTCTGTGAGTATAATGGGCTTAGAAGAAAACTTCCTTCGTTTTGCTATGACAAGAAAAAGAAAATCCTCCACTCATATTCACAATAGATGCAAGTTGTAGAAAAAATAAATCAATGCACTTTGGATAATACACGCCAAACATAGGTTGCCTCAGTCTAGACTAGAGCTTCTCAACTAAGCATTGGTTTAGAAGAATTTCTGTGTGTACAGTCAGCTTAGCAGGAATCCATTTTGGAGATATATTGTGGAAACATTACTTGAACTTAAAGAACATTCAATATACAACTTTATATCAGTTATGTGGGGGTTGAAGATTTTCTGCAGAAAAAAACTACGTACGGTAAGTTTGTGAATTAATACCAATTGCAAATAATTAGGAAAGCATGGCATTTTCGTAATTTCTAGCCTTGTTTACTATAAGCAAATAAAATAAACCAAATTAGGGCATCGGAAAATTTTATGAAATGAAAACTTTCTAAATAATACATTTCAATGCAATTCAGTTAACAAAATTCCAGAAAACCCTTATCACAGGTGTATATGTTGGTATAAAACGCGATGAGCTCCAGTGAAGTATGGACAATGTACTGATGCAATCCTGAGATGAGCGCATGATATAAATAAATACTAAAAAATTTTTTACAAATGTAGATTGATAGTTTCGTTCCTTGAGATTACCTTTATGTATCATATGACCTTATACTGTGAGCTCAAGGGACTGTTCACACCTTGTTTTGCACATTTAACAGATGCACAAATAAGAGGTAATTTTTCTGATTATGATGTTTAAAAATGTACTGGCAGTATCTATGCTCTTAACCAAAGCTAGGCCACATGTTACATGAAAGTCAGGTGCCCGAGTACATGCTGCCTTTACTCACTGTTGCACTGATCACAGGCATATATCTTTCCTTCCAATGCTTCAGTTTCTGTAAACTTGGCCAACATTTCCGTCAACAAGCATGGATGCTGACAGGTTGTCTCCTTTCCATTGCAGTGGTATCGTTCAGGAAATTCCAGTGACAGATCCCAGAAGGGTTCTATAGTATTAGACTTATTATCACACGCAAGACACGTTACCTGTCAAGACAAAAAAACACTTAATTTGACTCTCTAGACCTTCCTTCTTTTGCAAGTGAATGTGCATACATATTGCAGATGTGAAGAGGAGGGGTGGAGCAATCCAAAACCCAAATCCTTCACACTGGAGGGGGTCTGGACAGAGTGGGAGGGGTCCTCCTGCCCAGCTGTGGTTAGTTCCACTGATGGAGAAGGGCATTTTGGGGATGGACTGGACCAGCATGACCAGCATGCTGCAGTCAAGCAACAGCAACGGGCCCAATCCAGGGGGGAACTGACGCAATGAAGTGGCATTCGCCCCCTTTCTGTCTTGGCCAGCACAAACACTGAGACTACGGATGCAGTGCCGCCTGCATGAAGCCCTGTCGCTGGGGTTCAAGGGATTAGGACTGTGGCCTTAGCTGCTTTGTTGCTCTTGAAAGCCTCATCATCATCTTAAAATTGATTACATTTTTTTTTTAAATGTAAAATTACAGCTCAGTGACAAAGCTCAGTGACAAAGCCAGATATATGATGCTCTTTCTTATTTTCCATTGTAATTAATGCTGTTATTATTTTATCAATAAATATTTTATATATTACCAGTTTAATGTGCTTCATTAGTAGAGAGTCTAAATATTTATAGTCATTTTAGTATTTCCAATGGGGGGCAAAAGATACAATTTTTTTATGCAGCTAATGAAACAATGTATATTGAAGGTGAAAATTAAGTGGGCATTCATGGGTATGGTGCAAAGGTTTCACTGTATTTGTTTCTAGGAAACAAGTCTAAAGTGGCTGAAAACTAGCAAATGCAAGGAAAAGCAAATGAGGGGAGTGGAACAAGAAGTAAAATACCCCTCAATGAATAATCAAACTGCTGAAATCTAGGGATAGAACAATAGTGCAATTGCATTATTATGCTGACTGTGAAACTGTGGGCCCAGGTGAAGTTTCCAAACCCAAGCAGTTCAACTCCATAGGGCAGGCATCCCCAAACTCAGTCCTCCAGATCCCTAGCTAACAGGACCAGTGGACAGGGATGACGGGAATGTTAGTGACTCAAGCAAGGTTCTCCTGGGTACAGGCTTCTGTACATGAATTACCACAAAATACAGTAAGTACTTACAAGCTCCCGGTAGTATTTTTAATACCATTTAGGAATCTGCACATCAAGACTACAGAGGGCCTTCTGATAAGTTATTATAGTTGCAATTAACAGACCAGAGCAGTCCCAGTAAAATCAGTGGTGATGCTCCAAGATCAGTGAATTGTGCAGAAAATTGCTTGAAATGCTATTAATGCTATTACTCTCACTTCCTTAAAGATAAAAATCAAGCTGACAGACGGCTGATTAGATTAACTCTCTTAGATGAGTACATTTTCATATACGGCAAAGTATCAAATACATGTGAATTTAAATCATTAGATTTTTACTGTGTATGAAGTAGAAAAGTTATAACAGCTGCAGACACTTATTCTACTGGCATGCATTATACAAACATCCCAATTCAGTGATGGAAATTTAAGTCAGCTTTGACCTGAAAGCCCCATGTTCCAGATCTCAATTATCTTAATATGGGTCTCAAATCACAACAACCTGCAGCAAGTTGCATGTTTTTACTACACATAAAAAGATGTCTGATTTATAAGAGGCTAATAATTGCTCTATTTTTTTTCCTCCTGGAGTAGGAGATTATGCTGTTTAATTTTATCAGTGCTTAAAGAAAATAATTAAAACAGAAAGGAAAGCTGGTTTAGATGTTGGTTTAGTAGCACTCTGATATGGTCATGCCATGAATGATCAGTATGCTCTCCGGAAGAGTAATGGAGATACTCCCTTCCAACAGCCATACCTTTAGCCTTCAACTTAATGTCTTCTTGCAAGCTTGAAATAAATGAATAGCTGTAACTACCGACAATCAGTACCTTTCTGTATCTGACAGTATTCTATATTTTCTTGTGCGTTCTTTAAAAAGTTATTTTCTGACACTTAATTTACATAATCCATGAAGGCAATATATTTATTTAAAATATTTATTAAAAGTGACTACACCCCACTCCAGTGACAACAGTAAAACGAGTCTTCATTTTGACCCATTAATTTACATTAATATTTTAAATCACTGCAGAGCTTTGTGAATGCAACACAACATACCTGGCTTAAAAGCTGTCCATGAAAAATTGTATTGACCACATTCAAAACCTGTTTAATGAGTTTCCTTTGAGAAGTGGGGATGAGGGCTGGGCATTTTGTACGAGCTGTCTCCAATTCTTGCTGTACTTTATCCAAAAGTTCACAGAGAAATTCCTGAGCATCTTGCTGGGCATAACCACGAAAGGCTGGGATTAGTCTCCACACAGAATGGAGCATGGCAAATGGAGATACCAAAGCCCACTTGCCAGACCACATGACTTGAAACAATGTATGCAGCTCATGACAAAGAGAAATGTACTTTGAGCTTGGCTCCTTAGGCTGAATAAGTTCCATATTTCTGCTATTTGACGCTCCACCACTTAAGCCTGATGAAACACTAGATCGCCTTGCAGAAGACTCCTTGTCCTTAAATTGACTTTTGTTCACATGAAATATAGAGCCGGCAGATGGAGAATGCTTAGAAGATGATCTTGTTTTGCCATTGGCTGCAGCTGCTAACAACTCTTGAGTTTGGTTCAAATCAAGCTTTAAAAAACATTCCCGAAATATGAGCAAATGACTCAATACCTGGAGAACAGAGTTCATATAACATGTATTCCCCAAGTTTCGTAATCCTGTTACACCGGGAGTCACAGTAGGCCTTCGTTTAACTGGAGAGTCATTAATTTTTTTTAATTTTACATCATCTGAGGTAGCTGTTACTTTCAGTTCTACAGCAGAGTCCAAATTCTGTGACATTTTTAGTGCATAGAGTGATATTTTTGAGGATTCCTTATTTTGATTTTGCAAGCGAAAGCTCTTTCTTGGAGGCATTTTTTCCATTTCTTCTTTCAACTGGCGCTTTCTCTCTTCTCTTTTCTTCTTAGCATTGATCCTTCTTTCTTCTGCTTCTTCCCTTAGCTTCTCTTCTTCTAAAACCCTTTTCCCACTTGGTGTCAGTTCAAACCAAGATCTAAAAACTTTGCCCATTAATGCATGCCTCCTGTGCCACAGAGCTGTGAACATACGGTCTTGATTACGAAGCAAGGCTTGAGCACTATTATGGGAAAGGTAGTCACTTGTGCCCATCGATCGCAAAATCCTGCCACTGCGAGTAGTACAGTCATAATTCTGACTCTTGATTGCATTTAATGTACTTCGCAACAGCTTTAAATCACCAGTTGCATTATCATTAAGAACATAGTCATCACAAAGGTAGCAGAAAACGTACAGCTCATTCACTTCTAATGCCACTGGATGACTGCTTTCCTGAAAGTGCTTTAGTGCATGTTCTTCAATGTATCTTCCACAAGCAACATGTGAGCAGCTGAGGCAGGCCCATACAGATTCTGTAGTATTGCATACCATGCAATGCCACTTGTGAGGATTTACAATGGAATGGTCTTGGGCAAGCCGAAGTCTTCCTACATGTTTACACTTATCCATTCTCAATACTATAATGTTAATGAAATGCTACAGAAATTCATCTTCCAAAGAGTTTTTCAGTCTTTGCATTTTGACCTGCAAGCGGAAACAAAAGTTAGCTTCAGCTTTTTTTAGGACGTAAGAAGAATCTGCTGAATCAGATCAAAGACCCACCTAGTCTAGCGCCCTGTTCTCAGAGTGCCCAACCAAATGCCTCCAGCAAACCTGAAAGCAGGACATGAACTTAGCAGCACACTCATCCTCACTCATCCTCTACAACAACTGGCCTCAGAGGCATACCACCTTAGATACAGAAGCAATCATTCCTTGTAACCATTGATGGCAGTTTTCCTCCATTCCATGGCATGGCGTTGGACTAGATGACCCTTGGGGTCCCTCCCAACTCTATGATTCTATGAATTTGTCTAACCCCAATTTAATGTTGTCCAAGTTGGCAGCCTACAATCCATCTTATGATAGTGAATTCTATGTCTTAACTATGGACTGTGTGAAGTACTTCCTTTTTTTGTCCTGTAACTTCCAACACTCAGCTTCACTGCATGATCCTGGGTTCTAATACTATGAAAGGAAGAGGGGGGGAAACTTATTTCTATCCACCTGCTTCACTTAATGCATAACTGTACACACCTTTATCATGTTTCTCCTTATGCCAAATGTCAAAATCTTTCCCCATAGGAATAAATTATTCAGTATGGAAGAACATTTTCTGTCTATCTGAAAATTTGCCCTAATCAGCATGCAGCATCAGTTTAAGACAGATCTATTTAATAAATCACGGCTCAAGGTGGTCCACTGACAAATATTAGGATGGGGCACAGCACTTACACTTGTCACTACATCTGTATACAAAGACAAACAAGCCCCATGTGCCCTTGTAAAGGAAGATTATGAAACTTTAGCCTGACAAGCAGTCAAACTTTACTGGATACTCCCATTGTTTCATTAGCACATATCATTCTGTTCAGCATTGCACCTATTCCTATCTACTGAATTACAACTTTATAAACATAGCATTTTAAAAACTCAGTTTAGAAACACTTTTTTTAAGCAGTGTACATTAATTAGTATAAAATATTTATAATTAAATACTGATAATAATCAGGCTTTAAAATGCTGATAAAAATCAACAGAATCTTAAGAACAATAAACATAATTAAATTACATGTCTGGGTAGGCTTCCTTAAACAAGGAGGTTTTTAGCAGGCATAAAAAAAACCACACAAAAAACAGTGCAATGAAGACACCTGCCTGATATTGATAGGCACAGAGTTCCAGAGCATAGATGCTGACACATACTAAAATATTTTCCTCACAAGTGCAGAATGGATATTATATGGCACTTGTAAAACTGCCAGTACCACAGCTTGAAGAGGTCAAGTGGGCACATATGGAGTGGCAATACTTCAAGTAAAAGAGTTGACGGTTTTATATACTAATTGAAACAAGCCAGAAGCCAGGAGAGTTCTGTGAGCAGAAGTATTATATGTTGACAGGATCTTACTCCTGTCAGCAATTGTGCTGCAGCATGCTGTACTAACTGTAGTTTCCAGATCAAGCACAAGGAAAGCCTCACATAGAGCACACTGTAATAATTCAACCATGACTTTACCAATGCTTGGCCTACTGTGCTCAAACTATTCTGGTCCAGGGACAACAGCAGCTCCTGTCAACAGTCGGAGTTGATAAAATTATTATTATTTATTCAATATCTATACCGCCCTACATCCGAGGATCATAGGGAGGTTTACAATATAAAAACACAAATATGTATAACATAGTAACAAACAAAAACAACACACAGCCGGTTTAAAGGGCCATAGATAAAAGGCACCCCTGGCCACCTTTAGATTTTGCACCGCGGACAATTTGCTGAATTCTCCCTCATGGGGTCCAACTTACAAACAGTTGGGACTCAAGCTCAGCTTACTTTTTCTCATTCAGCCACCAGGCATAATTGAACATAGTTTAATAAGATGTGCATTATGTCATTTTATTTTATGTGTAAATCACCCTGATAATTATTAGATTCTTTCTCTCCCTTCTACCTTTAGCCATTTTTTGTTAAATAAAAAGTCCAAAATTCTTAAGTCTTTTCATTGTAGAGAAGATTCTAATGCAAGAGTAAAAAAATGAATAAAAAGATGCAACAAAAATGCTTTCCTACAGTTAAGTAAACGGAATACCTGTACATCAAGGTTTTCTGGCTCATGTCTTAAATACAATTTTGAAATAACTGAGCAAATAGCCTCAATATATATCATTTCACTTTAAATACAATCCTTCTACCTGCTGTCATACCTCACTGACAAAATGCAAAAGTAAAAAGTAACCATTCCTTCTTTGGTCCATACACATCATGAAATAATCACAGAACAGGAATTTTTAATATGAAGTAAAAAGTCAAATACAAAAGCAGTAGCTTAATTTCTTACTAACACAAATAGGCACTCAGTGCTAGATGCAAGTCAGAAAATATGAACTCCTACGATCATAAATCAGTATTTACAGACAGGACTCAAATTTTCATCATTAAGCATCACATTATTTAAAGGAACAATTCCCAAACTGGTGCAGTGCAGATGTCAAGCACAGAAAATAAGTTACAAATGTTAAGAGCTGTGTAGTAGAAATTGAATGATGAATGTTAGCATGTATAACCAATACATGATAAATCTGGTCTAGTACTTTAAAATTGCATCTTAGCAGTACAATCCTATACATTAAGAGTAAGCCCCAGTGAATTCAATGAATTTCCTGCCAGTTAAGTTTGTAAAGGATTACAGCCTAACAGCACAATCCTACCTATGCCTAGTCAGAAGTAAGTTGTATTGAATTCAATGGGGCTTACTCTCAGATAGGTGGGGAAAGGTGGGGGTCTAGGGGAGAATTAACATCTTACTACAATCATTTACTTCTTACAATGAAAAGTGTTTCTTTGGCTGCAATCCTAACTATGTCTACTCAGAACTAAATTCAAAGTGGCTTACACCCAGGTATGTGAAGTTAAGACTGCACCCTGAAACCTGGATCTTCATGACCTTTTCATGTAATAAAGTTCATGCACTACCAAAGTAATTTAAGTACATAAAAACTTAACAAATCTCAACCTTTTATCATTATAATCACTTGCCATCATTAAAAGTCACAAACTTTTGTGTAAAATATACTACATGCAGTACTCCTTTCTACATAATCACTGTTAACCCAAAATTCTGGAAATAATAGGCTGGCTTTTTTGAGTGAAACAGTTTTGTTTCACTCCAATTTACATTTAATTGCAGCTCCATGCTGACCTATTAGCAAATCTACTAGTTCACATTGTTTCATAGATTTCCCCCTCCCATTATCTTCTGATACTTTTTCAATGAGTTTTATGCACACAAACCCTAAGTAACAAAGATTCAAAAGGTATGTCTTACTGTCAGTTACTCAACACAACAGAAGAGTTCAAGTGTGGGGCCAAGTGTGGATGCTTATTCTAAGAATATTATAAATCATATAAGATTTATTAAGAAAATGTTTCCTCTACTCATTCTGGTCACTAGCTTTTTTCCTTTTTTAAAAAACACATTCACCTGTGATACTCCTATCAGTGGATGTTCTTTAAGAAATTGTGTTTGCAGACACAACCTTCAGGTGCATAATCAAGATCACTTAAGATATATTTAGTAGTCCTTTGTATTCTCAATTAGGATAGTTAAGGGACAGTAAATAGACAAGTTTCTCCTATTTATGTTTCTTCTAATCTGTTCACCTAATCTATGTCAGCTATTACCAACAGGAAGTATTCCAGATCAATGAGGTTGCAGGTGCCAACTTCCAAAATACAATATGTAATGAAGGGTGGATATAAGTAAGATGAGACTTATTAATTCAGAGGAAGTGACAACATACTGAGTGTATTAACCTCGACTTTCAAAAACCACTACAAACCTATTCCAGGTGCAACAAGTGCTTCCTTTGAAAGATGAGAGTTACATCTCTGAAAGTAAACATCTCAACAGGTCCGCAGAAATCTGTCCCCTTTCAAAATAAATAAATAAATCAAGGCAGAAGTAAAAGCTAGACACCCATTTCCACAGCATAAAAAGTTTTTAACACACTTTCTTCCTATCCCACCATCTCAAAACGAAAACGTCTAGTCATCCAGAACCGGCTTTAACCTATGGAGGCCGATAACATGGGGACCATCTCCACACGAGCAAGTTACCTATAAAACATTTGTGCGTGCGTGAATCAAGATGCACATCGGGGAACCAGCCCACTCGCAATTATTTAAAAGGATGCAGCTAATCCAGCGCCCCAGACCAGCGCCCCCGGGACTCCTAAGCACTCCGAGTGGCGCCTCCGAGCCCCCTCTTTCTCGTCCCAGGATAAGGGAAGGAGCCTCTCGACGGGATGGCGAAGAAGCCGAGGGAGAGAAGTTTCTCCTTCCCGGCTCCTTCGAAGAGGCGCCAAAACCCCAGCTCGGGAGCGGGGGCTTCCCGGGTGACGGGAAGAGCAGCGGAGGACACTACTTGGAAGAAGTAACGGGCTGCTTCCTCGCTCTCGGAGCGCCTGGCATCCCCCGGCTGCCCCCGACCGGACCCCCCACGCCACCCCACCCGCCCCGCCTCCCGGAGCGCCTGGCTGCCTCAGAGCCCGCCAATTCTCACCGGACCGGCTCGAGCCATGTCCCTCTGCTTGCGGCGCGCTCCCGCTCAGCCGCTCAGCCCCTCACGCAGCCGTCGTCCCCGGCGCCAGCGCCCGCCAGCAGCAGCCGCCGCCATCTTGTGCTCCCCGCGCCTCCAGCTTTTCAGTGTCACAAGCAACCGCCCCCTCGGCCGCGTCAGCGCCGCGCCTCCCTCGAGCGGCTCTCTCGCTCGCACACGCAGCGGGGATCCCGCGGGCGGCGCTTGCCTCGTGGTCCTCGGTGGAGTCCCGCTCGAGCGTCTGTCTCTCGACCTGCCAGAATAAGAGCCCTTCGCCATGTGCTGCCTCCGCCTCCCCGGTTTGGGGGTTACTATTGAGCCAAGGTGGGACATAGGAAGCTGCCTGGCACCGAGTTCAGACCATTGGCCCATTCAGGCTCAGCGTTGTGGCAGCGGCTCTTCGGACTTTGGGACACGGGTCTTTCCCAGGGACTCCTGCCAGGCGGTTCCTCAGAAGCGTCTGCTGCACGGCGGCCCTTCCTGAAGGTGAAGTCTGGAGGCCTGGCTGCCTCCCGCCCCAATGCATAAGGTGGCCTTGGCCGCCTGTCTTGGATTGGGTCCCTGCTCTTCTTCTTCTCAGCGTACCAAGAGGAGAGGAGCGACTGAACGCTGTTAGGGCACCACACAGAGAAGGTGGACTGTGTGGAGGTTCCCGCAACCGAGCAGCCGCCTCTTGCCGAGACTCTTTGGGCGCTACAGCAGGAGTGGAAGCTGATCTTGCTCTTCATTTGCTTGTGTGCTTTTTCCGGACATCCATCCTTCCCCGTCAATCTGCCCAAAGAGAAGAGCGAGCGAGCAGAGGCGCCAATTGCCTCTGTAATAATGGTCAGCCCTCCTCCTGCTGTTCCTGGGCAGCCCCACTTGGCCTAACTAACTTTGCAGAGGGAGAGTATTTACATTTCTTGTTTTAAAACTGAGTGCCGTCGAATATAAGAAATAAAAGAAGAATTTTACCTACAATTAGAAATCAATATGAATCTTTAATGCAGATGCACTGTGAGCCACCTGAATGGAAATTTGTGGGCATTGCTCCATTTGGGAACCCCTGCTGTAAAACATATGTGGAAGAAAGAACCACTTATGCAGCACTTTAGATCCACTCCCTGCCCCCTGTTAAGGTGTGAGGAAGCATGTCTTTAAAAAGACTGCACCTCCTGCCATGCAGGAAGACAGGGTTATTGTCTTGTTTCAGATGCTTCTTTCAGGCCAGAGAACAAAGCTCTCCATTAGCAACATGATAGAGCCTATGCACATGGATGTAGTGGGAAGAATTCTTCCTTTAACAGACATAGCTGTATTCTGAACAGTAAGCTATAGGAGTTGAGTCAGCTTGGGCTGGAGAGCACAGCCCTATAACATTGCAGATATTTTGAGGACAAAACAGGCTGCGAACAAAGACAGAGTTAGGCTGTGAGTCTGGAGTGTGCAGGAGTACTAGCAGAGGAAAGAATCACTGGTAAAAGGTATGTGGTTCAAAACACTATCCCTTTAGGTTTTAGGTTGCATTATCATCTGTATTATTGGGCGATATGACAACTTTGTGAGGTTCCTCCGGCCTCATGAGGAGCCTCTTCAGTAGGGTTGGTGAGTGTGGGCCCTGCCCCCCAGGCCAGGTGAAAGGGCCTTGCAGGGAGCGGCCTCACAGCTGGGCAGTGTTCCTCTGGCCTCATGCAGCTACCTCTACTACAAGTAGAGGCTACCATAATGTCCACCCCTTACTTTAGGGAAAGGCCCTATAAGATGGCTTACAATAAAAATGTGAAAAACAAATTTAAAAGAATAGACTTTGAAATTATTCTGGGATAGTTCTAAGAAATGTGCCAGAGTGTTCCATTGGAGTAAACATGTTTTATGTTTTAAGCAGAAAACAAATAAAAGAATCTAAAATACAGATTATTAACAAATCTGCAATCCTATACAGACCATCTTTGCTGTGAGCCATCGATTTTTAGAGTTGGAAGGTATCCCTATAATAATAATAATTTATTATTTATACCCCTGGCTGGGTTTCCCTAGGGTCATCTAATCCAATCCCCTGCAATGCAGGAATTTCAGGGAAAGCATCCATATTAGATGACCTGCTCCCTGCCTTGCAGGCCTTTTTCCACCTGGGCTGGGAGGTCAGGGCCCTGACTGACTCCCTCCAGCTAGAACAGACCCAAGTCATCAAGCCCGAGCTTCCACAGCCACTGCCCGCCTTGAACCACCATTGGCAGGATTGACAGTCCTGTTAATTAAGTTGTTTTTAATGTATACTTTATACTTGACTTTCTTCAGTAATGTTTTATTCTGGATTGTTTTATTTTATGTTTTAATGTGTTGTAAACCACTCTGATAGTATTTTAAAAAATAAATAAATAAAATGGTATAGAAATGAAATTAATAATAATCATAGGAACTTGGGAGTAAGCCCCACTGAACATCTGAGTAGATATGTATAGGTTTGCATAGTAAGAGTGCAGTTTTCTTGTTTAATTCATTAGCAATAAATAAATACTGATTTTAATACCTCAAGTTAGTATCTCAGCAGCATAACCCTAGCAGTGCTATGGTTTAAATTTCAGTGGGATTTACTTCTTGGTAAATAGGTAGTCTATAACTGCTTTGCAATTATCTGGGAGTAGATCCCTTTTAATTCACTGAGGCTTACTTTTAAGTAGACATGGATAGCTTACACTGTCTGAGTATTCTACAAATTTTATAACATTATTGAAGTGCTTCAGATTGCTTACTGAAGTCCCACTAAGCACTGTAATTGAATTGCTGCCCTATTTTTCAGAGATCTTCCTGCCTCTTCTATCTAAGAATAAAAGAAAATGTTACAGCCCATTCTTATTCTGATTTGAATGGAGCTGCCCCTCCTCACTCAGCTTCTTAGGTTTTTTTTACTACTTCTCTTTTACTTGGGATTTTCTTTGCCAACAACTCCTTTGAGAATTTACTTTTATCTTTTCTTTTAATACTTATTGTTAGCAGCAAAAGCAGATTAACAAAATTTTGCCTTGACACTTTAGGAAAGAGGTTTTACTTCTCAAGAAATCTCATCTAGAGATTTTATGCATTTAAAGCACTATTTACTTAAACTTGAATATATTCCTGTTTCTTATGTGAGTTCATGATTATGCTATTTTATTGTATTCGAGTTGTAGTCTGCCATATAAATTAAATTAATTATAACCCTGGGGAGTAGGCCAGAGACAGATTCTAATGCAATAGGAATGCATCCATCGGCTTTTTCCATTGTTCTTTGGATATGTATAATGTGATTTGAGGGCTTATTTAAAAACAAAGGAATTACCTTATTGCAATTTAATGTCAAACATACAAACTGAACCTGGTGTAGTAATTGTTGCTCCAGCAAAGTCATTGAAGTTTACAAAGTCATTACAGATGGCTAAAGAGATAAGACCAATGCAATGCTGTGATGAACTTCTTCATTTCTTCAGGAGTTATGCCTGCTGCCCTTGAATAGGCAGTAGTACATCCTATCTCACTTCCCACAAATACCCACTTCTTGAATAAATTGATGGAGAAAGTGACGGAGCTGTTGCAGGTGTTCCTGGACAATACAGATAATGGAGAGTTGGGCAGAAGGAAGGCAACTCTGTTTCTGCTTCTCAGTCTCTCAGCAGCTTTTGATACCAATATCATAGTATCCTCCTAGACCTCCTAGTCTGAATTGATATTGGGGACACATTCTTAACAGTGGCTACTACCTATAGGTGAATAGTGTTGGGAAACGTTTTTTGCCTCGTGTTCCTTGCACTATGCTGTGCTGCCATGAGCGATCTTGTCTTCAATGCTGTTCTACTTCTATATGAAGCCAACAGGAGTGGTCATTAGTAATTTGGGCAAAATGTCAGTAGTATTCTGTTCTGTTTCTCCATAACATCTGAGTCAGAAACAACTGTGTATGATCTAATGTTTCCCAATTGGTGGTCTGCAGACCCCAGGGGGTCCGTGGCACCATTCATGTAACAAAAACTACCATAGTGATATCAACTTTTCAAAAGTTGATCCATGGCTTGGCTTTTGAAAAACAAGGGATCTGCAGTACTTACCTAACTGGAAACCATGGATCTAGACCATTGTCTTGGTTTCATAATGGACTTGGATGAGGGAATCTAAACTAAATTTGAATCCTAGGGAAAAAGAGACACTGTAGGTAGCTTTACCGGATCTTAGAGATTGGTCAGTTGCCTGTTCTGGATGGGGTTGGACTCCATCTGAAAGAACAGCGTCATAGTGCTCCTGAGTCCAAAATGGTTGCTGAAGCTTCAGGTAGCCTCAGTGGTTAGAAGTTCCTTTTATCAGCTATAGCTATTACACCAACTATGGACACTCTTAGACAAGGATAGCTTGGCCACAGTGATTAATGCATTGGTAACTTCAATACTCCAATTACTGCAATTTACTGTGGAGCTACCCTGGGGTCCCTTCTGAAAGCTCCAACTGGTGCAAAAAGATGTTGCTGGACATTTTTGAGGATATACTACTGCCAGGATATAACTCCAGTGCTTAAAAGCTTGCACTGGCTGACTATATGCTACTGGGCCAGATTCAGAGTTCTTGCATTAATTACAAGGATACCTTAAGGACCACCTGATTCCTTATATCCCTGCCCCATTACAGGCGAGTCTTTGTTAGTAGTACCCCATTCAACTCCCACCCGGAAACCAATGTCGCCACTGTGGAAGGATGTGTGGATCCAGAATTGGCCTCCATGGTCACTTACGGACTCATTGTTAAAACCATGTTTATGGAAGACAATCTTACTCAGCTACGAGTGATCGCCAAAGAAGAAGAAGATTGCTTGGACCCAACTCTGAGGAAATCCTTCCTGGTAGAAAGCATACAGGCCTCCTTCCTGTTGAACTTCAGTGCTTGGTCATCTCCCACCCCCCTTTCAGCAGGCACTTTAAATAAAGTTTTCTGATTTTGTAGATATTTTGACGGATTTTATCTTTAGTAAATGTATTGTATTGTATACTCCTTCTACACAACAGTGCTAAGCAGAATATAAATAGTTGAAGTAAATATTTATTTTATTGTTATTTATTT